CTCTACCCCCTGGATCCGCCACTGATATAATGTAACTATATCGAATACCATCATAAAATTTAATAAAAGACGAAAAAACAGAGACAGTCGCCAATCGCATATTTACTATAGAGGATCTGTAATCAAATGAGTTAAGCCTTTTACAACTCACTGAATTTTTTTTCATATGTTGTGCTGTTATACCAGTTTTTTTCTTGTTTGTTTTTTTTTGGGGGGGGGGGGGGGGGGGCACGCTTACACGTTCAACCCCGCAATTCTGTATGTGCCAGTAAAATCCAGGAGCCTGTAAATCGGTGGTTGTCTTTTGTTGCTGTATATCATACATGCATTTGTTTTTCGTTTTTTATTTTGTACATAAATCAGGTCGTTAGTTTTCACATTATTTTTTTTTTCACAGTTTTATTTTCGGGGCCTTTTTTAGCTTGCTATGCCGTATGGGTGTTTCTCATTTTGAATGCCATACGGAGTTCTATATTTGTTAACTTTTACGTCATTTGGTCTCTGATGGAAAGCTGCCCAATTGTCATTTTTTTTTCACGGGCTAAATTGCCACTTAGGTTGTTCTACGAAGACGAAGACGAAGATATTGGACGTTATAATGTTGCAAACCAACTTTTTTTATAAAAAGAAATAATTCTTTCATGCCATGCTCAATGCTCATTTTAACATACTTAGGTAGGCATTATATTTGTTAAAATTTTTAAACCAAGCGTTAGCAAGGTATAAAATATTGACAAATATAATGCCTACCTACCCATGTTTAAATGAGCGTAGAGCATGGCATGATTTAATCATTTCGTTTCTAATAGGGAAGTTTAGAACTTGTGTATTTTGAAGCGGACATAAAATACACGTTCGAAAGGCAATCATTTTGATTTGAGATATCCAAAACGTTCTAATAGATATAAGAAGATGTGGTATGAGTGCCAATGAGACAACTCTCCATCCAAGTCACAATTTGTAAAAGTAAACCATTGAATGCTATATACGTATACCTTATTGAACTTATCTTCGAACTAAATTTAAATGGAAATAAATAAAAATGTCAAAGTACGGCCTTCAAAACGGAGCTTTTTCTCTCACTGTCCGTCAATGGATGAACGAATGAGTAAATATATTGTAAACATAGCGTATAATATAGTAAAGCATACTATCCTTACTCTTTTGATAAATTGATATGGTAACACAATCATTCCACATCTTCTTATTTTTACATCATTGCAGTAGTATAGAAAATAAACAAACATTTGTGAGATGTATTTCTTTTTGTATCCATCCGATGAGTTAAGCCTTTTTCAACTGATTTTTATAGTTCGTTCTTATGTTGTACTGTTACACCAATTTCCCAGGTAAGGGGGGGTTTGGATCCCGCTAACATGTTTAACCCCGCCATACTCCGTATATATGTACCTGTCCTAATTCAGGAGCCTGTAATTCAGTGGTTGTCGTTTGTTGCTGTGTTACATTTTTGTTTTTCGTTCATTTTTTTGTACATAATTTAAACCGTTAGTTTCCTCGTTTGAATTGTCTTACAAATGTCAATTCGGGGCCTTTTATAGCTGACTATGCGGTATGGGCTTTGCTCATTGTTGAAGGCCGTACGGTGACCTATAGTTGTTAATTTCTGTGTCATTTGGTCTCTTGTGAAGAGCTGTCTCATTGGCAATCACATCACATCTTCTTTTTTATATCATAAGGAATTAATGTAAGTACATGCTATAAAGTATTTATTTCCATTTAAGTTTAGTTCGAAGATAAGTTCAATAAGGTATACGTTTAGCATTCAAAAATGTCTACTCCCTATTTCGAAAAGTTCCCGGTTGAAATATATTTTAACACGACATGTTTGTATTGCAGTAACAACTTTATAACATCTTTTTGACTCACATATTTAATTTCTTCGGATAGGCAATTTTCAGATCCGTGTTAACGTAGCTTTTCATAAATTTGTGGTTTCAAAACAAAAACAAAACCGGGTCCTATACTGAGACAAAACCGAGTCCTTAAGAAATAAACAACATTGACGAAACAGGGTCCTTCCATTTTGACATGACCCATTTCTTTCGTTCCATGTACAGAAATGCAAATATTGAGGTGCTCATAGTGACTAGCCATGCAATCTCTGTGTTAATATCTTTCTTTCCGTACTTTTCTTTCTGTACAATGTGCACAATTTAAAAAGAAATTAAACAAATTCGTAGAAAGGTTCACTCAATTCACCATTTTGATGTGCCTTTTTACTTATTTCTCCATTAACCTAGATCGGTTGTAGAAAATATTACATCACACAATCGAAAATAGTTATATGTGTATGTTTATTCTTCAATGTCATTAAAAAAACAAATAAATAAACAGAAATTCTACCTTTTCTCTGTGTGTTGATTGTCCGTCACCGTGCCGGACATTAGATACTATCGAGTCCAAACATTTTTTGCCGGGGTAGTTTAGACACAGTGACAATAGACAATTGTCTATACAATCTATCAAATTTTAAATCACCCCGATCCCAACAGATACATGGATATGAAAGTACAAACATAGAAGTGAGAACACTACAATATTTTTTATATGTTTTCATTGGAACAGGAAGAAATATACTTCAATCGTAATATCTTCTTACCTTCAAATGATCAAATAATTCATTCACCGAACACTACACTTTCTGGTTGTTTTCTAACCGTTGTTAATTGACTGAACGATCTAGGTTTAAATCTTCCTGGCAATAATCAAAGATACTGCAAGACCATATAAGGTAAATTGTGTGAATTGCACAAAAAGCAGAATATATTTCTATATTTAGCCATATAAATGGATGTATAACTGTTACATGCATCCTCAATAAACTTGTCATAAACTTTCAGGTTCCAGTCTGATTACACATGGTGTATATGCCCCAGTTACACCTTTCTGGTTCAGAAGTAAAATGAAAGATTTCGAAGAATATATTACACACTGTTGATTCTCGTATTGCCTTTAACAACTCCGTGTGGGAAGATGGAGGTTTCGCAAACGGTGAAGGAGATTTACACGACATGCTTACGGAGCATTCTGAAAGAGTATCTGGTAAGTTGTGTTTACAAATACCACAGTATATATTTTTGTATACATATGTGTTGTTCCTTGTTGACACAGGCGTAAATAAAGAAATGTCGGACATGTCAAGACGTCTTGGATATGATGTACATTTTTGTACTACTTTTTGGTCCAAAATTGTTTTGGACATCTCGATATCATGATGGCGGAATGCCTTTGATTGACCGTTCGGGAGGTATTGAGGAAATCTACATTCCACGGTGACATCTTTAGTAGCCATTTCAAAATTTGGATAGTGTTCTCCATTCGTAGATTATTGCAAGTGACATGCACACAAGACTCAGCACCCAAGAAATGTCCTATCATCACTTTGGTATGATGACATCCTCGTCAGATTGTTACAAAGTGGAACCAAAGAACAGTATAACAGTTGAGTACCTAAAATGACCTTTTGATTTGGATCTTTTATGTGGTATGTTACATTCAATATTTCTTGGACATCAACATCGGACGGATATCGTAGCACGCTATCAGCATCGGAGGTAAAACTGAGTAGCATGAACAGTATGAAGGGAAGCATTCTCACTTTATATATCATAACCCAAGAACTGTATCTGAATTTTAAAAAATATTTAAATGCGGTTACCAAAAGTAAAAATTGAGTATGAATATACAAAACAATTTTGAATAGTATCACATCACAAAAAAAAATTAAATTGCATGAAAATAAAAGTGAAAGTAAATTAAATATATTCCGTCAAACATGTTCCGAATTTCACTTCCAATTTGAAAATACAATTATTTTTAAGTTATAGTCAGATAGTTGGCATGGATTTATTAAGAAATAAACACTTAATCATCAGAGTAGCTCCTCAAGTTTGAATTTACTTTCATAATTGCGCACTAATTTATTTTAAAAACTTGAATTTTCTTAATGCAGAAACTCAGAAAATATTTAGAAATTTCTGTTGCCTCTACTGCAAAATCGTTATGTAATAGAACTACCGGGTTTCAAGCAATTTGAACTATCTTATGTTTTTCTCTAAGTTCCCCTCTGAAATATATATAATTTTTGTATTAATTCTAACAAAAATATAATAAAATATGTATTGATCATACCTCACTAGGAAAACTGATCACTGCTACAGAAAATGGTTCATATATGTATCCATTTTCTGTCTAGGAAATTTATTCACATGTAAAGAATTTTTCCTATGTTTTGTTTTAAAATCTTGAAAGTATCATAAATTAAAGACAAGTGTTAAACTCCGCTTATTAATCTATAAATTGTAATTATTGCCTGAGGGTGCCACAAACCAAACTAAATCATTAACACTCTTGTGTTGATATAAAATATCATTGATCGGTCAGTCACTGTACATTCCGTTTTCATAAAAAAAAAATTAAACAATTCGAAAGACTTCCAAAACTCTAAGAGTGACTAATTAAGCAGAATCGACATACTATAAACACACGATATACAATAATAAAATATATAAAATGCCCAATTTGTAAAGCTCCAAATCATAATAAAAATTGGGAAATCAAACAAAACAATCAAAGATCTGCTTTCAATACCTAATTTTCCAAATAACGAAAATAATCTAAGATATACGACAACTACAAAAAAAAAAGAGTACAGGAAAAAAAGTAACGATTTAAAGGATAACAAAATTTCAAAAATAAAAAACAAATTATACCATGTTAAAAGAATGCTTCCAGTTAATAAAAGTACGTAATCTGTCGATAATACATCATACAGTCCTACACCAAATATTGGTTGCTTTATAGAAAGTTTATACAGCAACGTCAAAAATACAGGAAGACATGACCTTGTGCAATGTCCAGAGCAAACTATACAGAAGAAAAAATACTATTGAACAGTTTTTGTATTGCTTCAAACCATAAATTTTGCGAATTGATGTTTATCCCCAAAAATACCAGACGCAGTGATTGAACAAGCACAGTATAATTATAACATTTATTAATAGTCTTTTAACCAAAGATTTGATGAATGTATGTTCGTATTTTCTCCTCCAGGGATATCTTTGTGAATAACATATGATAACAGAAAGAAACAATAATAACTGCACAACGTATGCCATCGGTAAGATGTTTATGTTGGAGATGCCCGAAGACTATATTCTGGAGCGGAATTTGTAATGCCTCGTATACCATCAAAGCAGAGTTTATCCTCAGGGCTTGCTTTCGAAAAAGTCAGTCGCTGTAGAAGGTTAGCAAATACTAAAAATAATTCTGTTCTTGCCATTCCTTCTCCAACACAATTCCGGTTACCTGAAAGAAGAAATAAGCTGGAAAGCTGGTATTTGATACAAAACAAACCCAGTAAATTGAAGGAAATGTAATAAAATTTGAAATAAGCCAAATAGGCGATTCCTGGGCTAGAAAATTCTTATTTTTTCGAACAATTCAATGTTTTGTAGAGAGTTAATTCGTAAATATGCTGGCTTCTACGTCATTTGGTATCTGGTAGAGAGTTGTCTCATTGGCAATCTTATCAGATCTTCTTATTTTTATATTATCGTTTAAATGGAAAGATTAGCTTATAGTGGAACAAATCCTATCAGCATCTGTTCTCCATTAATAGCACGTGACAACTTTTAACAGTGACTTCATTTGGTAAAGCATCCAATCTGTTACATAAAATATCAACACTTCAATAAATCCACATTGAAGAAATTAAAAACATAACCGACTTACCATATATCACTTAGTGTTTTCTTCGTAAAGTGTCTGTACCAAGTCAGGAATATGACAGTTGTATTCCATTGGTTCCGTTGGTTGATATAGCCGAGCATTTGATTTTGTCATGTTTTATGGACCTCTCCATTTTTTAATATTCATTGTAGTTCGATATTTTTGTTAATACTTTTTCACAATCATTTGTCAATTTCGTTCCTCCTTCTGCCCAAATTTACTCATTACTAGCTATGATCACTTGGACAATACGACATATGTTTCATGCAAATCATGACGTAAAAATGGGCGTAAAACCTGTTATTTTCGTTACTTTTGATGGGAGCTTTTTAATTTTCAGGTGTCACCTTTATTATTCGTCTGTTATAGTTTGTCCTAAACCTTTATATATCTTTTGGTTTGTATTTTTCGTATATAATTTCTGCATTTTGATTTTGATTCTATTTTAAATACTGACTTTTACTACTGCGATTCAGTTAATTAATACTCCCATGTATATCTGATTTGTACATAGACTTTTGATATATGTACTGTGGTATACTATTTAATATATTAGTATTTGTTATTATTAAAGTATTTCACAACATCCATTAATCTATATACTTTTTTATACACATTTGTATTTACTATGGCACAGTACCAATTGAAAACGGCATTAAGTATTCTTTATTGATGAGTTCTTTATCGTCATTCAAGAAGCGATCAGGATTAAATTCTTTCGCGTTCACCCAGACTGTGTCATCGTGATGAACAGATTCTAAATTTATCATAACTATTGCCCCTTTTGGAACTCTGTACCCATTGATAGTTGTGTCTTGAACAGCCATTCTTGGAAGTGTTCCAGGAGCTACAACGATATTTCATTTTTTTACAGTATGCTATTAAGGGGAAGCATTATGAATGAATACAAAATGTTGGTTTCCGGATGATATCTTTTAATCCATATGCTTAACCTTTACGTAACTAAGCAACACAATGTCCGTTCGAATCAACAAGATGCAAATTAATTTCAAGGTTTGTTAGAAAATCAAAGGTCAGGGTTACTGTACCTCTAAATAGATTGAAATGTTGGGGGGGGGGGGGGGTCTTTTCCAGACAATATACTTTAAGCCATAAATCACACCTTTACCAATCTATGCGCTTTTTGGATGAATGGAACCGTATCGATTTTGAAGTCAATGGGTCAACTTCAAAGTAGAAATTAACAGATTGACCTTAAAACCCAATTACCATCACTTGACTTGAATTATCAGCAGATTTTACACTCTTTATATCCAAAACATAAAAAAAATCATTACAGACACAAATAAACAATAGCAACTTATGCATCAATTGGGGTTTTGTTATTTTGTTAAATCGGTAAAATCTATGTTTTAAAACTTCCGCTGTTAAAAGATTAGACTCAGGGAAACAGAAAAAAAATCTGATACAAATATCTTTTTAAAAAGGACGTAATATCTGCACATTACAAGAAGTAATTCTGTCATGTTTTGTTCAATTCTAGTGCAAAATGAAGTAAAAAACTTTGAAGAGAATGAATGAAAACCATTTACACAGATACGAGGACAGGACAAAACATGTTAATCCCCATAAAAGTACTTCACTGACGATTTGCAATGAACGAAATGGGAGGATAGGAAAACATATCAGACAACAAGATAATATATATGAAATTGTAATAATATGACATGTTCAGTTTTAAAAATCTTACCGGAAAATCACTATCGTAGCTAAGGTAATTAAATTACAAATGTCTCAACCAGTTATCCGAAATTTCAAGGGCCATATATTTGCTCTTCAAAGTGCCTACATTATCATACTTTAAAACGAATTAGTATTGTCAAAATTATTCATTGACACAGAGACGAAACATTTCCCAGTTCCCGGTATGGCAATCGCACTGATATCATAAATTATATACATAAATGATTTTAACACATTCGGTCATGCACAGTGACAGAACAGGAAGAAGTTCAACAAAACATCCTTAGAAAAAGTTTTAAAATGGATGGGGACTTTATCGACAATCTGAAAAAGATCTAATGTTTCAAGTTGGTTAAACATCTGCCTAAACGGAAGTACGTTTTTTTAATCTATAAGGGGGGGGGGGGACCGAGTAGAGACCATATATGATCTGTGAAAGTCTTGTTAAAATTCATGTTGGTATTTTATGTTTATGGTATTCTGAATAAGTCTAGTATTTGGGGGTACACTGAAATCACCTATCAAATATACCAGGCTTTTAATTTGGTACCCCAGGCGCGCTATTGTCTACACAAGACTCATACGTGGCTCTGTAATTAACTAAGTTGAAAAGCTAATTCAAAACGAAGTTGAAGTGCATTGAAAATTAAACAAAATGCAAATAGTTCTGGCAAATCTGGCAAGAGCAATCTTCAGCCTCGGATAAAAAAAACCTTAGTGTTTCAAATAACTCAACATTTCATAAACAGATACAATAAATGACCGTATAAATGATATTTTATGTAAACACACCAGTGACGCTCGTATTAAAAACAGTATAACAAATTTTGTAAATGTAAAGTTATATGTAGACTCCCTATGAAAAGGTTACTTCAGTGTCAGTTTATATACATACCAGTATTAGCTAATCTTTGTATTTCCAGTAATGTAGCCTGAACATACGGCAAGGATCGTTTATCGTTTGATTTAATTGTTCGATTGTTACCAATAACCTATTAAAAAGTACAATATGTCATAGTAAATTAAAACGGCATTAGCTACGCTTTCGACAGTATGATTCGAAATAAATAAAATTTGGTTTTTCTATATGGAATATTGAATAACTTTTTCATATTAGCAGCTATTTTGGTAGATTTTCGGCAGAACAAACCAACAAAATAAGCAGTTACATTATTGACTTGCAATACAATAATTCGACCTCATTTAGATCCATATACATGCAATTTATGATGTGAAGTCCATTCGAAATGATTACGCTTGTAATCAGTAAGTTCAGACATATCGATCAAAAACGTAATCCAACAAGAACACCGATTTCGATGCAGATTCGACCCGCAAAAACATTCCTATACCGATTACTGGTAAAATGATCAATCTTAAATAATATTAAATTAAGACGACAGTAGTTTACTGATGTTAAAATCTCGCAAATCGACTAAGTAGACATAACTCAAGGTGACAAACAAAAACTGAGGGAATGGCATGAACTCCGAAAGGAGCGAGACCGGTAGTGTTGGCAGGGTAAGCGTCACCCGCCATGCAAATTCACTCAGTCAAAATGTCACAATCGGGAATAGGACGCAATCAGTAAAAGAGGGACAAAAGATACCAGAGGGACAGTCAAACTCATAGATCGAAAACAAACTGACAACGCCATGGCCAAAAATAGAAAGACAAACAGACAAATAATAGTACAGATGACACAACATAGAAAACCAAAGACTAAACAACACGAACCCCACCAAAAACTGGGGGTGATCTCAGGTGCTCCGGAAGGGTAAGCAGATCTTGCTCCACATGTGGCACCCGTCGTGTTGCTTATGTTATTACAAATCCGGTAAATAGTCTAATTCGGTAAGTCATATTCGTGAAAAGGGAGGGTATTGTAGTTACGACATAAGGAACATATCCGATATCATCTGTGAATCGGTTATTCCATAACGGTCAACTAACTCGTGATGGCGTCCGTAAAATTTACGAAGGGATGATTTCAACTTCCCCATTTGGAACTCTTGGTTTAATAGCTTCCTTTGTGAGCAGCAATCCTCTATCAAGGAAATCATGATAGGAAACACAAGCCCGGGAATATCGTATCAATTGGGAGATATATACTCCGTATGCAGGCGCTGCTGGAATGTTGCTACATAGAAATGGAAAGTTCACATTTGGGAAGCTGAAATCATCTCTTTTGTCGTAAAGTTTTGTTTTCAACCGACCCTTATTGTCAATTTCTAGATGTAAGTCAAGATATGAGGCAGACTTAACTGTAAATGTAGTATCCTTTATCTCTAGTTCGATGGGATAAATTCGTTCAACATAGTCACCAAATTTTGTATTATTTAGTGAGAGAACATCATCTATAAAGCGGAACGAAGAGTTAAAGGATATTGCTAACTTCTTATCTTTCTTCCTAAGAAGTTCCTGTATGAAGTCAGCCTCATAATAATAAAGAAACAAGTCGGCAAGTAGAGGGGCACAATTGGTTCCCAATGGAATTCCATTGGAATTCCAGTATAATTACAGATAAGACTACTAGACTGGTATCCAAACATCTAAAACCGCGAAAAAATGTTGCTAGTGAGTTGAGACACCGACACATCGTATCGGTTAACCAATTCGTAATGGTGACCGTCAAACTTATGTAATGTCGATTCTTTCGTTATTTCTCATAACTCTGTTGAAGCAGTTTTTGTCAAAGGAGCACGCCCATGTTAATGAGGTCGGTATAGTGTGAACATGCACCAACGTAACGTAATAATTAAAATATTTAAATGCCATTCAATGGAGTAGACGGTATGTTACTGCTCAGAAATGGGAAGTTGTCAATAAGTTCACGTTTATTATAGATTCTAGTTTGAAGTCGTCCATCTGTGTCAATATCGATGAAAAGGTCAAGATATGAAGCAAACCTCCTTCCTTTAGTAGTATCCTTAATTGTCAAATTTCCTATCAACTACAACAACTCTTTAGTTGGTGTCCTTGTTAGATTTAGTTGTATGCAATTTTTAGTCAGTTGTGTTGTTTGTCTGTGATGTATAAAGTAAAATAACAAAATACCGAACACCAAGGAAAATTCAAAATGGAAAGTCCCTTATCAAATGGCAAAATCAAAAGCTCAAACACATCAAACGAATAGAAAACAACTGTCATATTCCTGACTTGGTACAGGCATTTCTTTATGTAGAAAATGGTGGTTTATGATTATGATATGGTTATATGTTACACAGTTTTGGCTGCTAGATCCCAATTATTGTCACATTAACCTTTGATGTCTATTTGGGTTGCTCACCCAATTTTGTCAATATAACAGAACTATAAACAACTGTTATACAAGTGGGAGATTTAACCCTCCGTTTTCTTCGGAAAATGCCTGTACCAAGTCAGGAATGTGACAGTTCCGTTGTTAAAAACGATTGATTCTGTCAGTTTTTTTTAATTTACCTTGGAGTTCGGTATTTTTGTTATACTGTTTTAAAGGATAAACGAGATGCAAGCAGACATTTTAATATGGGTTGTTGAGTGACAGAACATCATCATATATCTGAAATAAAATTAAAGAACTTTGCAAGATGTTATTTTTTTTTTGTCTTTGATAAGGTTCTGTATAAATTCTGCTTCATATGAGTACGAAAACAAGTCGGCCAGTAGTGGTGCACAATAAGTACCCATTGAAATAAAAACTGTCTCCTGAAATATCAATCCACCAAATTCAACAAATATGTTGTCTGTCAAAAAGTCCAGCATTTTGATATCATCCTTGGTGTATTTGTTGTGGTAATCAGTTCAGTTCTTCACAAGGCAAGATTTTTCATACCCTAAAACAAGGATTCCCATTTTTGTAGAAAAAAGCTATATTTAATCAGACGATGTGGTCTCATGAGGAATAGTAGTGTTAATCGTAGAAAAATCAAAGGTTTTAATATTAATGCAAAATGTTAAAGATTTTGATTGAAGATTTTAGAGTAGATCATCAGAATTTGTATATCTGATTGACACCGCTGGTTGAATATAAATCATAACAATATTTCTGAAGGCCATCTTTTAATGTAGAAAAAACGGTGGAAAGAACTTTAGAAAGATGTTTGCATATGTTATTTATACTTTTTTCTCTTTATATTTACTTATTTACTGTGGATTCATTTCATTTCTTGGATACTGATTTTCGTGGATTAAAGAACAATTGAATGTTCTTGAACATTTGATTTTGTTGTTTAGCCAAAGCCTGTTAGTATATTTTAAAATCAGGGTCACATTCCTTTTAGCAATCTTCATAGGCAATGTCGATGGTTAATTAGATGGTGTGCAGTCCCTTTGATGCGTTTTGCAGTGTCTTGCATTGTTAATTGATTCCTATGGGCCTTTCGTAATTCTGATATACGTTATTGTATTTTATTATGTTATAAATCAAAAGTAAGAGTTTGAGTCAATAAAGTGGACATGAATTTTCAAGTTAATGCCCTTTAAGAGGATATGCTAAGTGCACCCAAATATGACTTCAGTCATTACTCATGTGTCAAACATACTTTGCGGAGATTTTGTATGCTACGAAAGCTATGTGTATGAAATTGAAAATAGTAAAAAGAGCTAGGGTACTAGTATTTAGTATACATACTTGTTCAAATATCAAAGTTATTATACGGTCCAACCGTCCCTAATCTTAAATGTGGACAAATTGAAGCCTATTAATTTTATCATTATTGTAGTAATTTTATATTAATGCTGATACATAAACATTGTTATTATTATAACCAATCTCTATGTCATAAAATGTATGCTCGAGTGCGCTAAAAAAGCAATTCCGATTAAAGAAAAATAGAATGTGTTCTCCGGAACCCTGTGTATTGGTATTGAACAAATTTAAGCAAAATAAATCTGCTGTTACTACGGTCTTCCTTGGTACTGTTTATTTTTAAGTTCTTGGACAAAACTTTGGAGAGCTAAAGAAAAACTGAAGCAGTATACGTGTATCAAATAACTATTTATCAAAAAGAACAGAGTACTTTCAACCAATCTAATATACCTTCGAGATTTCTATCTGACATTTTAGTTGAACATCTGGGTATTGAATCATGTAAAGTAAGGCCCAATGGAGTGTTGTCGCTGTAGTGTCTGTCCCGGCACCAAACAAGTCTACTATCAGACTTAATAACTGTTTCTCTGTAAACGATTACATTTTTAAATACATGCACATTCTTACGATCATAAAATAGATATTAAGCATTTCGATTTCAAATGTCGACATTTAGTATATACAAAATATTCATGTTTGTAACGTAATTTATTAAGCACGATACATCTACTTGCTATGACATACTTACTTCCATAGTCTATTTGTTGGCATTGTTCTCTTTCGTTTTGTATATAAACATCTACAAAATCTCGAATAAAGTTTTCGTCGAAATTGGTTTTATGTGCATCTATCTGTGATGTCACATATTCTTGTATGTACCCGCCTGCTTTAATTCTTTTTGTCATCTTACTGCTTTTCTTCTACAGTATACAAGCAAAAATTACAGTGTTGCCTTGTAGAAGCTTACTCAATTTCCTGGTAATAAAAAAGTGTATCAAAACTAACTCTTAAAGTCTCTCGTGCAAAGTTGATCTTATACAGTTTTTGGTTGTTCTTTGTAAGACTTCAGTTGAAATGCTCTCAAGCGTTTAACATTTTTACCTTTCGACATTTTTGCTCTCGAGCGTACATGATAAATGGTATTCCAGAACCACGTGTCGCATGCAAAGCTTCATTCAGTTCTACAAGCTATTAGGAATCATGTAAATCTTAAAAAAACACTTACATGCACAAAATTGCTGTAAAATGTCTAAATATTTCACAAACTCATGAAAAACATATCAATTTAAATATTGGACAAACATAACATATACATACATTTCAATATTGCACAAAAACATAACAAACTCATCCATTCCAATATTGCATAAAGACTTGAAAAACACACATATTTCAATAGTGCCACATAACATGTGACATACACAAACGGTTTTCTTACAATTGTTTCCATATTATAACCCTTTGACTTTTTTATACCACCCTTTATTTCAAATTACTCCCTAAATATACATGCATATATGATAAAATGTCACTATAATTTAACATTCTTCGATTTAACCTTATTTTGTAATGATTTTTGTGTGTGAAGATCAACTGATCTACGGAAAATAGTCTTTCTCAAAATCAATATTTGTTATAAGGTTTATACTTTTGGGATTAATTATCAGACCCTATCAAAAATGAATAATGCACTCTAGTTCGAAGAAATAGTTAATATCAAATTCATGCAACTCTAAAAAAATATACTTGGAATATTGCTATTCCTATCTACTTTCAGTAATGCTTTTAACGTATACTAGTATATACTATTTCAATAACAGTGATTATATAATATGTATAGTAAATAACATACTAATAAATTTGTTACAATTAACAGAATCGGAAACACCCCTTGTGGAGAGACAAGGGGAGGTCCCGTAAATACGTCTTCAAAGGCATCAATCAGCTTGTTCAACTTCAGATCATCATGTGAATATCTAAATAAAACAATCAACACAAAAAGTTATCACAAATGTAGATATTTATTGTGGAAGGATTATTCCAAGAGCAGGAATTTAATCAGTAAAAGTGATTCTTAGCAAGCTTTTTATGGTTTGTAAAGCAAACGAATACGAGGATTGTCCTTCAAATCTGTCTTTTGCTTTAATGCATTATAAATACACAGTTGTTTGGAATTGATTGCGATAAGCATTTTAAAGGTTCTGTTAACTAGTGAGTTTACAAAATGAAAATTCATGGAAAATATATTTTTGTCGTTATGAACTCGTTATAAATGTAAAAATCTTGCACTGAATACTTAGTTTAAATGTATGCATGCATTAGATCAATAGCTTCCTTTACATTATAATCACTAGAAACTCGTTTCATATGACTGTTGTCATCTTTCCATTCATAAAACACATAATTTTATAACTCAATGAACAGTGTTTTATGTTTCTTTTCAGATTAGCATATTCCTTTTTTTAAGATAAAAGCGACATATTTGCATATAGCTCGCAGATACAAATAAAATGTATACATTTAACCATACAAAATTACCTGTGTCCAAAGACAATATTGTGGATAACATTACAACTGACTTGAAGCATCATACGTTTAATGTTTCTAACTGGCTCGCCATTTGTTTTCTCAAACTCCTTTATTAAACATTTGACCTCTTCCAGAATTTTTTCTTCAACCGATGTTTTCCCAACTCCAAAATCACGGAGTGCATGGAGAGTTAAACGCCTCAATGTCTTCCAATTGTCTCCATTAGACCATACAAGTCCTTTGCCTGCATAAAATATCTTTTTGGTTACAATAAGTCAATGCGTGGTAACTTCGAAATGTCAATTCTACGTTGCGAAACTAACCGTATCTAATACCTTGACATTGATGTTCGAACCATGACAAGGAGGTCAAGGGCAAGCAACATCTAACAGGTCATCACTCAGACGGACATCTGAACTTGATTTCATTAACAATAATGAATAATGCACAAATAAGACAGATCAAATGCGCCAAAGTTAACATTCGTCAACTCCATAGGATAATACAATAATAAAACAGATCAAATGAGCCACATTGTAAAAATTCGTTAACTCAAGAGGATAATACAAGAAGAAGACAGCAGTGTAGAAATTCGTAAACTCCAGCGGATAAAATAAACGAATAAGTCAGATCAAATGCACCACAGTCTAAAAAATTATCGTCATCTCCAGAGGATAATACAATAAAAGACAGGTCCAACTCGCCACATTGTAAATATTCGTAAACTCAAGAGGATAATACACGAATAGGATAGCAGTGTACAAATGTGTCAACTGAAGCGGATAATACACGAATAAAAAATGCACCATAGTGTAAAAAATCGTCACCTGGTTACATGAATTGTTATGGTATGTTATTGAATTATTTTTTTACTTGGCTCATGGAATTAAAGCTTTTTGGTAAGCATATGAAATACCTGGATACATATCAGATATTGGCCTTATCTAATAAAAACAAGGTTATTCCTTCACGCCTTTTAACTGTAAACTATAAAGAAATACAGTTCTTAAAGGGATAAAAAAAAACGAAAGATGCAAGGTTTACAAAATTTTTTATTACGACTATGATTTTATCATTATGCCTCCGCAACGAAAATCCGGGGGTATATTTATTCAACCCTGTTAGTCCTTCTATTAATACATTGTGTATGTTGGTTACCTGTGGAATGTATCTTATAGTTTAAAAGGTAGAACTCCTCTATTTTGTAGAACAGTAGATTTTAATCCCCGTACAATGCCTATGAAATTACCAGTCGTTATACTTTGTCTTTTTGGTTATTTTCCTTTTGCATAGTAAGTTTTGTAAGAATTAATACCGTTATATTAACATAATTTGTCACAAACGGGGGCTTAATATGCGTCTTACAAATCCAGAATAATTTTGAACTGACCAAATCTTTTGTATTTCCTCTATTTCCTGTATCCATATGCTGTGCGGGGAATACTAGTACTTTAATCTAGTTTTTAATTAACAATGCAGATGATTTCAAATTAATAACAACAAAATTTGTTGTAATTTAATCTAAGTTTCACAGATCTATGCAAAAATATAATAATTTATACTTACTTCTATTGTTTTTCTGTAGTACAGGTATCCAGTTGGGCCTGTCAACAAAGTCATTCCCTTGCTTCTTTAGTAGCTGAACTATTGTTTTATATCCAGATACATAAACTATCTGATGCGGACCAAGAAATCGTGTAAATACAGGTCCATATTTTTTAAACAAAGCTAGATTATCTATTGGAATATTTATTAAAAATCCATCCTTGGTAAAAAGATTCCCGAAGAGTGGCCATGGTGTTGGTCCCGGCAGTTTAGAATTTTTCCTTAATACACAGAACAACGTAACCAAAAATACAAGTGCAAATATTAGAATTAAAGATAAGTCTAAAGTTTGTAAACATTCCAACATGTTGCAATGGAATTTAATCAATCAGTTAAAGGTATTCCATGAAACACTACATATAAATAATCCTCAAAGGTATGGAATATATTTAATGGTATGTACTATCAGAAGTCCATTACCGAATAACTTTTAAATGGACTTCCGATACTATTTATAGTGAGGTTAAATTTTAGAACAAACAACTGTGTATACCATATAGATATGTAAATAAAAGATTGTAGAAAATTATATAGTGAGCACAGACAGTTGATTTTAGTACTAAAATAACTATTAAGAATTGTTTACATTCAGCACCGATACCTTGTATTATATTTATCCAATATAAAATTGAGAATGGAAATGGGGAATGTGTCAAAGAGACAACAACCCGACCATAGAACAGACAACAGCAGAAGGTCACCAACAGGTCTTCAATGCAGCGAGAAATTCCCGCACCCGGAGGCGTCCTTCAGCTGGCCCCTAAACAAATATATATACTAGTTCAGTGATAATGAACGCCATACTAAACTCCAAATTGTACACAAGAAACTAAAATTAAAAATAATACAAGACTAACAAAGGCTAGAGGCTCCTGACTTGATATGCATTGTATGACCTGATATGCATTGAATGACCTGAATATATGATATGAATTTAGCCATTCCAGTATATAAAACATATTCAACCTTTGGTGTTAAATCAAGTATCATATGACTTTAAAAGACAAAGCATGACACTCAAAACGCGCTTCACAATAAGATTGTTGTCCTTTATCAGGGTTATTTTTCTTCTTCCAAATACTTTTGGTATTTATTGATATGGATCTTCAAGATCCGAAGGTATTTAGACCTGCCAAAAACAATTGTTTTTCGACTGTTTGTCTTGAATATAAAAAAAGAGATGCGTCATACCTTTTAGTTTCATATTACACTTTGTATAGATAAGTTAATAACATACAAAAAATCTTTTACTATATAGCTGCATCAAACTTTTAATGATCAACAGGTGTAAACAATTCCAAAATTGCAAATTATTCATTTTTACCGTCTATTATAAAGAGTTCCATTTCTACTGTTGAAGTTCAACTGGATATCGGTCTTAACCAACCAGTTATTTGTTTGATAATTGTTCGTTTTGGAGATAATTAAAGTCTACCATCAAGTTATTTGTGTTCCGACGAAAACTTCTACGTCTGAATCCAGATCTATTCAGTAAATGAATGAAATCACTTAAGCCCTATCTGGCAGAACTTTTCGGTTTTATTGCTCTTTAATTTTGCATTTGATTTCGCCTTCAAACTGTTTTGATTCGACCGTTACTTATAAGTCTTATGTAAAAACGCGTGTCTGCCATACCACATTATGAGCCTGGTATCTTTGGTGACTTTTTATGGCTAAACTTTGTAAAGACCCAACAGAACACCATTTAATCAATAGTTTGTAGCATAACCCAAGATTTTATACGATACATTCTCTGTCAACAATCGATATCTTAAAGCACATCAACCGGTGATAAGAGTGTAGTCCGCATAATTTTATGTCTGCAGGTTGAGTACTTCGAGCTTCTTCTCAGTGTTATAATCGATAATATTATTTAATACTGTAATTTATAATGATGTTGATGGTTGAACTTGTTCTTTTGTTATCTAGTAGAGCTGTCGACATAATCTATGATTATTAGTGTATACCTAACGTGATTATCAGACGTGTAATGCATTTCAAATGGGCGGGTATCTCTAATATAATTACGTTATTATACATCAAAATGACTTTCCAGTACTGAATATTTCTTTATATGGTCTTGTATGAAACTTTTGTGTGTCAACTCATTGAAATGACGAGGGGGAAGTTGAGATTTAAGAAAATATTATCATTATTATATTTTTGGGGGGATTTTTATTTTGGTTTTTAGAGTTTATGGCAGATCATGGATAGGCTCTTTTAAATATATTCAAAAATTTGATAGACTCGGTGAGATTTGGAGCTTGGTGTATTGTTTAGACATCTGTCTATTGTTACAGGCCGTGTTGTCTCTTGAATTTTATGGCACTGTGTTGGGGTTTCACTGACAGATATCCAACTTCTACTTTTATGTATGTCACTGGGAGTTATATAAGGAACAAGCAATCGGTTCTTTTGTCAATATTCATATTTAAATGAGATGTTGTATGATTGTCAATGAGACAACTCTCCAACAGATACCAAATGAAGTAGTTTAGCAACTGTAAGTCATCATGCAGCCTTCAATAATGAGTCATACCATAACACAAAGCAAGCTATAAAAGGCCCCGAAATGACAAATGTAAAACAATTCAAACGAGAAAACTAACATCCTGATTTATGAACAAACAAAAAAAAAACAAAAGACCAAGATGAAATGCAGCAAAATATTTGTCCAAAAGTTGTGGAGCTTTTTACTTAGTTTGTAAGTAATTGCACACAACAACAATAATAAACATAATATGCATTTAGTTTAATTTAATATTTTTCTAGAGCGTCATACTCTGATTCACCAGCAGTATTATTTCTTTTCATTTCTTCATAAAAAACTCCCCTTTCACTGCAACTTTTATTGCTGTCTGCTGATGTTTCATCATTTGAGGATGCAATTTCTATGTCGTCATCCTTTGGCCACTCTTCATCAACAACTTTAGACTCTGTTCTATCATTAGTAGCATTGTTTTCGAGTTTAGATTGTTTATTGTCAATACTGGGTGTATCACAAACATCACACACAACTAAAGTGTTAGTCGTTTCTGTATTTCCTGCTTGGGGAATTTGCATTCTGGAATCTTTACATTTTTCTTTGTATTTGAATATGATAACAAAAACAACGACTAAACCAATTATTCCGCATATCATCAGTGGGTATATGATCCTTTCCCTTTTAGACAAACCTGTAAACAAATCCATCAATCTTGTTAACTAATTTATTGATTGAACTTGCTCCATGTTTATGTCAGATCTGCAGATCATTCAGTATTCATAAAGCAGAGTTAAGTGAACAAATCTTTTATTATTTTAAATTATTATAGTAATTCTCTGTTTATTTCTGTATAAAAGATGAATGTGTACTCAACATGCAGACTTCTTATACGTTCAGGTATTTCACATCCAATTTTTTATGGAAATATTCTTTATAAAGCACAAAAATGTCAGTATTCACCTCTGAAACTAACAAAACCTTTAAATAGACTTATTAAGAAGGGATATAGTTACGATACTGTTGTCAGGTCATTAAAGATTGCATATTTTGGCGTTGATATTGATTCACTTATAGGGTCTTTGCATCTGCACTAAACACATTTATTTAAAAACCAGTTGTTGGCATGACACGGGTTATGTTCTTCTCATATATGTTATGATGGTATGATACTAAACCCCTAACGGGAAGGATTGTGCCTGATATTCATATGATGAAGACATAATCTTTCAATCAGTTTAATTGAAGTCTGGAGCTGGCATGTCAGTTAACTGCTAGTAGTCTGTTGTTATTTATGTATTATTGTCATTTTGTTTATTTTCTTTGGTTACATCTTCTGACATCAGACTCGGACTTCTCTTGAACTGAATTTTAATGTGCGTATTGTTATGCGTTTACTTTTCTACATTGGCTAGAGGTATAGGGGGAGGGTTGAGATCTCATAAACATGTTTAACCCCGCCGCATTTTTGCGCCTGTCCCAAGTCAGGAGCCTCTAGCCTTTGTTAGTCTTGTATTATTTTTAATTTTAGTTTCTTGTGTACAATTTGGAGTTTAGTATGGCGTTCATTATCACTGAACTAGTATATATATTTGTTTAGGGGCCAGCTGAAGGACGCCTCCGGGTGCGGGAATTTCTCGCTGCATTGAAGACCTGTTGGTGGCCTTCTGCTGTTGTCTGTTCTGTGGTCGGGTTGTTGTCTCTTTGACACATTCCCCATTTCCATTCTCAATTTTATTTGAAGGTACAAGAAGTATCTTTATTTTATATCTTACATGTATTTGATATAAACGTATACTGCCATTGTATGAAGCCTATTACAAGCTATGTATTTCTGCTTTGTATCGATCTGATGAGTTAAGCCCTTTTCAACTAATTTTCAAGGTTTTATCTTATGTTGTACTGTTACACCCCAGGTTAGAGGGAGGGTTGGCGCGCCTTCAAACTACTATAACCCCGCCACATTCTGTATGTGACTTTCCCAGGTCAGGAGCCTGTAATTCAGTGGTTGTCGTTGCTGTATATCATATTTGTTTTCGTTCATTATTTTGTACATAAATCAGGCCGTTAGTTTTCTTGTTTGAATTGTTTTGCATTTGTCATTTCGGGGCCTTTTATAGCTGACTATGCGGTATGGGTTTTACTTATTGTTGAAGGCCGTACGGTCACCTTTGGTTGTTAACTTCTGTGTCAATTGGTCTCATGTGGAGAGTTGTCTCTTTTGCAATTATACAACAGCTTCTTATTTTAATTTTTCATATGACATCGGATTTTAACATGAGTTATAAAATCATGAATGTCACAAGTAGAACATAGAGCATAACTGTTTGCCCGTTCAGAGCACTAGAGGTCATCCCGGTTTTAGAAGGGAGATCAATCTTCAAACTTGGAATTTTCTGTGAAGTTTTTTGTAGACATATGTTTGTTTTTTTGTCTTTTTCATTTTGGTCATGGTTCTGTTATTCTTCAGCTATTTTTTTATTTTCCCACTTCGTATCCCTCAATGGTAATGCATACTCATTCAAACTGTTACAATTATCAAATTAAGTGATCACACAACTACTCTGATATCCCTGTTAATGAAGTCCTTGTAGTATCATACCCCTGCCCTGTTAATAAAGTCGGTACGTGTGAACATGAACGAGCGTTGTGTATTAATCGAGATATGTAAACATCATACGATTGGGTTAGAGGGTTTGTCACTGCTGAGAAATGGGGAAGCTGGCATTTGGAAAGTTAAGAACATAACGCTTGTCATAGATTCTTGGTTAAAGTCATCTATCTGTATCGAGAAAAAGATCAAGGAATGAAGCAGACTTTCAATTTCGTTAGTATCAAGTTCACTGGAATATGCGACATGCAATGGACTTACTGAAATGAAGGGTTGTAATTAACAGGACATTATAAATAAGGCTGAAAGTAATAAAAAAAAAATAACTTCGCATGATGCTTTTTCTTTTTGTTTTTACAAAGGTTTTGTAAAAGTTTTGCTTCATATGAGTGCCAAAAACAAACAGTTAGGAGGAGTGCACAATTATTACCCGATGGAATTTCAACTGTGTGCTGAAATATAAATCCACCAACCTCATAACATTTGCTGTGGATTTAAACGTTTAGCTTACTTATATTTTTTGTTTGTCTGAAAGAACTAACAAATCGAACACTTGGACACGTGGACACATAACTAAGCTTTTACGATATCGTTAGTTAATGCATACAACACAAATGTCAAGGTAACAAATATTAGCCATCATAAATGTATTCATGGAATGAAATATAAACACATAAAATCAAAAAAAGAAAAGTCTCAACAAAATAGAAGGAAAAGATAAATCGTTTATTTATTGAAAAAGGAGAAACTTTTCTTTCATTGATAATGTACGTGTATATACAAGGGACAAGTCTTTTTAAAAGGTATTGTCATGTATTTATATTTATTTTTTATTATCAAAGATATTTACCGTTATTTAGGTCATGAGTTTCGAACTCAAATTCCATTTTTGTTTTTCCATACTTGTTGTATGAAACTATATGACCGCTATAAAATGCTTCTGCAGACAAACCACCTATTTTAAATAACACCAAGTCTCCTTCGTCTTTTTCTTCTAACGGAACTGTAATGGTTCTACTGTCATCAGTTGGAGATTCTAAGATGATAGAGAAATTCTGAGTGGAACCACCGTCAAAGCCAATATACCATAATATGTGTGCTGAATATGGAGTTATATTGACGACAGTGATGTTTCTGACTCTATCAGGTTTTCCTGGTAAAAAGAAACCATAAAATGACTCTTCCGTAGTTGAAGGCCCAAAATTAGGCACCAATACTCTTACACTCATTTCAGTCCAAATATTTTTTGTTTTTTAAAAGTGGACTCTGATGAATAGTTATCTCACCAATACTGCGGAACCAATACTTTAATACTCATTACAGTTCGAATATTTGTAATAAAGAAATGGACTCTAACGGATAGTTGACTTATTGGCTATCATTCCACATCTGCTTATTCTGATATAATCGGAACTGAACTTAATCTATTCGTGCTTGTCGTTACCTTATTCTACAGTGAACCTTTGTCACTAAACGTGCTGCATCAACTGCCTAAAGTTTATTGGCTTATAGTATACAGTTAATCAGGCCTTAACGCAATACTTAAACCGGTTGAATTTCCGGATGAAAAGCTTTCTCATTCCTCAACTTCGATGGACGAGGAAATATGTTTTCCTCCAGTATGCGTCAGTTCTGATAATAGATGTATTGAATCTCGAAATACATGCTTGTCAACAGCTACAAAAGAAGTGTTTACCGAAATATGTGAATAACTTAAGGAACCTTTAAGATAAGAATACAGTCATTCAAATTCCTCTAACATTTGATAGACTCTGTTTCAGTTGTAATATTTCTACTTGGATTTATTCAGCATAAATGTATATGGTACGGAACACCGAACAAAATCCAATGGCATGCATGGAAAAGAAATTCCAGGACTATTCGTAGTACCGTATTTTTCAGCATCCAACATGTATTGTTTTATCTAAACTAACTAGCGTGCTTTTAAAATTAATAAAGAAACTTAGTTTACCTTTTGGTACGGTTTTTACATATTTAATCACACATCCAATTGTATTACAAATTGATAAACCAAGCTGTCGGTTAAGTGGAAATTCTGATATCTTGATTGTTGATTGGAGAACGTATTTATGATTAACCCCTTCTTCGCTTATAGTCCAAGGATATTGAGGATGTTGGATCCAAGTCACATTAGGTGTAGGATTGGACACGACAAACACGGTAGTATCTTCAACAGAATTTATTCTGATAGCGACTTTACTTCGTTGGAATTTTATACTTTTAGGTTTACCTACAAATACAAAAAAAGTACAAACTACTGTGATTACAAAATTAAATATTAGAAATATTGTGTATTTTATATTTCAAAAGAAATGCAAAAGATTGCCTAGAGATATTCAAACTCATTAATCAAAACAAAATTGACAATGCCATGGTAACAAATGAAAGACGATCAAAAAGACAAACAACAGTTTACAAAACACAACATAGAAAACTAAAGACTCAGCAACACGAACCTCAAAAAAACCGTCGAATCTTAAAAATAATAGTTTAAAACATATTAACCAAAAATAACCCCCTCCTTTCCAAAAAAAAAAACTAACAGCAAACAAAATTAACACAAAAAAAAACTAACAAAACTAACAACAAAAACCCCATAGAGAATTAATCGATTGCTGTTCTTTATTTTCTGAAAGGTGTAAACCATGAGAAAAAAGGCCTAGTGTTGGACACTCTAGTGAATTTTACAACTATTTGAAAATATTCATTCAGGCTGCACTTTGTTAATATAGCTTTTCTTTAATCACGCTTCTTTTGTGGAGATACTTTTAAAATACTTGTCCACTAGTTCTCATATATGATCCCAATGTTTCATCTTATAGAGGCACACCACGGTTAAATTTACCAGCATTAAGACAGTGAGATACCGGTAAAAACAAGTTCACAGGGAAACCTATAGAATGAGAAATACACAATTTTAGTGTAAGCTTCAATTGTTAGGATTTAGAGGCATATATAAGTAGAAAATATGCTGCACAACCCCATGTTTTGGCCTTTGCAAGAAAGTTTTGCATGTGAACTTTATTTCAAATATATGATTTTGTACTTGGTTCAGGGACAGAGTCAGACATTGAGGACAATGATGAAAAAAAATGGCATTTCCATTGATGAGTCTCAGAAAGAGGTTTTGATGGGCTATTGACGTGCAGAACGTCCAAATTTGGTTTAAGCTTTTTCTGAGGAGACTAAGAATTTATTTCCGGTCGACGAGGAGACAGAAAAATTCTTACAGGTGCCATCATTAGATGATTTCATAGGAAATTGTTTAGTAAAGAGACATGGTCATAAAGCCTTCTTTTCAAATGGAGAGAATTTATTTTCTCAATCTTATAAAATGCTTGAGAAAGTAGCATATAGAGGACAGCATGCAAGCTTGTTAGTTAAAGTTATTTGTATGTATATGCAACAGAGTCTTGGTAACTTGTTAGAAGTCTTATCAGATGATAAACCAGACATTGACAAAGCTATTCAACAAGTTAGGGACATTTTTTCTATGTTCACCAAAGAGTTAGATCAAGTTGGTAGAGATGACGGATTTCACCATATTTTTAGAAGACAAACGTGTATGGCAGATACATCATTGTTCTGATTACATGACTCTAGAGAAATATCAGATCTCCCGCTGATTGGGGAAGGTGTATTTGGTGACAATATTTTGTTTCTGCTTTGAAAGCTAGAAAAGACAAGGATAAAACTCTTATTACCAGATATTTTTCACAAGGCAGACAGAAAAAGGAAAATGCCTATGTCAGAAGAAGTAAAAGCCAAAAAATCTAGAACAGAAAGAGAGAAATCTGAACAACGCAAAGACAAGTCAGAGACTTTTCGTATCCCAAAGCTGTCTAACAACACAGGTGCTAGAAAATCTACCAAGAAGACAGATGAGGGAAAATTCACACAGCTAGATTCTGGATTTAGAAGGACTTCCTTTCCTGCCAGAGGAGGGAAGACCGGAAACTGAAAATGACAAGGTGAGAATAGCGTTGAATCCAGAGATACCGGTCGGTGGTCGTCATTTTCATTTCCTTCCACAATGGGAAGAAATAACAAAAGACAAATAGGTTATGGAAATTATTCAAAAAGGCTAGATTTTTTACAACAGCCACCTTTTTAGGGGGTCAAAAAGACATTTGTAAATGCAAAAAAAATGAAAGTTTTAAAACAAGAAGTAATATGTTTATTAGAAAAAAGTGCTGTAGAAGTTTTACCAAAAAGTCAAGTTCAGGCAGGTTTTTACAACACACTTTTCTTAGTAAAGAAGAAAAACGAGAAGTCAAGACCCGTGATAAATCTACGACCACTGAATCAGTATCTCAAGAAACAACTTCAAAATGGACATAATGTCCAAGGTTTTGAACCTAGTCAAGAAAGGAGACTGGACTTGTTCTCTCGAAAGATTCGTATTTACACATGTCAATCTTTCCAAAACATCGGTATTACCTCAAGTTTTCAATAGACGAAACAGTGTATCAGTTAAAAGTACTATGTTTCGGTCCAACAAGTTTACCTCGGGTATTTACAAAGATAGTCTCAGTGGTAGCTGCACATCTGAGAAAACTAGGGATAAGATTAGCAGTGAACCTAGACTATTGGCTAATAGTCAATTAACAGAAATTATCTCTGGTCAAACATCGAGAAACAATAATCGGTCTTCTTCCTTCGCTAGGTTTTATAATAAACTCAGAAAAACCAGATTTAATTCCAACCTATATAAGGCGCCTGTTCAGACTGGATCTTGGACTAGTGTTTCCACACTAGAGAGGTTCAAAAACTTAAAAACAGCCATTGTTCAGTTAATGAGAGGTCAGATATCAGCACGACATTACTTAAAGATTCTGGGCATCATAGCATCATGCCTAGAATTGATTCCCTACAGTCGCCTGTTCATGCGACTAATTCAGATGCACTTATTACAGGTTTGGAGTCCCTCTAAAATGAGTCTAGAGTTTCAGATTCCTTGTAAACAAGAGCTGAAAGCCCATCTAGCATGGTGGTTGTGTCAATCAAACACTATGAAGGGTCGATCTCTAATACAAAAACAAACAAGTGTAACAATCACGACAGATGCCTCAGAAACAGGTTGGAGAGGTCACCTAGGGAATGAAACAGTTCAAGGGTTGTGGTCGACAAATCACATGAACTATCATATAAACAATCTGAAGTTGGAAGCAGTATTCCTAACGGTAAAACATTTTCTTCGTGCGTTAAAAAACGAACATGTATCTAAAAATACTACCATCGCTAACATTTTTAACAATAAAAATCATGGTTACCCTTCTATCGATAAGTGTCATGCCAAAAAATGACTTACATGTCCCCGTCTTTCCACCAACAATACGGTAAGTTCTACGTTTAATGGTCGCACATTTTCTTTAAATTTTGAAACTGATATAACTTGAAAAACAAACAGTATTATTTATTTACTCACATGAAACAAACCGGGATGCGGTATTCAGTACGTAGGTGAAACTGGACGATATTTATCTAAACGCACGCAAGAACACCTGTATCGCTTTAAAAGACCTAATAAATTCAAAAGTATCATTTATCAACATCTTAAAAAGCACAATCATCCTATTAAATATTTAACAGTTCAACCTTTAGAAGTAGTAAATAAGCAGCCTGGTGAATCTCATTCAAAGTTTGTACGATCACGGAAAATAATTGAATTAAATTGGATTAAAAAATTACAGACAGTCTACCCTCTCGGTCTTAATGATACTATCATGGGAATTGGTAATATATCAAGAACCGATTCTGTTAACATTTTGGATATAGTTTCTAAAACTGTTCGTAAAAACCGTTCTCATGGGCGTAGAAAAAATCGCAATCAAAGAAAATTTCGGACCAACCATACTAATATTTCGGACCTAATTTCTATTTCAAAAAACAACGGCAGACATTATCTATTAACCAAGCTCTGTTCTTTACCTATAAATAAATTAAATAAAATTTTAGAGGATTGCAACACAATTTCATATTGCAGTCCTAAGTATGAAATCGTTCAAATTATAATGGCATATTGTTATTCTAAACTGTTTCCCAAAATTGATCGCCCTGAAGATCATAAAAACATTTTATTAAAATAAAGTATGTCAATAAAGGTTTTGATTTTGTAAATATTGCCGGTATTTCTAACGACCATTCTGTTAAAGAACAAATTCCGGGATATTTTGATAATACTGAACTCCCTCTTATTTGTTATATTTACAAGAAATCTTCCCGAAAATTTGTGTTTAATTATAGCCAAGTCTGTAAAGATGTAAATATCGGTGAAAATACACCTCCGTCATGTAATTGTAGTAATTCCGAATACACTTATGGCCCCATTTCCCATGTTATAACAGGAGACCTTAACATCGTTCGCGACCGAGAGTTAAAATCATTCCTCAGTAAAGGACCTAAATATCGCCCCCCGTCAATTATTAATTGGAATGAGTGTCGTAATATCATCCACGACTCACTTCGTGCTTACTGTTTGAAATGGATAAAACGGGAAAAAGCTGACAAAAAATCTTTGGACTCTTTTTTTAATTCAGTAATGAAGATAGTTGATATACGTATACAACATTTTAAAGAACATTTTACTCTTAACAACAACCATAAAAATCCTATTTCTCGTATCAAACATAAACTAAAAGAAATAGCCAAGGAATTTGTTTTTGTCCCGGCTGATAAAGCTGCTAATAATATCATTATAGTCTGACGTAAATTTTACATTGAGGTTCTGCAAAAGGCAATCACGAATTCACCAACATTCCAACTGACTTCATTTTCAGAAAACGATATCTGTAACAAACATAAACTATTAGCTACTTCTTTACAAGCAGAACCAAATACAATGAAAGTCCCAACTATGTACTGGCTTCCGAAGCTACACAAATCACCTTACAAATATAGATTTATTTCGTCTTCAAGTCATTGTTCCACTACTAAATTGTCTATTCTACTTACTAGTACACTTGGTACAATCAAAAACCTGATAATAAATTGTTCAAATAAGGCCTTTGAAAATAGTGGAATTAACTACTTTTGGAGTGTCAAAAACTCGTTGGAAGTACTTGATAAATTGCATGCATATATTGGTGATTTTGAATCTGTTCAAAGTTTTGATTTTTCTACCCTATATACCACTTTGCCTCATATTCTTATTAAGAAAAAATTCACACACCTAATTAAATGGGCATTTAAAAAGTCGGAATGCGAATACATATGTTCAAACTCTTTTAGGTCATTTTTCAGTAGCAACAAACAAAAGAGCTATGTCAATTGGACATGCTTTGATACTATATCTGCCCTTGAATTTTTACTTGATAACATTTTTGTTCGCTTTGGAGATTCCGTATATCGTCAAGTTGTCGGAATTCCAATGGGGATTAACTGTGCACCACTTATTGCGGACCTGTTTTTGTATTGTTATGAGTTACAATTTATGACTAAAATCAGCAAAGACCTATCGAAACAACATCTGATACAAAAATTTAACAATACTTTTAGATATTTGGATGATATATTGGCTCTCAATAATGACGACTTCAGTATGTATACTAAAGAAATTTATCCTGTTGAACTTACTTTAAATAAAGCTAATACTAACAATGACCACTGTCCTTTCCTCGATCTTGATATCTATATCATTAACGGGAAGCTTAATACAAAAATTTATGATAAAAGAGATAATTTTTCATTTACTATCGTTAATTATCCATTTTTAGATGGTGACGTTCCCTTGTCACCATCTTATGGTGTTTATATATCTCAACTTGTACGATTCGCTCGTGTATGTAACAACGTATTAGATTTTAGCGAAAGAAATTTATGTATTACTGAAAAATTATTACATCAGGGTTTTCGATATCATAAACTAGTCAAAACATTTACTAAATTTTATCATCGGTATAAGGACATCATTCGTAAATATAACTCAACATGCAGACATCTTATACGTTCGGGTATTTCACATCCAATCTTTTATGGTAATATTCTTTACAAAGCACAAAAATTTCAGTATTCACCTCAAAAGCTAACAAAACCTTTAAACAGACTTATTAAGAAGGGATATAGTTACGATACTGTTGTCAGGTCATTAAAGATTGCATATTTTGGCTTTAATATTGATTCACTTATAGGGTCTTTGCATCGGAATTAAACATATTTATTCTAAAACCAGTTGTTGGCATGACACGGGTTATGTTTTTCTCATATATTTTATGACGGTATAATACTAAACCCCTAACAGGAGGGATTGTGCCTGATATTCATATGATGAAGACATAATCTTTCAATCAGTTTAATTGAGGTATGGAGCTGGCATGTCAGTAACTGCTAGTAGTCTGTTGTTATTTATGTATTATTGTCATTTTGTTTATTTTCTTTTGTTTCCTATTCTGACATCGGACTCGGACTTCTCTTGAACTGAGTTTTACTGTGCGTACTGTTGTACGTTTGTTTTTTCTACATTGGCTAGAGGTATAGGGGGAGGGTTGAGATCTCAAAAAACATGTTTAACCCCGCCGCATTTTTGCGCCTGTCCCAAGTCAGGAGCCTCTGGCCTTTGTTAGTCTTGTATCATTTTTAATTTTAGTTTCTTGTGTATAATTTGGAGTTTAGTATGGCGTCCATTATCACTGAACTAGTATACATATTTGTTTAGGGGCCAGCTGAAGGACGCCTCCGGGTGCGGGAGTTTCTCGCTGCATTGAAGACCCATTGGTGGCCTTCGGCTGTTGTCTGATCTATGGTCGGGTTGTTGTCTCTCTGACACATTCCCCATTTCCATTCTCAATTTTATGTACTTATTCAGTCAGACAATATAACGGTAGTACAGTACATAAACAAGCAGGGGGGAACAAAGTCGATTCAATTGTGCACTCAGACTTGGGATCTTTGGAACATGGCATTGAACAACAAAATTGTACTGATGGCAGCCCATATTGCGGGGGTGAAAAATGTCCTAGCCGATCAACTAAGCAGGGTCAAAATAAAAGCAACAGAATGGTCTCTGAATGCAGGGATAGTGAACAAAATATTCTTAGAATGGGGCTCTCCAACAATAGACCTTTTTGCATCGGCACAGAATCACAAGTGTCCAGTGTTTTGTGCTTGGGATCAAGATAAAAAAAAACATTGACACAAGATGCACTGTCAATGAAAAGGGACAGAATCTTTCCATATGCCAACCCCCCGCTGTCTCTAATTCCGAAAGTTTAACAATACATCATGGTCAATTATCAATGCGAGATGATTCTAATAGCACCTTTCTGGCCAAAAACAATGGTGGTATCCACAGTCCATACTACAACTGTTGATAGCACACCCATTTGTACTACCTCAAATGGAAAATCTGCTAGAACAAGATCAGGGAAAGCTAAAAATAGTACATCCATATCCAAAGATATTCAACCTGACTGCATGGTGAATATGGTCAAGCAATTTAAAGCAAAAGGCTTTTCAGAAAACCCTAAAAAAAATATTGTCCGTGTCATGGAGGTCAGGTACACACAAAGACTACAAAAGTAAATTTAGGCAGTTCAGAAGCTGGTGTGATCAACGAAAAATTGATACATATGTTGCAACATTAGAGGAGTGTGCAAATTTTCAAGCTCCTTTATTTAGTAAAAGGTTAAAATATAGAACAATTGCAGGGTATCGATCCATGCTATCATCAGTTCTGTCGCCTGTAGCCAAGATGCCGTAGGGCAACATCATTTTATTATCAGACTCTTAAGAGGGGTGTTTAACAGTAGACCTCCAGAGCGCAAGTTAATACCAGAATGGGATTTACCATTAGTTCTTGAAATGTTTAGAAACCTCCTTTTGCTCCTTTGAAAAACACTAGACTTAAGTACCTTACTTGAAAAACTGCTTTTCTAATCGTGATTACAACCTTTCCAAGGTGTAGTGACTTGCAAGCTTTAAAATTAGGAGAGAGTTCAGTTAATATTCAAGAAAAAGTAGTAACTTTCATCAGGCATGGGTAAGCTAAGCAAGATAGACCTAATCATGACAATTCAAAAATATTTATACCGGCTTACCCGAACTGCAAATTGTTAGACCCAAAAAGAACATTATACATGTATCTGAAAAGGACAGATGAACTTTTTATATATTAATAAACCTCATAAACCAGTCTCAGCTCAAACTATATCTAACTGGATAGTGAAAACTATCAAGATGGCTTACAAACAGATTAAAAAAGAAATAGGCAAAATACGAAGTCACTCCACTAGGTCAGTAGGACCATCATGGGCCCTTTTTAAGGGTGCTAGCATGAAAAATGTATTGGATAGTGCAGATTGGACAAAATCCACAACATGCACTAAGTTTTACTTGAAAGATATTAATGTAAACTTTTTAAATTTATAGGATGAAGAGTGAATTCTTCCTCGGCGAGTCGCTGTGGAAGTGTATAGACGTTTTTTGTTGGATGGTGGATGATTTTAAATGTATCTAGAAGACAGATTGCCTTGTTTTCAACACAGGTTTTTAACGGCCAATCTGTGATGAGCAAATGATGTATATATAGCAACAGTTGTTGATATGAATAAACATTTTTGGAAGTACATTATAAATAGCTTCAATGTATAGTAAGTTATACTCCCCAGAAAGTTTTGAGTTTTCTTTATGGTGTCTTTCAAGCCCTGAGAGAAAACTGATGCTTCATGGCCGAACCGGATATAGCATTACATCTGGTTCGCGCTCATTTTTTAACTTTCGGGCGAGTCTTATACCAACGAGATTGAAATCCTAAGGTACATATGTAAGGTAAGTATAATTTATTCATAGAATTTGAATTTGAGTAAAAAATTTGGAATTTTATGTTCTTTGTGTAATCATGAACCATTTTGTCAGATACTCAATATACTATTTGCAAAAAAGATATCTATGAATACGATCAAATTATAGAATTCTTTGAAATTCGTGGCAACTTTTTACAAACTTCTCAACAACACCTGTAGCATTCTCGATCAACGACATTTTCTCCTATGTAGCTTAATACAAACTTACATCAGCAGAATGAGTACTCGATAATCCGAATCACTCCCTTAAAATATGTACAATTTATTCAGAAGAGCGTCAAATAGATATAAGAAGATGTGGTATGAGTGCCAATGAGACAACTCTCCATCCAAGTCAAAATTTATAAAAGTAAACCATTATAGGTCAGGTTTGATATAGAATACCTTACATTGTATTTCCAAATCAAAAGAACTCATAGTGGCCTCGCCAATACCGTTGTATGCTTCAATTGTGTAATTCCCGGCCTCTTCACAGGTCAACCCCTCAATATTTGCTGTGTACTTATGGTCAATCGTATCAATGGTACAAACAAGCGGTTGGACGAAATAATCTGGTGAATGCAGGTTTATCTCTGATACTGGGTAGCTTTCAATATACATAAAGAGTTTTAATGTTTCACCTTCGGTGATTGATCGTCTGTCGTCTTTTTCATGGTCTGCACTAAATGTTATTTGTCTGAATACAGGTGGGTCTGTAAAGTTTTAACAAGTATGAATAAAACAAGATAAATTATGCAAGTATACATTAAAAGACAACATTAATAACTAGTATCTGCATCTTTATACAGTCGTAACAAAACTTGGAGTAAAATGGAGGCAATTATTTTGTCATTTATTCTGTGGAAATATAATGAGTATTTACGAGACAGCTCATTATACAGAAAGTTTAACTCTTTCCCCAAAAAAATTTACCAGCAGTAAACAATTTTTCTATATGGAATATACTGATATATAAATCGAACAATTGATTTGCTAGTAATAAAAGCAGGATAGTGTCATTGTAGCTTTTCTGCACCCCATACTAGTATGTAGTTACAAATTGAAGAGTTTTAAACTTACATAGAACGCTGACTATTATATTCAGTGCGGTACGTTTTTCTGTATTATTTGGATGTATAACATAACAGCCATAAACACCAGTCTGGTTTCTGTCAATGGTAGGTATATATAAGACTGGACTGTACGACTGGACCCTGCCTAGATATCTCCAATCATAGTCGCACTCTGGATAACAATCTGCTGAACATGTGACAGGACCAAATGTTTGACCTTCAGTTACAGTAGACCGTTTATAATTGTGATTTAGATGAACATTGTCAGGTCCATCTGTAACAAAAATCGATTTATTGGGAGCTTTTGTTCGTAATACGATATGGTATAAATTTCAAAAAGAATGAATTAAACAGTAGATCTGCATCATGTTTTAGCAGATTTAAGGCTTGTTTTAATGGTGCATGGTGTCGTTTTAATAAAATCAAACGCTTTACAGTTTTATTTAAATCTACAAAAATAATCATTGATTTCTTACAATTGGATTAAATGCTAAAATATGGAAGTATGGAATAAACCAAGCGCTAAATTTATTTTGTTTCAAATATTCCCATGCATTGATGTTTCTTTGTCACAGGAAGCAAGTTCAGTTGTAGAAACTGATTTGTATTTGGACATAATACGTCATTTTAAAACATCACATTGATGACATACTTGTTGTGTACCAAGAGATAATGAAATCCGTATGAAACATTAATGTTATTGAATTGCATTTCATATAAAATAAATCTCTTGGCTTATAACATTTTATTGTATCAACTTACAATATGGATCAAGAATCATACTATTACTGGATGATGACAATTGTCCTCTGTCATCAGTTGCCTGACATGTTACTGAAGTTCCTTCATCTGATCGCCTTAAAATAATGTTGGGTTGTCGAGTTTCGCCGTTCCAGTAAAACTTGTAAGAAAGGTTTTCAGAATAATCTGAGGGCCAACGTTGTACATTAGAAATGCATGTAAAGTTTGCTTTGTTTCCAACAAAAGGATATTCGTTGTATGTAAGAGAGGGTGGGGTCGGTTTGTCTGAAACATAGTAATTCTGTATATTAAATAAATTTACCATGGCGTTATTTAAAATTAACTTTAATAAAAGCAGACGTTTTTACAGTTCTATATAAAGCTACAAAAAGAAATATTGAATTCTTACAATAAAATTAAGTGCTAAAACAAGGAAGAATGGGTTAAATCAAGCTTTACATTTGTTTGGTTTTGAATGTTCCCAAGCATTGCTGCTTCGTTGTCATGGACATCAACCATCATTTTAAAACATCATTAATTGTCGATAAATAATGAAATCCGTATGAAACGTTGATGTTATCTAATCAAATCACAATAAATATTCCAACGCATTGATATTTTGTTGTCATGGGGAGCATTTTCAGTTATAGAAGTTTATTTGTATTTGGACTTGTTTAAGACTTTCGAAATTATGTTAATTTGATTGTTGAGAGAATAGGTTTATAATACGATAATAGGAGCTATATTACCGAAAGAAACACAAAATGTATAGTAAATACATCGTTCTCCTTTTAGATTTTCGAATTCAAAAGGCAAACATTATTATTTGACATCATAAAAACGGGAATTCATGTATCAACAACATAAAGTTTTTTTAAGAAAAATTGGAGATTTGAAGATTTTAAGACAAATTTAGGAAGTTTTTCGTCGATTTATGTGCTTTCTATACAAATGTTCTCCTATTTTGAAATAATTCAATCAGTAATATTTCAGATAATAAAAGAGATGAATGCATTATTTTTTTTCGATTTTCAGTTATAATTCAATGAGCCAAAGTTGTATGCAAAATTTTACCAAATTATGTGATATAGCCCATTTACTGTAATTTGAGCTCAATCGAATTTTGACCATTGAAGAACTGCGATCCACAAGTAAATTATAAAAACTTCAATCGGTAGGGAAAAGTATAAATCGGGTAAAATTAGAAATATGTGGGCATACGTAGGTGAGATACTAGTAACAAACCAACGACACGAATAACCAAAAGACATTTAAAGGTCAACACACAGACTCACACATTAGACAGGTGTCTTTTCCATATGTCTAAATCTCTAAATCACCTCGAGATTGATGTGTTCCTGTCTCATTGATGTATACTCAACGTCTCCTGAATTTTATTTTTTCCAAAAGCTAATAACACTGTCTAAAGCAAAAAGCATTTCTGAAACATTGGGTTTTTGTTGGTTTTTTTTATTATCATTTCTTGTGTAATAATTGTTTTATGTAAGGTATACCATAGTTAAAATGGTAGATCCATATTAAGACAATCGATATGGAAATGTGGTATAATTGCCTATCAGATAACTTTCCACCAAAGACCAAAGGACAACGATTTTAACAACTACATGTCACCATAGTTACAGCCTTCAACAATATGACAAACTCATACTTTATACATTGTAATTAGCTTTAAAAGAATCCGGGATGACAAATTGTGGAATAAAAAGTGCAAAACATCACAAATATGCATGTCTTGGTACGAGGCACAAAAACAACTAACATAAAAACAATAGACACAAAGCAACAAAACAAGAGTGCTCGCAGTAACTGAGCGCTAGTTAAAAGCCAATTACGACTACTAAATAAAATATTTTTCCCATACTCAAGCATCAATCAGTACACATCCAGAGTAAAGGCGTCATTAACAGGCTGACACATGCATGACCTTGTGCAATGCCAAAATATAAGTATTGACAAGATAATTTGTTATTGGGGTGGATTGAAAAAAAATCAGAATGTATTTTACTGTCGCTGAAGTGTTTAGTTAAATGAAAGTTCAGATGAAACCTGCTAGACAGACAACGTTCACCTAACAATAATTCCATACACCAAATTTAGTTGACCTATTATTTATGATATCCGATAAACGGACAAAACCATGAAAACTTAACATTGACCAATGAACCCCGAAAAAAGGTCAAGGTCAAATGAAACCTGCCAGACAGACATGTTCACCTACAATAATTCCTTAAATCAAATATAGCTAATATATCACTTACAGTATCTGAGAAATAAACTAAACCACAAAAACTTACATAACATTGACCAATGAACCATGAAAATGAGGTCAAGGTCAGATGAAACCTGTCAGATTGACATGTTCACCTTACAATGATTCCACACATCAAAGATAGTTGACCTATTGCTTATAGTATCTGAGATAAGGACTTGACTACGAAAACTTAACCTTGATCACTGATCCATGAAATGAGGTCGAGGTCAGCTGAACTGTGTCTGACAGACATGTATCCCATATACTAAATATAGTTATTCTATTAATCATTATAAGTAAATATTCCACATGACAAAAACAAAGCTCTTAATTTTTTACAAGCAGTCACTAAACCATGAAAAAGAGGTCAAGGACAATTGTCATATGACAAAAGGAGACTTCACAGCATAATGCATTTGCATACACGGTATGGAACATCCAGGTCTTCTACCTTCTAAAATATAAAGCTTTATATAAATCATAATTTACTCCGTCGCCGGATTGTAATCAGTATGTCTCCCATTCTGCGACTTTCGTCGCAGACAAGACAAAAATAACTTACCTGTGACAAATACAACAACGCATTCTCCTTCCCGAAGTTCTGACAATTGTTCAGCTTTGTACATCCCACCGTCCTCCTGTCTTACATTCTGGACAGATATTACGAAATGTTGTTTTGTCGTTTTTATTTTATAACGACCCATTGCTACATTATTTACGACAACACTACTTCCTTGTACATTCAGAATAGTTCTCGTTGGAGAGAAGACTGTGTAGAAATAATACGGTAGTTTTGGTATAGTTAACGTTATATTTGTATCCAGGCTTGTATATAGATACTTTCCTGGAAAAAAATATATGAAGATACCCATCACTTAAAGCAGAATATTTATAGCGGTAACAGACCAATACATGACAAAAATTAGGTGTCAATAAGACACATTCGTATCAGTTAACTAGGCAACCCATAGAACCATATCAGTTAGAGTATTACGTACAAAGCTATTATACTAAAATGTGTCAAAATTAGTGAGACAAAACCAGGCAGAGAATTCGTACTATTTTTGCCTGGCAGAGGTAATCAACAGGTAGAAAGGTTAAGTTGTTCATGGTCAGTTAAAAATGTATATTCGTGTATGCCCGTGGCCAGTCCAAAAAGTCAAACGTCCTTTAAAACAATGACAAACAAATAAAATACAAATAATCAAATGCTATCATATTCTTAAAATAAGATGGCCCCGTTATCAACCAAGATAACGAAGGAAATTTTAACACATAAGAACATAAAATTGTTTAAAACATTCAGTTTTACAAGTTCGAACCCAGCTCGTGGCGAGATGTGTGCGACTCCTATTTTAAATCACAACGATTGTCACTATTCCTGTCAAATGTCGGTGGTTATCTCTGTGTATCATCTCCACCAATAAACAGTGGTCGCAATTATATAACCAAGGTGGCTGAAAGTGGCGTTAAACAAAAATATTGTCCAAAGTCAGAAGCATGTTATTTAATTCAAGGGTTGTCGTTGTTTGCTGACTATCATATTTGTTTATTTTCATTTATTTTATTTAGCAAAAACCAGGCTGTTGGTTTCCTCATTGGAATGATTTCATATTTTGTCATGCCGGTACCTTTAATAGCTTAATAGCTTATTGTATTGTTTTGCTCATTGTTAAAAAAAAATAGTGTCCTATAGTTGTTTACATCCTCGTCATTTGGTCTCTGGTGGACAGTTGTATCATTGGCAATCATAACGCATCTCCTTATTTTCATGGCAGTGGCTATTTTGCCGGCTTCGGCAAAATTAGCCTCTAAGGTGCTATTTTACCGGCTCCGGCAAAATAGCCTCCTTAGCGCTGTTTTGCCGGCTCCGGCAAAATAGCGATTTATATACAGTTTTGCTATTTAGCCGGTCTTAATTAATATTTTTCAGTATATTAGTTAAGAATAGAAAGAAATGTAGAAACATACACTTTAACATGTTAATACGAAATCTCTAAAAAATGTGTCTTCTTTAAAAATAATCATACATGAGTAGAGCATGCATATTAAAATTGATATTCTAATCAAAAGTGTCCCATAAGTTTTGAAATTAAAATTTATTTTACATACAAAAATATGTTTTTTTTTTTAATATAATACATAAGCAAAGCATGCATATTTAAATTGATATTCTAATTAAAAATTATGACAAAAATATCCTATAAGTTTTGAAATTAAAGGTAAAGTTAAACAACTTCAAAATGTTTAACAAGTGTTACAAAACCAATGCCTTGCTTTTGTGCATTTTGAAGTCTTGCACAAGAAAGATGCTGCCACTTCTGACAGGATCTGCACAAAACACTTGTTGGATAGGGTTTTTAGAATAGTTTGGTTTATCATGTTTATGGTGTGTTGTTTAGCGAGAAGAACACATTTATGTTTTATTTTCTATTTTAGGTTTGTATATTAGAACGAACTTGTTATTGCAAAGCGTATACCAAGTTTGGTTGAAATCGATTGAAAGATGTTGAATGACGGACAATTTCGCAAGATTTGACAATATTAGTTTAAGTGCTGCTTGTCATCTCAAATGCGTGCCGCCAATCGTAAATGTATAAAGTTGCAAGATGAGAACGAAGATACATGTACATGTAATGATGAAACAATTTGACTAAATAATGGATGAATTTGTGATCTTTGCGCCATCAACACAGCAGTACTTTGTTGCACCATAGACTACATCGTTATTTAAGGTTTTGTTTGGTGCTCTAAATTTCAGAAATTTTATATTCCTTGCATCACGTTTCCACAGTTGCACATAGTTGTCCTTTTCAAAGTGCTCTAAAACCATATTTAGCTCTTCATACGAGTCGAACATAGCGTTTATTTCAAGTTGGGTTTTTTTTACAACAAAGTGAAGTCTTCCATTTTCGAACGTCAATGACTTCAATAAAAGATTTATTTCATTTAGTCTGAAAAAAATCTGAAATAAGACCTGCAAAATAGCAAAACTCTATATAATTCGCTATATTGCCGGAGCCGGCAAAATAGCACTAGGGAGGCTATTTTGCCGGAGCCGGTAAAATAGCACCTAAGAGGCTATTTTGGCGGAGCCGGCAAAATAGCCACTGCCTATTTTCATATACAAGCAAACAAACATTTTTACCAACATGTATTTAAACTTACCACCTAATACAAAGTCTTTATCGGTTACATGTATGCCTCCTGATGGAGAAATAAAGTTTAGTCTAACTTTGTATTTCTGACAAGGCGGTAATTGAACTGCGTGTAGATTGCCAATACTGCTCAAGTTTGCCCGATAAACCGTTATTTTCCTTCCAATATTATAAACTTCTAATCCTGTTGATGTGATATTACTGGAAGGTTTGTTCCATGTAATTGTGACATTATCTCCCTTTATTTTTACTCCTATTCCTTGTGACTGGTACGAATGACCTGAAAAGTTCTAGCGATTCTAGTTTAATTATTATTATTTTTAGAAGTTTAATTACAAGTTGTACAAAACCAAAGTATAACATATCAGTTTTTCCTATCTTAAATTATAATAACTCATGTTTTCTAATGCATACTGCACCTAAAATGTTCATTTCAGAAGTCCACTGTCGTTCTCTAAACAAATGCCAACTCTTAAAAGTATACTTTCCCATGATAAACTAATCATTTTACAGACTGACATAATTAAGGGAGTTAAAAGCATATAATAATATTAACATTGGTGCCGTCAATTTACTTTCCCTTCGTTTATTTCCCTAATTTACATAAATCAAAGAGCATGATCGCTCTGAGGGATATGATTGCCGCTGTTTCCATTGATATTAATATTCTTTCTCAAAAATAATTCAACTGCACATGTATTCCCTTTTTGATTCAATCTGAATATACTTTTCAATTTTAAAAAATAGCCAATCTCAGATACATGCAAGTGTATATTTATACATGAACATTGTATTGTGTTTTAATTTTTGCTCTACATTTGCTTCATTCTTGGAAATTAAAACCTACTCATTTCAAAAATATTCCTTCTGAATGTTATCAATCCCACAAACTCAGTGTCAAAAATATACATTTTACAAGCATAAAAAGGGTCAATCTAAAAATAAGAAGATGTGGTATCAAAACCCATACCGTATAGGCAGCTATAAAAGGCCCCGAAATGACAAATGCAAAACAGTTCAAACAAAATCAAAATCTGTTCTTTCTTTGTTTTCGATTTAACAAAAAATCCTAAAGGGTTACACTAAACCCTGTTCTTCAACTTCGTATTTGATTTGGCTTTCTTAATGTTTTGATTCATGCGCCACTGATGAGTGTAGCCAAAACGCAATTCTAGCTTACCAAATTATCTACAAAGTATCGTAGATGAGCTTGTAAAATCCTTGTGATTGATGCTGTCAGTATAAAACAATCAACATTTTTCTTCAGATAGACTATTCCATTCAAGTCAGGGGTATACTTATGGATAGACTATTCCATTCAAGTCGAATAGAAGACTTGTGATAATCAAAAGACCGTGTCCAGAGCAAAATTTAGAAGAAAATAATTGCATTTGTCAGAGTATAACTAGTACCTGGACTTGGTTGGGGTTGAGTAGATCAATAATGAACTCAGCCATTATTGATCTACTCAGATTTTTCACAAAACAAGAAAAAAGCAAATAAACACATCTGATGATTACTTACATATTAAAACATGTTAAATGAATTTGACTTTTTTTAAAAACATTGATCAACAGTGAGCAACAAGTGGAAATTGCGTTGATAATATGGAAGGCTCCATTTGGGCTGAGGGGTGTTCTACTTCTACTTCTACCATTACGCTGTCAAAGGTCAAGAAAACTACGCATGCGCTTTATTACATAAACAAACCGTTGATTGAGAACACCATGTCAATTCTGGTTCACCATTTCTTTATGGAAGTTCAATATCAAAGTTTTATAAAGGTAACATGATTGGAATAACACCTCTTCAGTACTTGTCTGACGGAAATAGTTTTATTTCGGAACACTCTCGCATTTTAACAAAACAGCGGAATTCCCAGTTGTGACGTGATGCTAAATATATAAAACCCTAAATATAGACACTGTTAATACTGATTTTCCGTATTGTTAAATAAACGCAAATAAAAAAGAGGGATATCAAAACATGAAGATTATGAGAAAGAAAATTCAATCTGTTTGTTTGTTTTACTCTTTAAAACAGAACAATCTTAAGAATCTGAGTTGTACCTTAATATAAAGCACTAAACGGTTGACGTACGAGCTTTGGAAAGAGTCACTGGTAAAAGTCTACAGATTGCTTCACAGCAATCGTATCCCAAAAAAGGTTTTCTGTCCGAAAGATCGGGTTATCATAACAGTCATATCAGTGATTCTTCAATAATGTCGTTTGAAGGCTTTCGTGTGTATTTTGCTTTTCCCCCCATCATATTCCTGTCCTTAAATATACCATCTTCCTAGGGATACTCCATTGTCAGAGTATAAAGAGAAAGTCCATATGTAAAACATATATGAACATGACAATACATATATCGAAGATTGCCTTAACTGTCAACTGTCAATCATAAAATGTTAAAGCCCATTTTCAGTCAAACTCTATGGAAAGATTGAAAATTCTCATATTGAATTTCTCAAAATATGTGAAAAGTCAATTAGAATGATGAACCTAAAATATGTAATAGTGTAGCATATGTGATAAGAATTCTTGTAAGGGTTATTTTCATAACATTTTTTGTAAATTGTGCAAAAAGAGATAGGCAGAAGATACCAAGGGGACATTCAAAACCCATAAGTTGAAGGGAAACTGACAATGCCATTGCATGAAACGAAAGACGACGAAAAGACAAACAATTCCACAAGACACTACACAGAAAACTAAAGATTAAGCAAAATGAAACCCATTAAAAACTGGGGGTAAACTCAGGTGCTCCGGACATATTGTGCAATATTTCAGCAAAATTGACCGGAGCCTCAGTGCTGAATATCATTTTGATCATGAATGCATGTAAAGCTATTTAGAATTTGTTTAAGTAACTAAACCATTAAGACTCGCTATGTTTTATCTATTCTTAGATTTGATCTCATAAGTGAAATAAACTCAATGGTAAATGACACCCGGCTTTTTCTAATGAAAAAATATGATGGTACCAAGACCCGTTCATTTTCTGGATAAACCTGAAGTTAAATTTATCCAAAGGGTCCAATTGTGTACAATAATCATAAACTGTTATAGTTGAACACCATCTAGTGAACGCCGTTGTGTTTGCAGGAACATTTACGCACAGCAATTGACCACTGAAGTACAAAGCTTTGTACGTTAAATTCGACATCACAATGGATGTTGCTCTTGGTGAGAAAAAAAGAAAAGTAGAGTAGAGTTATAAGATAAAATAAGATAAATATAGTAAAATAGACATTTTTTTAATTTAAAAGTGAAATAGACTTGACATTTTGGTTGAGATTGTCATTATTTTCAAGTCAATTGTTCTATAACTCCTTATTATAATTGTTTCCTAAATACTCTATAACCCCTTATATTTTTTATAAATATTCTAAAATATTAAATATTGCTTGGACCTGTAAAAATCATCTAGTAAAGCTTTCTCTTTAAATAACGTACATTTACATTTTTATCTATCAACATATACAGTATAAATATAGATGCTTACCTAAACTCAGATTAAACATCAGAAAGACAAGAAAATAAGCCTCATTCATTCTATTGATTTTCTAACTCTGTATGAATTACAAGCATTTTTAGTTTGAGTTGGGTGCAAAAAGCTACACTTCTAAGAACCACATTAACAAAATTGATGCATCCTCGTTGACATTATTATTATGAAATTGGCTCATAGTTTCCTTTTTTGTAATACAATTCTTTTGTCTTCAATCCTGTAGTCATTTCCTGATGTAAATTTACCATTTCATCTTAAATGACAATATCCTGTGTCAATACAAATAATTACACAAGTGGGGTTTTTCCAATATAGATTTAATCTTTTTTTAATAAATAACTCCACTAACGAATCCACTCTTACTGAAAACTGGTAAATTTCAGTGTATTTTTCGACTTTCTTCCGACCTTTAGATGTAGTCATCTGTGTTTCTTTGTCATTCAATTACACGTATTACCTTGTAGTTACAGCAACCCATCCACGTTGACAAGGACGTATGTTAGTTATACGTCCTTGATGTTGATGAAGTTAACGAGTCCTCATTGTCTTACTTGGGGAAACATTAATGGCAATTAAAATGTCCGTGTTTACAGAATTCCGACGAAACAGTGACATGACATAGTTTCTAGACCAGAAGTTATTAATCTCAATGTTTTTTTGAACTACATATGGATACAATTAGGATATAGTAAATTCATTCATGTAGTGGCCACCAAATTACTCCCACCCCACCTAATTTGGCTACTTTTCACTTTTTCGCTTTTTCAAGAAGGGCATTAGGGTTGTCATATTTTCGTAAAAGCACATAAACGGGAACGGGTTTATGAACCATGAATTGCAGGATTGAACTCCAGGACCTTCTTAACCTTGGACCCTGGTCCAACCTCTTTTTCGAGCAAGTCGAGCCAGAATCCCAGGCTTACTCCTGCTGCCAACACATTCAGCTGGGGCTGTTACAATCACTACAAACGGGATTGAGGTCAAATGGGTTAAATAAGAGAATATACAATTTCATACTAAAAGATATTATTAAAGATAAATAAAAATGTAGATTCATATAAAAAGCGTGAGTGTATATGATGACATGTCTCCCCTGCTAAATAGTTACTGATCGTTATCTAATTTATGTTGAAAGGTTTTACAAGGCAGGGCCGTAACTAGCCTCTGTTAAAAGTGAGGCGAAATTATTTGCCGAGCGGAGCGAGAGAGGTCTGGGCCCCCAGAAGCTCTGGAAATAATGACGCAAAATCGTGCATTCGGAGCGTTTCCCGGACCCTTTCTTAATCTGAAACGCAAGTTTTGTTTTAATTATTTTTTTGACAATATTCTGGTCTCAGAGCTAAATATATAGATTCAGTGTAAGACTTAGTTTTTAGGGACAACAATTACATCAAAAGACCGATATGTAGGATAAAGCAAAAATCGCAATTCACATAGTTAAGTGTTTGGCTACTGTTTTTTTTAAATTTTTTTTTGTTTTTTTTTTTTGTTATTGAGTTTCTGCTTGTAGGAAAAACGTATTTTACCTGTCAATTATGTTTTTTTTTCAAATTAAGTTAAGAAGGGGCTGATTATCATTGATATAACTATGTGAATTCAATTTTTATAATACACTTCAATTACAAATTGATGTAATTCCTAACTGGGATAGAAAGGGTACACTCAAGGTAGACTCAGGAAAACTGTTCTTAAGACCTCATTGCAACATTTTTGTGCTGTTTTAATATGTATACCGGGTGATTCATGTCGGATCTGCCTGTTCTGGTCTTATATTGTGTTTAGACTTTGGTGTAATTTTTTTGTGACTTTGAAATTTATTTATTTAAACATTTTCTCGAACAATATCTGGACATCGGTTGACATGTAACATTGCGAACCACACAACCGTTCACACTTTGACTATGCTATTTCGATATTTTTTATTATCAATGTTTCACAGACTAACCGATACATATTTTACAATTTAAAGTAGTTTTTAAAATTAGACGAAAGGTCCTTAAATATAATAAAACTCAAGTTTAAAACAAAATTACTAATTTACAAATGAAATTCAACGCTAAGACAATAGCCATGAAGAAGGACAATCAATGAACAAAAGACAAACCCGTGAATAGATAAGACACATAACAACAAATTATAGACAATCAACAGTTACACTGAAAACTGAAAATAAATGAGAAACATGGATCCCGAAAAAACAGGGGCGACATCAGAGGGTGAACAGAAGTTGCTTCTTGCAAGACACTCGCCGTGAAAACAATTTGATATGAAGACAAGCTTTTGTTTCAACTTAATATATTTTTTTTTAATTTCCAACATGAGGCATTTGCCTCATTTGCCTCAATGTAGTTACGGCCCTGCAAGGAGTCTCGCATAACCTCAACTTATCAATGATCAATGTAAATGAGGTCAAGGTCAAATAAACCCTTACAATTATTCCATACAACAATTAAAGTTGACCTGCTGCATAAAGTATCACAGAAACAGACCTATCCACAAAAATTTGACCAAGGAATCTTGAAAATGAGGTTAAGGTCAGATGATTACTGCCATATCGACATATACACCTTACAATCATTCCAAGCAACAAATATAAACTTAACTTTGATCATTTATGAAAATGAGGTCACGATCATATGAACCCTGCCAGACAGACATGTTTACCTTACAATCATTCCATACACAAAACATAGTTCGCCTATTGCTTATAGTATCTGATAAACTAACAAAATCATGAAAACTTAACATTGACCAATGAACCATGAAAATGAGGTCAAGGTTAGATGAAATCTTCCAGTCAGACATGTACACCTTACAATCACTCCATACACTAAATATAGTGGCCCTATTGCTTACAGTATCTGAGAAGTAGACCAAACCACAAAAACTAAACATTGTCCCCTGAACCATGAAAATGATCGATGTCAGTCAGATAAAAGCTGCCAGTTGGACATGTACACCTTACAATCATTCCATACACAAAATATAGTTGACCCATTGCTTATAGTATCTGAGGTACGGACTTGATCATGTAAACTTTAACTCAATCGATGAAATCAGGTCGAGGCCAGTTAAACCCTGTTTGACATACATGTAGACCTTGCGAGGAACCCATATACCAAATATAGTCAACCATTTACTCATAATAAGTGAGTATTTCATATAAAAAAAAATTTAAGCAGTCACTTAGCCATGAAAATGAGGCCAAGAGCAATGGACATATGTCAGACAAAAACATTGTAACATTATAAGGAATCTGCATATAAGGTATGAAGCATTGAGGTCTTCTACCTTCTGAAATATAAAGCTTTATACATATAGTTTATGCCTTCACAGCTATCGCTAAAGACTTAACATTCTTCAGATGATGTTAAGATCAAAATGACCATTCAAAATTAAAATTAATTTACTGGTATTATTTCCCTGGAAATGAGAAGTGCCAATGCTAATACAAACTGCACATAAAATATCATCGACTTACCATGAGTGGTTATTCTTAAACTGACCTAATCATATACTTAACTTGTGTCACCTATGCAGTATCAGTCAATAGACCATGACTGAGGGGGTGGTTGGGCCAAAAATTCTCCAAGGAAATAAGACATGTCTATGCTAATACAAGTGAATACCAAATATTATTAGTTTTAATATTATTACCATTAGACGTTCTCCTTAAACTGACCTAATAAAAAAAAAAGAAGCAAATTATTGATGACGACATCAAGAACAGCACACCTATGTCTCGCCTATGCAACTTCTTCATGGTGAGACAGAAATCAAAAGATGTACAGTCCCTAAAAGTGGACTTATTTATATTTATAGTTTCTGATCACTTTTGTTTTTTTCCTTTAAGACTAATGTAGTGAAATATCATAAATACAATAGGATCCTGAGAAACAGACAAGAATATAAAATTGATTGCCTTGGAATTTTCAATCAATATTGCCTCCCTGTGAGACAATCTAAAATCAGGAAAAACTGTTAACAAAGAGATATGTCTCACCTATTTGTTATTTTGATAATGCAAATGTTGAAATTAAAATAGCAAAACTTTACATGTAAGTTATGCAAATATTCAAAGTCAATGAACCATGACTGAAGGTACAGGGCTAAACAATCTCCATGGAAATGAGATGTGCCAATGCTAATACAACTGCATACCAAATACCATTGACTTATCATAAGTCGTTCCCTTTCAACAAACCTAAACACAAACATTACTTGTAAACTATGTAAAAGTTTCAAAGTCAATGAACCATGATGAGGGGGTGGGGCTATATAATCCATGAAAATGAAACTTGCAAATGCCAATACATTTGCATACCGAATATCATTGACTTAACATTAGTGGTTCATCTTAAACTGACCTAATCACAAACTAATACATGTAAACTAAGTAAAAGTTTCAAAGTCAATAGACCATGACTGAGGGGTAAGAACCAAATATTCTCCATGGAAATGAGATGTGCTAATGCTTATACAACTGCATACCAAATATCATTGACCTACCACTAGTGGTTCCCCATAAACTGACCTAATCACAAACTAATACATGAAAACTAAGCAAAGTTTCGAAGTCAATAGACCTTGACTGAGGGGGCTGGGCCAAATAATCTCAATGGTAATGAGATGTACCGATGCTAATACAACTGCATACCAAATATCATTGACCTACCACTAGTGGTTCCCCATAAACTGACCTAATCACAAACTAATACATGTAAACTAAGTAAAAGTTATAAAGTCAATAGACCATGACTGAGGGGTAAGAACCAAATATTCTCCATGGAAATGAGATGTGCTAATGCTTATACAACTGCATACCAATTATCATTGACCTACCACTAACAGTTCCCCTTAAACTGACCTAATCACTAACTAATACATGAAAACTTAGCAAAAGTTTCAAAGTCAAAAGACCATGAATGAGGGGGCGGGGCCAAATAATCTCCATGGAAATGAGATATGCCAATGCTTATACAACTGCATACCAAATATCATTGACCTACCACTAGTGGTTCCCCATAAACTGACCTAATCACAAACTAATACATGAAAACTAAGCAAAGTTTCAAAGTCAATAGACCTTGACTGAGGGGGCGGGGCCAAATGATCTCCATGGTAATGAGATGTGCCGATGCTAATACAACTGCATACCAAATATCATTGACCTACCACTAGTGGTTCCCCATAAACTGCTAATCACAAACTAATACATGTAAACTAAGCAAAGTTTCAAAGTCAATAGACCTTGACTGAGGGGGCGGGACCAAACAATCTCCATGGTAATGAGATGTGCCAATGCTAATACAACTGCAGACCAAATATCACTGACCTATCATTAGTGGTTCACCATGAACTAGACCTAATCACAAACTAATACATTGTTGACACCGCAGTCGCCGACGCAGGAAACAGCATACCTATGTCTCGCTTTTTGACTCAGTCAAGGCGAGACAAAAAGCTATTTTTCCATATAAAAAATATATGGGAGATATTGCAATCATGGTAAAGGGTAAAATTTATGATCAAGGTTAAATAGTTTAATCTGAAGTATTCAAGGTTAAATAGTTTAATCTGAAGTATAATGCAGTTAATGTACAAATAAAATTGAGAATGGAAATGGGGAATGTGTCAAAGATACAACAACCCGACCATAGAGCGGACAACAGCCGAAGGCCACCAATGGGTCTTCAATGCAGCGAGAAACTCCCGCACCCCGATGCGTCCTTCAGCTGGCCCCTAATCAAATATGTATACACGTTCAGTGATAATGGACGTCATACTAAACTCCAAATTATACACAGGAAACTAAAATTAAAAATGATACAAGACTAACAAAGGCCAGAGGCTCCTGACTTGGGACAGGCGCAAAAATGCGGCGGGGTTAAACATGTTTTTTGAGATCTCAACCCTCCCCCTATACCTCTAGCCAATGTAGAAAAAACAAACGCACAACAGTACACACTGTAAAAATCAGTATAAGAGAAGTCAGAGTCCGATGTCTGAATAGGAATTAAAAGAAAATAAACAAAATGACAATAAAACATAAATAACAACAGACTACTAGCAGTTACTGACATGCCAGCTCCAGACCTCAATTAAACTGATTGAAAGATTATGTCTTCATCATATGAATATCAGGCACAACCCCTCCTGTTAGGGGTTTAGTATTATACTGTCATCAAATATATGAGAAGAACATAACCTGTGTCATGCCAACAACTGGTTTTAAAACAAATGTGTTTAATTTCGATGCAAAGACCCTATAAGTGAATCAATATTAAAGCCAAAATATGCAATCTTTAATGACCTGACAACAGTATCGTAACTATATCCCTTCTTAATAAGTCTGTTTAAAGGTTTTGTTAGCTTTTGAGGTGAATACTGACATTTTTGTGCTTTGAAAAGAATATTACCATAAAAGATTGGATGTGAAATAACCGAACGTATAAGATGTCTGCATGTTGAGTTATATTTACGAATGATGTCCTTATACCGATGATAAAATTTAATATATTTTGACTAGTTTATGATATCGAAAACCCTGATGTAATAATTTTTCAGTAATACATAAATTTCTCTCGCTAAAATCTAATAGGTTGTTACATACACGAGCGAATCGTACAAGTTGAGATATATAAACACCATATGATGGTGACAAGGGAACGTCACCATCTAAAAATGGATAATTAACGATAGGAAATGAAAAATCATCTCTTTTATCATAAATTTTTGTATTAAGCTTCCCGTTAATGATATAGATATCAAGATCGAGGAAAGGACAGTGGTCATTGTTAGTTTTAGCTTTATTTAAAGTAAGTTCAACAGGATAAATTTCTTTAGTATACATACTGAAGTCGTCATTATTGAGAGCCAATATATCATCCAAATATCTAAAAGTATTGTTAAATTTTTGTATCAGATGTTGTTTCGATGGGTCTTTGCTGATTTTAGTCATAAATTGTAACTCATAACAATACAAAAACAGGTCCGCAATAAGTGGTGCACAGTTAGTCCCCATTGGAATTCCTATAACTTGACGATATACGGAATCTCCAAAGCAAACAAAAATGTTATCAAGTAAAAATTCAAGGGCAGATATCGTATCAAAGCATGTCCAATTGACAGAGTTCTTTTGCCTATTGGTAAATGATGAAAAGTAGAATGAAAACGGATTTTTTTCTGGATTGTTTCCTACATATGACAACATAATAAAGAGGAAACAAAAGAAAATTATTAAACCTTTCTTCAACCTCTCAAAAATACCCTACCTATGACATATTTGGGGAACCTAAGTACAGATAAAATGTGAAATATCAATGAATTGATGGATGATTGGATAAAATATAATTTCCCTTTATACACAACAATAGACAAGAAAATGATGTATAAAAAAAAAGAAAACGTTTTTTTTTAATATATTTATCTGAATAAACTGTTTGATTTCATCTTTTTATTCATAGGTTTTTTGCCAGACATCCAGTCAGGTAACTTTCTTTTACTTCCACTCGTTTGAGAGTCTGTTTCTGATTTGACAATTTGACTTCCTGTGAAAGACATTTGTTTTTCATTTTGAAATTGGCTACTTGAGCCAGCAGATAACGACTTTTGTAACAAGGGTTTTGACTGATTGTTATAACTGTCTGATGTAGATTTCTGTAGAGTTGGTTTTATCCGACTTGAATTAATTTTTTGTTGACTAGGCTCCTCACTAAATAACAGTTCATCTTCATCCTACAAATACAAAGCAAATGCTAGATAAAAAATCATCATCAACTCACAGTTTGACAGGAAAAAGTCATTTGATTTAATTCCTCATTTCAGCGATTTTAACTCTTTTTAGCTTTTGGTTTATACAGATATATAAGTAGAGAGGACAAACAGTATACTGTATTTTCAAAATGGAACTAAAAATGATGACCTCTGTTTTTATTCACAATTTTTCTAGACTCAGGATCCCTTTACTGGACAGACAGACAGGGATAAAAACATGCTCCCTTCTTGACTTTTCATATTAGGGGCATAAACAAGATTTCATTGGTGGAATGAAGACAACAAAAAATAGTTTTTTACTGAATGTCTGGGAAGATTTCAATAAAGAAATTTATCGCTATTTTCTACAGTTTTCCTTTGACCTTTTTTTGTGATAATTTTTCATATCATGTTGCTCGAGTGATGTGGGTGTGAAGAGAAAGAGAATGTATGATATCATGAGCCTACATCATTGGGGTTGCCTAGGAACACAGCAATAAACAGGATATCAATGGTATTCCAAACTCAAGGATGTTTCTCAGCTACATCTCACCTCAGGGCTGTCTCCCTTCAATAAGATTTTAGCTGAGAAAAAGCACGTTTTGAAATACCATGGATAATGTATACATATCTTTAATACATTTATATAATCTGTGAAGGTTGAAAAACAAATAATAGCTTTATCTACCCTGTACCTGTGATGACCAGTCAGAATCATCTGGTGATGTCTTTACAGTGGCATTCTCTTGTGATGTCTTTATAGTGGCACTCTCTTGTGATGTCTTTATAGTGGTACTCTCTTGTGATGAAGGACAAACTATCAGCTCTCCTGTTGGTTTTAACTCCTGACCATATTTTTGTACCAATATTGCTATGACAACCCTAATATGGTTATATTCAATGTAAGGTGGCAAGGCATCCTTTATCTTGGTCAGTCTACCAATCTCTGAAATAGTATGCATATATCTTATCAAACAAAAAGGGATAGCCATTCAAAATAATTAAATTTGTTTTTTAATGTGATATCTTTTTTAAAGATTTTCTGGTACACTTACGCTGTATAAATGGAAAACAAAATGCACTATTTTTGTCCATTCACATAAAATTCCAGAGGCAACTTGGGTTGCAAAACCGATAAATATGGCTGTTTTTCTCATTGAAAGTTGCATTGACTATTGTACTGTAATCAAAGGTGGGATACCTATTGTACCAAAGTTTGTACTGTAATCAAAGGTGGAATACCTATTGTACCAAAGTTTACATGGTAAGGGAGTGGTATTGTACCCGAGTCTAAAGGTGGATTGATTACTGTACTTTATTTATTTTTAAAAGTGGAATGCCTAATGTGTCTGAGTTTAGGCGGTTAGGGTGGAGTATTGTACCTGAATCTATTGGAGGATTGCGTATTGCATCTGTGATGAGATTTAGCATCTGTTTTGTGACTCCCAGTCGATGGATATCAGCTTCTAATCCTGCCTTGATAGCATCTGATATATGACCAACAACTGTTGTTGTCTTTAGACCTCTTAATGAAGCTACTTCTTCCTAAAAAAAACAAATTCAGGAAAAGGATTTCAATTAAAAATAAAATGCTCCGCTGGGCGCAGCTTGATACGACCGCAGAGGTCGAACCCCTGAACAGTTGGGGCAAGTTTTGACACAACATTCAAGCTTGATACACACTGAATTTGGATTGTGATTAAATATTTGACACAGCATAGGTTTCCGACACAGAATGAATGTGGTCTAAGAACTTATAAATTTTTAATTTACCTATTCAAACCATATCATTATTATTTGCTTTTATATATAAATCAGAAATAACCAATTTAAAATGGAAAATTTTAAAGAAAAAAAAATCCCTCCCCCCAAATTTTTTTAACCCCCTTATGATTCATCACCCCCAAACTCAATCCCAGCTTTCCCTTTGTGGTATGGTACCTTGCAGTACAATTTCAGAGAGATCCATACACTTGAACACAAGTTATTGTCTGGAAACTAGAAAAATGCTTGGTTTTTTTGCCCCTTTTTGGCCCCAAATTCCTAAATGTTTAGGGCAATTACCCCCAAACTCAAACCCAGCTTTCCCTTTGTGATATGGAACCTTGTAGTACAATTTCAGAAAGATCCATACACTTCCATTCTCAATTTTACTTACACACAAGTTATTGTCATGAAACTAGAAAATTTTGGTCCCTAATTCCTAACATTTTAAGGCAATTACCCCCAAAATCAATCCCAGCCTTCCCTTTGTGGTATGGTACCTTGCAGTACAATTTCAGAGAGATCCATACACTTGAACACAAGTTATTGTCTGGAAACTAGAAAAATGCTTATTTTTGGCCCCTTTTTGACCCCTTATTCCTAAACGTTTTGGGCAATTACCCCAAAACTCAATTCCAGCTTTCCCTTTGTGATATGGAACCTTGTAGTACAATTTTAGAAAGATCCATACACTTCCATTCTCAATTTTACTTGCCCACAAGTTATTGTCATGAAACTAGAAAAATGCTTGTTTTTTGCCCCTTTTTTGGGCCCTAATTCCTAAAATTTTGAGGCGATTACCCCCAGATCAATCCCAGCATTCACTTTGTGATATGGAACCTTGTGGTACAATGTCAGAAAGATCCGTACACTAGCAGACAAGTTATGTCTGGAAGTTACAAAAATGCTTATTTTTGGCCCCTAATTCCTTAACTGTTGGTACCATAACCCCCAAAATCAATCCCAACCTTCCTTTTGTAGTATTGAACCTTATGGTAAAATTTCATAGAGATCCATTCACTTAAACTAAAGTTAAAGTGCGAAAACCAATGTGTCTTCGGAGGACGACGACGAAGACGCCAACGTCATACCAATATACGACAACAAAATTTTTTTGCGGTCGTATAAAAATTACAAAATGTTCATTTTAAAAGAACTATTCAACAACATGTATAAACCATTATAAATATTTGTTCAGAGCTGTTATAATTATGGCACTATAATTTGAGTGCACACGCTGGAATGTCTAGCCTTTTTTACTTATCATTGAATTCATGTTGAAAGTATGTAATATGAAGGTTTTACAAGGATCACAAAACTTAACATTATCAATGTTCTATGAAAATGAGGTCACTTTCAGATGAACCATGTCAGACAGACATGTATACCTTACAATCATTCCATACATTAAATATAGTGGCCCTATTGCTAATAGTACCTGAAAAACAGACCAAACAACAAAATCTTAACATTGACCAATGAACCATGAAAATGAAGTCAAGGTCATATGAACCCTGCCAGACAGACATGTACATCTTACAATTATTCCATACACCAAGTATAGTTGACCAATTGCTTACATTAACTAATAAACTGACAAAATTACGAAGACTTATCATGTGTCCAATGAACAATGAAAATGAGGTAAAGGTCATATGAACCCAGCCAGACAGACATGTACACCTTACAATCATTCCATACACCAAATATAATTGAACTTTTGCTTATAGTATCTGAGATACGGACTTGACCATGTAACTTTAACCTTGATCACTGATCCATGAAATGAGGTGCATGTCAGGTCATGTTGGTTCAACAAAAATAAAGAATTCAGGATACTGTTAAAAGTTTTTAAAAATCATACTTCAAATGAACAGCTTTTGGAAAATAAAATAAGAACTATTGGCTTTATTACAATTTTATTGTGACCTCATTTAAATGACATTATAAATACTGTAGTAAGATTTTAAGCATAAGCAGACAAACTTAATGAACGTTTTGGCTAATTAATTAACAATGTACTTCATCAGTTTTGCACAAAATTATAATTGGTAAGTACATAGATAAATGCAATATACACTTCCTATGTGAAAACCATTTTCAGTTTGTGTTGTGTTTATATCATTTCTTAAGCTTGGCATGTGGGAGTCACACAGTTTTTTTTTTTTTAATTGTCATTAATCTACATTTACCAAGAAACTTTAATGCAATCTAATCCATACAAAGGAAATTTTATCATGAAGTACACAGATTCAACATTTGATTCTGTGAATCATGGACAGTTTGAAACCAGAAGTTACATGCTATTTCTTGAAAAGTACCCCACTTTTTATTAGGCGTTGACTTATAATTCCATGCTCAGGGGGTATAATAAAAATCAAATATCGTCAAACAGCAAGTGAATGCCCGTCAGATCAGAAAAATTCCTTACACCTTCCAACTCGAACATTATAAATTGAAAGAACAATTATTCCTTAATACAGAAGCGCAGCCCAATTATACACAACCATATTTAAAGATGAATGAATAAACAGACATGCCAGGTTGTTGCAGTGCAAAAATTCTTTCCCTGAGTGCATTGAAGTGTCAGTATGTAAAATGCATAGAATACTATATAATTAATAGCCTTAAATGAATACTTCTTCTAAAGGACACATATTTAGAAAACTTAATGCAAATATTTCAAAACGAATGTACGATGAAGGTAACTAATATTCTGCAGTTGGCAGGCAAGGATTATAAATTACCTATCATACTTTGGATTCATTTGTTTTCGTGTGTACCAATTTTTGTGGATTACGGAAAACATGCATTTTTGTGGATATTTGATTTCGTGGGATTACAAAGGTCTTCATACGAGCCAATAGAAAATTTGTACTTAATTGAACAATTAAATTCGTAGTTCATCTGTACCAGCGAAATCCACGAAAATTGGTATCCCAGGATTAATAATGAATCCACAGTAAGAACGTTTTTATTAATACATATAATAGTAAAACTTGAAAATGGAACAAATAAAATAAATATCCAATCTCATAGGAGCATAACTTATGGAGTATGACTTTACAGATAGTGGATTCAATTCATATGTACTGGTGCTAATGCTATCCATCCTCTACCATTATAACTTATTCTGAAAGACAACTACAATCACATGATAATGTGATACTTACAATAGATTTATACGATCTCTGAAACATGACATAAGATAATCTGCATGTTTCTGTTAATTTCCATATGAGGTCCGATGTGCTACAATCCCCATCCTAAAATGTAGCAAATGAATGTTTATTAGTTGTTAGCTGAGTGGCTCATAATAGTTTACCATTTTAAAGTATATAATGTGTGTACTGATACTCAAATGATACTGTTCATCTGTAACAGAAGCAAAAACTAAATTGTATTTGAAATACACAATATTCTTTAATGAAATTTTGGTTTTCGCTCTTTTGGTAAAAGAAAATACCGCTTGTGGGTCCATTGATGATTGATTGATTGATGGTGTTCAACACCACTTTCAGCTATCTTGGCTATATTGTGGTGGCCAGTTTTTATTGGGGGAGGAAGCCAGAATACCTGGGAAAACCAGTGACCTATGGCAGGAAAACTGGTAATCCTAGTCAATTAAGATAGGAGTCTAATGCACATGCCACAAGCAGGGTTCGAACTCACAATCTCAGTATTGAAAGGCTAGTGATAACTGTAGTCAACTACTTAGACCACTTTACTACCTAGGCCCCTTGTGGGTCCAGAAGTTAGGTCAGAACTGGTTAATGAATCATTATTATCTATCATGTCAGTTCAAACCGTTACTACGTTTATTTAATTCATTAAACACCTACCGCATTATCTCCAAGATCTACATCAGGGAAGTCATCCATCTTAAGATCATGAACATGACAGAAGTTCACAATTATACTGATAAAAATGTCACCAAACTTCTCCACTTTCGCTTCTGGGAAGTCTTCTAATTTTAACATATTCTGTTTTGTACTGGGCCTGAAATGAACATGATTATAATGAACATATATTTGTATATTTCTTTACCTCAACTCCAATCTAAAACTAGAAAAATCTTGTTCCCTTTTTCTCTTTATCTTAACTTTAATTTACATTAATTTCAATAGTGGGATGACAAATTGTCAATCGGTAAATTTCTTTCTATAACTAGTTTTTTTCATTAATTTTCTCAAGACCTAGTCCTATGTGATATAAAGCCAAACCTGTCCATCTGATTGTTAACCATAGTCGGATTACATGGAAACAAATGTAAATAAACTCATCATAGATACCACGCTTAAAATTTTGTTTCATCTCTAACAGACTTATCAGTGACACTCTATTCAAACTAGAGGCTCTCAAGAGCCTGTGTCGCTCACCTGTATTTACTGATGCTTTGGAAATCATGTAAAATAAGGTTAAAATCATAGTTAATAGTATTAGATATTAGATATTATAATGATATCTAAGATAATAACAAAAAACTGCAAAATTTCTGTAAAATTACTAACTCAGGGGCAGCAACCCAACAACAGGTTGTCGGATTCGTCTGAAAATTTCAGGGCAGATAAATCTAAATCTGATGAACATTTTTGCCACATGTCAGATTTGCTCTAAATGCTTTAGTTTCAGAGATATAAACCAAAAACTGCATTTTACCCCTATGTTCTATTTTTATACGCCCATTTATGGGACGTATTATGGTATACCGTTGTCCGTCTGTCCGTCCGTCGTCAACATGTCGGACATTAACTCAAAAATTCTTTAACCAATTTGCAGAAAACTTTGGTGAATTGTTTATATCTATGGACGTGAGCTCCCTTTCGTTTTTTATAAATTTTAGATTTTACGTTTTCGAGTTATGGGGTTTTATTCATCAAAAAAGGGGGGATTTTCCAGTTTTCGGACAATAACTCAAAAATGCTGTCAGCAATTCTCATGAAAATTTGGTGAATTGTTTATATCTATTGATGTAAGCTCCCTTTACATTTTCATAAATTACTAATATGACATTGAGAATTAATTGAACTTTATTTGTTTATAGTCTGACAACAGATTTACTAAGTATTGCGCAACAGCACAGTGTATTGCACAACAGCAAGAAATCTTTAATTGAATATAAATTCAATTCATATAACCAATTTCAAGTTCTTTGACGACTACATTTATTCAGAAACCTATAATATGTCAAATACTTAATACAATCCAAATTCAGACCTGTATCAAGCTTGAATATTGTGTCCATTTTTGCCCCAACTGTTCAGGGTTGGACCTCTGCGGGCGTATCCAGCTGCGCTCAGCGAAGCAGTTTATTAACCATGTCGGCCATGATGGTTGGAAGGCGGGGGTCATCGGACAAATTTTTTAAACTAGATACCCTAATAATGATTAAGGCCAAGTATGGTTAAATTTGTCTCAGTAGTTTCAGAGAAGAAGATTTTTGTAAAAGATTACAAAAATTGTTAAAAATTGACTATAAAGGGCAATAACTCCTAAAGGGGTCGACTGACAATTTTGGTCATGACGACTTATTTGTAGATCTTACTTTACTGAACATTATTGCTGTTTACAGTGTATCTCTATCTATAATAATATTCAAGATAATAACCAAAAACTGCAAAATTTCCTTAAAATTACCAATTCATGGGCAGCAACCCAACAACGGGTTGTCAGATTTGTCAGAAAATTTCAGGGCAGATAGATCTTGACCTGATAATCAGTTTTATCCATGTCAGATTTACTCTAAATGCTTATGTTTCAGAGATATAAGCCAAAATCTACATTTTACCCCTATGTTCTATTTTTAGCCATGGCGGCCATCTTGGTTGGTTGGCGGGGTCATCGGACACATTTTTTAAACTAGATACCCTAATGATAATTGTGGCCAAGTTTGGTTAAATTTGGCCCAGTGGTTTCAGAGGAGAAGATTTTTGTAAAAGCTAACGACAACGGACGACGACGACGAAGGACGACGGACGCCAAGTGATGAGAAAAGCTCACTTGGCCCTTTGGGCCAGGTGAGCTAATAAAATGAAATCATTAATCAGTTAATTAATTCTTAGTTTAATCTCAATATTTGCAAATAATACAAAAAACATGATATCCCATCTAATGAAACAAGCAAAACCAAGATTGGGACAAATAAATGCAAGGTTGGATGCTCAGTTTTACATTATCTATCTACCTTAATTCTGATGTTTATTTTGGAGTTTCTGGTGATGCAAGAGACATACAAATTGAAAAAAAAATTACAGTGTATTATTTGAAGATCTTGAAATGCTACTAGGTTACATTATCATATATGCTTAGCTTAAACACAGTTTGATAGTTTGATTAATTTAATAATATAACTGTAAAATTTTATTGTAAAACAAAAATTTGTGTCTGTAGGAAACCATGCCCCGCTTACACTTTCACATTTCCCTGCTCAGTGAACTGAGAAATCTGGGTCAAAAGCCTAATTTGGCATTTAATTTATTAACTTCACTTTATAATGTACTTAATCTAAAGTTGATGTGACTACAAATTACCTGAAAACAAAACTTTAACCTTATATGGGATGGAGGAGGGATGGAAAGAATGGAAAACATAATGCTCCTTTACAATAGTTGGTGGGTCATAAAAGTGGGAGGTCACACAACTTACAAATATCATTTAACATGTTACAAATAATAAGCCTTACATCTGCTTGCTGCCTATCATATAATTGCTGATTTATCAAAAAAATGATATATCTAGAAAGAATACATAACAAACATTAATTATACATTTTATTCCTCTGCTAATATTTTACTTTCTTTATTTACACAAACCTGATCTCAGTCATGTTCAGTAATACTTTATTACTAGCTATAGAATGTGGGGTATAACCAGTTTTACTCCCTTCATCAATACAAACCTAATCTTAGTCATGTCCAGTAATACTTAATTACTAGCTATAGAATGTGGAGTGTAACCAGTTTTACTCCCTTCATCAATACAAACCTAATCTTAGTCATGTCCAGTAATACTTTATTGCTAGCTATAGAATGTGGGGTGTAACCAGTTTTACTCCCTTCATCAATACAAACCTAATCTTAGTCATGTCCAGTAATACTTTATTACTAGCTATAGAATGTGGGGTGTAACCAGTTTTACTCCCTTCATCAATACAAACCTAATCTTAGTCATGTCCAGTAATACTTTATTGCTAGCTATAGAATGTGGGGTGTAACCAGTTTTACTCCCTTCATCAATACAAACCTAATCTTAGTCATGTCCAGTAATACTTTATTGCTAGCTATAGAATGTGGGGTGTAACCAGTTTTACTCCCTTCATCAATACAAACCTGATCTCAGTCATGTCCAGTAATACTTTATTGCTAGCTATAGAATGTGGGGTATAACCAGTTTTACTCCCTTCATCAATACAAACCTAATCTTAGTCATGTCCAGTAATACTTTATTGCTAGCTATAGAATGTGGAGTATAACCAGTTTCACTTGCTACTTCATTTCTCTTCTTTATTAACTCTGCATACAGATCGTTCTATAAAACAAAATGTTGTAATAAAATCTCACAGAACAAAGGTATTATTTACTCCAGAATAAGTACTGTAAATTCAGAAATTATTGCGAGGTTTTTATTAATGTGAATAATGCGATTGGGTGAGTATTGCAATAATAAGAACTCACATTTTTATATCCGTTACATATATCTGTATATATATATACAAAGCACAAAAATGTCGACATTCACCTCAAAAGCTAACCAAACCTTTTAACAGACTTATTCAGAAGGGATATAGTTACGATACTGTTGTCAGGTCATTAACATGGCATATTTTGGTATTAATATTGATTCACTCATAGGGTCTTTGCATTGGAAATAAACACATTTATTCTAAAACCAGTTGTTGGCATGACACGGGTTATGTTCTTCTCATATATTTTATGATAGTATGATACTAAACCCCTAACGGGAGGGATTGTGCTTGATTTTCATATGATGAAGAAATAATCTTTCAATCAGTTTAATTGAGGTCTGGAGCTGGCATGTCAGTAACTGCTAGTAGTCCTTTGTTAATTTATGTATCATTGTCATTTTGATTAGTTTCTTTTGTTACCTATTCTGACATCGGACTCCGACTTTTTTAAACTGAGTTTTACTGTGCCTATTGCTGTGTGTTTGTTTATTCTACATTGGCTAGAGGTATAGGGGAGGGTTGAGATCTCACAAACATGTTTAACCCCGCCACATTTTTGCACCTGTCCCAAGTCAGGAGCCTCTGGCCTTCATTAGTCTTGTATTCTTTTTAATTTTCATTTATATGTTTTGGAGTTTAGTATGACGTCCATTTTCATTGAACTAGTACACATTTTGTTTATGGGCCAGCTGAAGCCCGCCTCCGGGTGCAGGATTTTCTCGCTGTGTTGAAGACCCATTGGTGGCCTTCAGCTGTTTTCTGCTCTTTGGTCGGGTTGTTGTCTCTTTGACACATTCCCCATTTCCATTCTCAATTTTATTATACAGTTGTTCCTAAAATCGCAATAATAAATCTCATTTTTGTCTTTTCTTCAAAAATTGCAATAATAAATGCACGCAATAATTTCTGTATTTACAGTAGTATTGTTGGTTGAAAGGCACTCAAAATATCCCATGCACAGCTGATCAGTGTTTTAATGTATTTAATAAAAGGAAATGTTTAGATTACTAGATAGATTTTGGATGGGTGATGGAGAAGGAGATTCAGAGACGATTTTTCTCATCAAAAAATAAAAAGGAACCAATATAATTATTATTTATATTAAATAAAATTGTAATGGACAAATCCTGATTTACATTAGAAAAAATCTGATTATTGGCAGAATACAATCCTCTCTTGATATAGAAAATATACCCCCCCCCCCCCCAACCCCATCACCATAACTTATCCATTTATATACTACCTAATTCCTATTCAACACATTGGTAAACTCTCATGAAATGCATTAAAAACACTTAACCCTTACCATGCGGGGGACCATAATATTACATCCTCTACCAAAATACCTGTTTTTCCCTCATGGCTCTCCACACTTTTAGAAGTCAACTGTATTGTATGTTTTTCAAAATTAATGGATGTTCCCTCCACCTAATGCTATTTATTGTCATGTTTCTCAGGTTTAAGGTGCAGATTGAGACCATATACAAACCTCGTAAATTGAAATCAGATAAAACTGGTTTTTCTGGAGGGGTGGACTTCCCTTCGGTGTCTGGGACACACAGTACAGAGGCCAAAACTTTTAAAAAATAGTGTCAACCCCCAGGCATATAACTCTTTGTGTTTATTTTTTAAATACGCTTAGGGAACGACTACTTCCAGTTGCACGTCCAGGTGAAGCCAAAAATAGAGAAAAATCAGAAAATCCCTTATTTTTGGTGGGAATGACCTTCTTTTAGACTACAATACTTAGATCAGGTTCACTCGGACTCAGCTCCTTTACGGTCAATGGTCCACTCTACATGCAGACTACACAGAAACACATCTATCAGCATCCCTCAGTCTTCATGTCAAGAAATAGGAAGAAAAATCGTAAAAATTGACGCTTTTTGCACCTGATGACAAACTTTGGGGCAGATTCACGACCACCAACCCACCCCTACCTCCTCAACCTAACCACCTGATCCGTGATCCCATATCTTAGCTTTATTTGAATTAATATACAACAACAGCAGGGTATAGCTCATGTGCATATAACTTGCATATTTTTACAAATGAATGAAAATTATACATTTTCTGAAACCAACTCAGTATGATAAGAGTTAAAAGGGTTTCACTTTATAAAAGATGAATACAGTTGACCTCCAGATGTCTTTTTTTGTTGTTTTTATGTTCTTAAGTTACTGCCTCATATATATGAAAGAGCTCATACAAGATAATCCCATAATGCACATATTGTAGGATAAACTACTCTAGTCTGGAATCTATTGCAACATAATAGTGTTGCTTTCAGATAATAAACAAGTAATGAAAGGGGTTCAATCAAAATATTGACCATAATTCAAAATAATTTTAACTTTTTAAGGTTCTCTTTAAGAGCAATTTTCGGTTTTCATTAAATATTCCCCAAACTGACCAATTTTATTACTTCTTTGTACTAGTCAAATATCCCGAGTTTTTATCTTCTTATCAGACAAGGTCATAGTCTGCAGATAGACATAGCCTACTCAGACACATCAATCATTTCGACCCAAAGTCAAACAGTCTTCAATCTTAACTTTAACGCTGCTTGCATAGCAGAGAAGCAGATATACATATGTTCAGTCATTACCTGAACAATGAACTTATCAGCTACCTAAAGTACTACAGTTGAGCATGTTCAAAAAGACCATTTAAAACCATTTGACAAGTTTTGTACTTGCCTGTAATTTGATAACTCTTGGACTGACTATAGGCACTGGTTTTGGAGGTGAAGATTTCTTAGCCGATGGATTGTAGTAGTAATTTGATGGAGTCCAGTTTGCTGCTGTTACTTTCTGTGGTGTTACATTCATCTGAGGTCTTGGACTGTAGGAGAACAAATCAATAGATACTTAAGTTATTTAAATACAAAATTATTAACAAGTAAAAACCTGGCACTGTCAACTGATGCTCCCCAAACTGCACATTTATTGAGAGAAAACATTTTTATTTCAATGGTTAAAAATGTCTTCAGACTACATCACCATACTTTTATACGGCCGTAAAAATTTTCAATCGTATAACAATTCAGGTATGCTTGGAAGGACAAATAAACATGAACTATTATTGCTTATTTTTCACCTCTATAAATGTGTTACAATTCAAAGTGGGATACCATCCTAAAACCACCATAAAATAAATACAGGAAGTGACCTTCACCTATTTTAAGTAACAGTAACCTTTGACCCATGGGCAACAAAATCAATAGGCTTTCCTATTCCCCTTCCCTATATATTCCATCTTATTCTTACTCCAATCAAGCAAGGGAAACTCAATTTACCAACAGGAAACCATTTTTCCAAAACAAAATATATTGTTAATAAGTGACCTAAACCTTTGACCCCTTTCCTATAGCATTCATCTGTATAATGTTTCATTCAATTCAAGCATTGGATTTATAGATTATCAATGGTTTTTCAAATCAGAGAATGTTTCTCAGCTACAATCTCATCGAAGGGCAAAAGCCCTGAGATGAGATGTGACTGAGAAACATCCTAGAGTTTGAAAGAACATTGATAATCTGTTTATCACTATTTTGCCTGTGACATTGTTCATGTTTACATTGACAACGGCAAGTGCACCCTAAGTTTCCAGCGATACTTTTCAATCGAGTGGCAAGAAAAATTATCAAAAAAATAGATAAATGAATAAATACACAAAATAGCAGATGGACAAAAAGTTTACTATCTGCACTCGAACAAAATTTTCAGGGAGCATAAACGTCATTTATTTCTTAGATTTAAGATTTGATAGTTATGTATACATCAAAATTAAAACTTAATGCACAGGGTATGGCCATTAAAATAAAAACAGAATGTTGTGTTTGGCCCTCATCAGTAATTATAAATATGAGAATTAAGACTTACAGTATTTGCACTGTAACTCTAGGTTTGTTATCAGCTGCCACCATGTCTGTCATGGGCACAATTTTCAGTGATTTTTTTGTAGGATCTTTCATCCACACATGAGCCTTTGAAGACAAGTGGACAGTAGCTCCAAATCCACCCTGTACTGCTTTCTCCTCTAAATAACCTTCATAAATTAGTGCTTTACCTGTAAATACCAAGACATAAAAAAATGAAGGGTAAAAATTGCTTTAATTTATCAGTGGAAGGCAAAATTAAACATTGCATAGTATAAAGCATTGATTGTAGTTGATTCAACTATAATCATGGACAAAGGAAGATAACTCCAATTTTAAAAATGACTTGATATTTAGAAAAAAAAAAAAAAAATTTAGCAATTTTTCCATTTGTAAAGGTTATAACTCTAGAACAGTAAAAGTGAAGGCACCAAAATTCAATCTTGATCTATATATTGTGGTAATAAGCATTGTGTATAAGTTTCATAACATTTGGTTGAGGCAAACTAAAGTTAGAGAACGGAAACCAACTTTGGGACCTACGGACGGACGTACAGACGGACAAGGGTAAAACTTAATGCCCCCTCCGCTACGGCGGGGGCATAAAAAAACTTTTCATGCAAGATCATTTTCATAAATCAAGAGTTCCACAAAGTGAAAGAAACCAAAGTAACAGTAATGAAAACTTCTCTTCATCAAAAGTTAGAAATAGTGAGAAATAGATATCACAATTTTCTGACACTTCATTAATAAACTGTTGTCACAGAGATATGTCACACTTATCGGCATAAAATTCAGAAAAAAGACAATCTGATGGACAGCAACATTGCTTATTAATTCAGTCACTGGACCATGATCTAGTGAGCAGGGCCTGAAAATGGTCGACAAACTGAGATGTACAGACAGTAATGTAACCTTATAGAAAATATTGTTGTTAATTGCAAGTAGTTCATATCAAATTGACTTAAGTTGAAAAATTTAACATTGAAAATTGCTAATCAATTAAAAGTCACTGGACCATGTCTTAGGGGCCAGGGCCTCAAAATAGTCGTCAAACTGATATGTACTGATAGTAATTCAACTTAATACAAAATATCATTGATCTATCACAAGTAGTTCTTATCAAACTGACTTAAGCAGAAAAACTTAACATTGAAAATTGCTAATTAATTCAAAGTCACTGGAACCATGTCCTAGGGGTCAGAGCCTCAAAATAGTCGTCTGATATGCACTGATAGTAATGCAACTTCTTACAAAATATTATTGATCTATCACAAGTAGATCCTATCAAACTAACTTGAGCAGAAAACTTAACATTGAAACTTATTAATTCAAAGTCACTGGACCATGTCCTAGGGGGCAGGGCCTCAACATAGTCATCAAACTGATATGTACTGATAGTAATGCAACTTAATATTAAATATCAATGATCAATCACAAGTAGTTCCTATCAAACCAACTTAAGCAAAAAACTTAAACAATTGTTGACGCCATCACCGGAGCTGTCGCCGGAAAACTGATCCCTATGTGTTGCTTTTCGTCGCAGGCGAGACAATAAAAACAATATAACTTATTCATTTATCTTGTAAAAAGATAATGGTCTCCCTAAATCAAAAGTTTAATAGGCCCTATATAATGGACATTCACAAATTATCATATCAAAAGTTGAAACTGCCCTTAATATATACATTCATACATACTGGTCATTCAGACCTTTTTTTATTATTGCTGTACACAATTAAATCTGCCCTATAAAAAAAAAAATTCACAAGTATTATAATCCTCCCTACATAATGGACCCTTAGTTATTCAGACCTTTTTTCTGTCATACAGGTAAAAAGTTACAGGATATCAAATCTAATTTTATGCATATCATACATATATTATAAAAGGTCCTGGTATGAGGAAATGTTATACTTTTCTAAAGAATCTGGTTTGTACTACAACAATGATTGAAAACATCTATTTTTTTTAATAATTTCTGTTTTACAATACTTTTGTTTCAATAAACTGTTAACACAGAGATATGTCTCGCCTGTTTGTTATTTTGATTATGCAAATGTAAATAGAAATACTTTAACATGTAAGTTATGCAAATATTCAAAGTCAATGAACCATGACTGAAGGTACAGGGCTAAACAATCTACATGGAAATGAGATGTGCCAATGCTAATACAACTGCAAACCAAATACCATTGACTTTTCATAAGTCGTTCCCTTTAAACAAACCTAAACACAAACATTAACTTGTAAACTATGTAAAAGTTTCAAAGTCAATGAACCATAATTAGGGGGTGGGGTTATACAATCTCCATGGAAATGAAACTTGCAAATGCCAATACATTTGCATACTGAATATCATTGACTTAACATTAGTGGTTCATCTTAAACTGACCTAATCACAAACTAATATGTGTAAACTAAGCTAAAGTTTCAAAGTCAATAGACCATGACTGAGGGGTAAGGACCAAATATTCTCCATGGAAATGAGGTGTGCAAATGCTTATACAACTGCATACCAATTATCATTGACCTACCACTAGTGGTTCACCATGAACTAGACCTAATCACAAACTAATACATTGTTGCCGCCACCGTAGCCAACGCCGGAAACAGCATACCTATGTCTCGCTTTTTGACTCCGTCAAGGCGAGACAAAAACCACTTACCAGAATTTAATTTTTAAGATGTGTTTGGTAAGGTTTTGCTCATTGTTGAAGGCAATACAGTGGCCTGTAAATGTCACATCTTTGTCCCTTTGTTCTTTATGGATAATTGTCTCATCAAATGTCCATTCAATTTTATCAAGAGAATCATACAAAAAAAATTAAATGCTAAAATCAGCTTTTGAACACCTGTAATTTGACCTGAGAATTGAACAGTTATCAACATTTGAAAAGTATCAATGTGGTAATAAAATACAAATTAAATAATGGATGTTTTAATTGAGTGAATAGTAATACAAGTTTAAGGTCAATTACAGGTATACATACGTAATAGACATAAACCTCATTTAGACATGAAGCTTTAAAGGGAAAATTCGTGATTTTTTACTTATCATCTTATTATGTTCATAATACCATAAAAAAACATATTCACCAAGTTTTATCTGGATATGAAAACTAATAAAGAAGAAAATTGGGAATTATTAATTTTATTTATTCGAACTTCCTGACTTCTGTGACGTAGTTTAAGTCTTTTTGCATGCCGGGAGTGGAATTAATCTCCTTTAAGTCTTGTTCGTTAATCATCTAATAACGCGATTTAAAGCGCATCGACGACTTTTGGCGTAGCTATTAACCAACTAATAATGAAGAAAGTAAAGTGATCAGCCGTGCAACTTTTAAAAATAAAATGTACGATTTATATTTTAAGGATTTCTGATATGATTATAGTCATTATAGTAATAAAAGTAAATCATACAATAGAATATTTTTATGAATTTTTTTTCCGACGGATATTTTCAACAAACATATTTAACTGATAGTGTATTAAAAATGCATGTTTGTATTCTCACCTTTCACTTCAGTCTAGCAAACATTTTCCGCTAGTACCGTGTAAATACAATGTGTATTGTACTGTGACACTTAGTGACTACCTGTTGAATGCGTGGTTAAATTCAAGGTATTTAAAGGTTTGCATTCTGTAATTCCAATCTTTTGATCTTCACTCAGTGAATTTTAGCCGTCACGGTTCACCGTTCCAGGTGTGAACATCATTTCGTATGAATGATAAACGGGAGTGATAGTTTGAGACAGAAAATAAAAGAAATATAATTATTTTGAGGGAGTAATATGGTGGCACAATAACTGGATAGCCGTGGTATATTTTTATATTTTCCGTAAGCTCAGTTAACTGGATAGCCGTGGTATATTTTTATATTTTCCGTAAGCTCAGTTTAAAATGAATTATGACTGCTGAATATTTTTGTAACAATGAAATTCTAAATTAATTTAATTGAATAAATAATAATGGCATTCTAAACACGAGTGTATGAACTAAAAATTGTACTATTTTAAATTAGAATCGGTAACCTTGAATATTTGAAATAGATATAATTACCAATTGCAATTATATAATTTGGTCCGTCCAAAGCGATCTTTATTTACATATTCAGGAATTAATGTCCTTATCAAAATATTTTAAATCTCACAACGTATAAATACTTCAGCCATTTGAAGAAAGATAATTAAAAAGTTGACAGGAAATTTAAGGTCAACTTTGTCTTATTGGAATGAGATCGAATAATTAAGAACAAAAATTATTTTCCGGTTTGAAAAACATAAAAAAAAATGATAAAAGAGAAATGTGGGTTTGAGACAGAAAAAAATAATTATTTGGGGAGGAATATGGTGGCAAAATACCTGAATCGCCGTTATATATATTTTTTATATTTTGCGTTAGCTCAGTTTTTAAATAGATGGGTGAGTACTTTGTTGTAACATCGGAATTCTGAATAACTTTCAATGAAATAATTTTATAAATAAAAATGGCCCACGAAAACGAGCGTATAAACCAAAAACTGTGCTATTTTGAATTATCATCGGTAACCTTGAATATTTAAATGTGCAGAGAATATTATCAGTTACATTAATATAGTTTGGTCCATCCAAAGCGATCTACATTTACCTAATTGGGAATGTCCTTATTAAAATATTCTACATCTCACAACAAATACTTTAGCTATTTGACCAACGATGTTTAAAATTTTATTACAGAATCAATCTAACGTCAACTTGCCTTTATTGAATGGAGACAGACCGGCGGAATCAATGTTCAATGTGCTTTATATCTTGTACCTTTGTAAGACTTATCATTCATTCATAAACCATGTCTATACCGCAGACATATATATACATATGATTATATGTCTGTCTTAACTGACAAGAATACTCCTGGTTTTACACTAGTAATTTGTTGGGGCCCTTTATAGCTTAATTGCTGTTCGGTGTGAGCCAAGGCTCCGTGTTGAAGACCGTACTTTGACCTATAATGGTTTACTTTTATAAATTGTGACTTGGATGGAGAGTTGTCTCATTTGCACTCATACCACATCTTCTTATATCTATAAGCAGTATTATCTTTAAATTTCTGTGATTTAATACCAAGAAAGAAAAAAATCCCGAAATTAATTTGATACTTTGATACTCAATATTTTTCCTGGAAAATATTCACATCCTCATTCGGTCTGAAAATAAGATAAGAAACTGGTATACAGAACATGCAGAAGTGTGAATGTCATAAAACCTTGTTATATCAGAAACCATTATAAATGTGAGCCTGTTTACGTAAGACCTCATGGGACGATGTACCTAACCACATACAGGTAATATACAAGTAGCTCTGTTATACCCGGAAATGTCAAGGTTAATCACTACCGATACAGAATGTACCAATGCAAAGTAAATTCTGATGATTGTGAAGCATGACCATTCATGATTTTAGAGGAGTATTAGGTGGGGGATTGTCGGAACGATTTAAATTCTGACTAGATTTTTTCTCAATTTAAATCACTGAACTAAAAAAAAAAAAAGGAGAAAACAACGTCCAAGAACAGAATTCTTCTTGTAAATTCATAAATACAACGTTCTTATTTTGTAACTTTCGATAGACTTGACCTCCAACCCCCCCCCTCAAACCTGGGAACATTATATCTAACAATGTTTATGTTCCTGCCCAAATAAAAAAAAAGAAAGAGAAGAACCACTAGAGATGAACGGTAAGTCACATCAGATTCAGATATTTATATAGTTGATTGTCGTTAACTAGAGATGTATAGTTACATGTCTCTGCGTTAACTGATGAGAATAACAGGAAAGTATAAACTTAAAATAGATTTATGATGAATAATATGCAACTGCGGCACCCCTTTTTATCAAAGCGTACATGCATGTATTTTAATGACTGTCCGTTATTTCGATCATAATGACAATTGTACGTGAAATCCTATAGTTGGTGAGACTTTTTTTTTTACCAGATATGCGACTTTTTTCGTATTTATATTTTCTCTTATATTACTCTTATTTAATATTTTATGCATAAGTGCAATAGTGGGAATGGTTTATTCCCCCACAAGCTAACGTAATAAATTAATCAACCCTCAAGCTGATGAGACGTTAATACAACTACTATCAGTCTATCCGGAGTGAAGTTTCTTTATTTCTTCAAATAAACTTTTGGGGATCATTAGTGTACGTCCAGTGGCATATATATTACATGCATGTCGGGACAGGAAAATTGGCATAAGGTTCTATTAGAACCATGTTCACATTAATATACATTATACCCAACAATTGTGATGATGACGAATTTCTTCAACTGTTCGAGAACAATCTAATTGAAATATAAATCTGTGATTTAACTATGTCCATAACTTCGATGAACCAAAGCAAGTTAGATATCGACCTGTATTTAAATCAAATTGGTTCTAGATGTTCTTTCTTATATTCAATATACAATTATAAATTGCGACTATCTATAGTTCCGTAACTTTCTATCTAGGCGTATAAACCAATGATCGACAAGTGCATATTTTTTAAATCAATAGTTTTTCATGTTTCAAAATGTCCATCATTATTGACAACGAGTATATACTTACATTTTCCCCAATTTACCCTTGGAAAAATATGTAAATAGATTTTTATTTTATCAAATCTTTTTTTGGAATTATTTAGATTTTCATAAATATCATTCTTTACACTAGAAATGTTATTTATAAACAAGCGTATGAGTTTAGTAATGACTAGTATATCACTATCGGACACGCAAGACAAAGATGTATATTACACCTGATAGTTTTAAAATGGAAAGTTACAAGTTATCGCCCGTGTACACTAATCAATACCCTCAGAAGTGAAGCGATGCATGAACATGCTTTATGTAATTGTGTAATAAGAGTTTTTAAACCCGACAGGAAATCGCTTGAATACCTGGACGTGTCACCTCACAATACCTCAGGGAATAATTCCTTTAGCCATGCTGGTGATCAGATAAGAGAAGGTCCGAATTTATTTAAATAAGTTTATTACATAAAAGAATTATGAACAAATTAGATTTTCGAAAACGATTTTACACGGAACACTTATTTATGACTTTGAACTTTGACTTTTTAACTAATTCCCATATAAATTTCTTGTTTCAAAAACTTCGTAAAGAAAAAACAGTTTTAAAACGACAGACCATAGTTATTTTAAAAAATAATTACATTTTCCGTATCAAGTTAGTTAGTCGGATAAATGCGACTACGTTAGGTTACTGCTGGTTTTGGTCCTTTGTGGTTTATAGATATGTCGGGGTTATTAAACCGAGAAGATGTCAAAATGGCCGCACACAGAGAATTGATACTCTAAATTTAAAATCGATGGTGATCTCTTATCTAGCAGAATAAAACTTTAATATTTATGAATTTGTGCTTTTTTATACAGAATGGACATAATATCAATTTTTTATTTTTTTGCGAAGTTTCCCTTTAAATGAAGCACACTAATAATTAAAACTAATGATTAAAAAATACCATGTTTTAAAATTTAATTTTGTACAAATAAAATGTACCATCTATTTTACTGCCAATATTCCTATATTTATATTGTTTTACTCATACTTACCAAAGGCTTTCCACCAATTAAGTTTTCTATACCTTCAAAAAAGAAAGCTACATTCAAACAGAAATACACCAGGAAAAACTTCTTGTACCAAAATGTCATATGGGATAATGCTGTTGCTCATATTTAAGTACACATATTACTGAGAAGATTTCAACTGATTTTTTTCTTTTAGTGTAGAACAACAAAATATAAGCAGAAATTTTGAAAGTCTTATTATTGACAAATAACATACAGATTATGTGTAAATGACGATTATTTATCTGTTTATTACATTTTCTGATTTTAGAATTCAAGGGTTTGCTCACATGTCAATGGCCTTAGCATTAGGAAATAACTCAAATATTGTTTTGAGTTTTTTTATCTTCAAAGATGAATGATAAAATTGCAGCAAAATTATTTTTTTTACTTCTACGGTTCAATACTCTCCACATTAAACTACTATAAAAATAAGTATGTCTTATAAACCATATCTCAAATTTGGATTCTTAATTATCTCACTTCACTGGTGGTAGCTTGCTTACCGTAGAAAGGCTTGTATAGAGTGCGGTTTTATTCTTCAAAATTGGACCTTCCAGACGGGGTGCGGACTATAGAGTACAATAAGCAAGAAATAAGAGAAAAATTTTAATTTAGCGGGCGAGGTGGTTTGTTTACATTCCGCCATCTTTGTTATTTATATTGTAGAGGGCGCTCTTATCATTTTTCAAAACTAATAATTTTAACTCATCCATATTAATGTTATTTCTATTCAATATCAAATTAATACTGATAAATATAAAAACTAAACCTTTCATTACAAATTTTCGTTTCTTTTCAATGCATTGGTTGAAATAAACTGGTATCTGCTTGAATGAAACAATACAAACATAGTGAAAAAGACAACCGTAAACCAGCTTAGAATTTGTAAACTACAAAACGTAATCAGTTATTGTTCGTTCCGTTTTGGTGTTTCATACTGACTAATATGGTTTGTATTAGCTTAAGACCCTTCAAACATTAATGTGATAGATATATTTAAGACTGTTTTACAAAAGGATGGAACTGTTTTACTTTCAAAGTCGTATTATAGTGATATCTGTTATGTACGGATTTCGACTCTCACCGGTTAATTCTTCTTTTACACGTGCTTTTTAAACTTCCTGTTTAAACATACACAAGTTTCTAAATTGTTTTTTAAGTGAATTAAACTTATTTTAACAATCATGAAGCGTTCTAGAATCATTTACAAGCAGTTTCAGCTTCTGTTTGATGATGGAAAACAGGTTTTTCCAAGAAAATACCGCAAACGACCGCACAGGATTTGAAATTACTGGAGTTTCATTAGACCTTTTCTAACATTTACAAAAAGTTTTTTTACCTAAAATTTCGTGGGGAGAAGGGGGTGCAGACTATGTACCAGTGTGAACTATACAAGCCTTTCTACGGTATCTCACTTCTACAGAATTATGAACATATTGTCAACTTTCTTGGTAGCCAATTACTGAATAAATTTCTCATAAGATGTTTTTTTTCAATTAAGTTTTAAAATTTATTCATTCATAAGCAAAGTGATTGTTCTTATTATTCCAAAAAAATTATGTATTGTATTTTATCTCACCAAAACTATGGATTGGTGTTCAAACACATGACCCCTTGCACTGGAGGCTGGCAAGCTACCACCAGACCACCGAGGTGGTTCAAAAACTGTTAGAGCTTGATATCTAATAGTCTATCCTGAATATTAGTAGCAAACATCTTTCACATGTTCTTGATGAATATTACTTATTTTCTTAAAAAACTGTTACAAACAGCAACAATAATAAATACAAAAACCGTAAAAATTGGAAAGTACATTTTCCCTTGATACTTTGTACTGAGGATTCATTATTATTCCTAAGATACCAATTTTGTGGATTTCCTGGACATAATTATACCAAAAATTTCAAAGTTTAACTAAGCACAAATTTCATATAGGCTTGTATTCAGACTTGGGCAAAACAAATATATCCAATAAATCCTGAATCCATGTAAAAATGTATTTTTTTCTCAATCCACGATAAAATATATATGAAAACAAGAAATGATTTTGTAACAGGATGCTGTTACGAAGTCTCCCAAACGAAGCTCCCATAATTCGTAATTCCCAGGGTCGCCTGACATTGGGCAATGTCCAGTGAAAATTGGTTTGATCCAGTAAAGTAATATGCATTAGTGATGCCTGGGGACTAACCTTGTATATCATTCAAATCATCTTGGCATGACAAACCAGAATATATATGGTTTAGGGGTGGGGATCTCGACCATTTACAAGATACTAGAACAATGGGGGGTGGGGGAACCCCTGGGGACTGACCCTATACGTCATTCAAATGTTCGTTACATGACGAACAGGAATATATATGGTTTAGGGGTGGGGATCTCAACCATTTACAAGATATAAGAACATTGGGGGTGGGGGGAACCCCTGGGGACTGACCGTATACGTCATTCAAATGTTCGAGACATGACAAATAGGAATATATATGGTTTAGGGGTGGGGATCTCGACCATTTACAAGATATTAGAACTTTCTCAAATGGCAGGGGGTCAGGATGACCCCTGGGGACTAACCCTGTATATCATTCAAACCATCTTAGCATAACAAACCAGAATATATATGGTTTAGGGGTGGGGATCTAGACCATTTACAAGATATTAGAACTTTCTCAAATGGCAGGGGGTCGGGATGACCCCTGGGGACTAACCCTGTATATCATTCAAACCGTCTTAGCATAACAAACCAGATTATATATGGTTTAGGAGTGGGGATCTTGACCACTTACAAGATATTAGAACTTTCTTAAATGGCATGGGGTGGGGGTGACCCCTGGGGACTAACCCTGTATTTCATTTGATGTGCTTTATCATGACAAACCAGAATATATATGGTTTAGGGGTGGGGATCTCGACCATTTACAAGATATAAGAACTTTCTCAAATGGCAGGAGGTCGGGATGACCCCTGGGGACTAACCCTGTATATCATTCAAACCATCTTAGCATGAGAAACCAAAATATATATGGTTTAGGGGTGGGGATCTTGACCACTTACAAGGTATTAGAACTTTCTTAAATGGCAGGGGGTGGGGGTGACCCCTGGGGACTAACCCTGTATTTCATTTAATGGGCTTTATCCTTTAGAACATTTTCAATTAAAAAGATTGTGTCTATCACAAACGGTTTTCAATTTATAATCATTTGAAAATTTTAAAAAATAAAATCCCATAGGGTTCTATAGTAAAACCCTCTTTTCTTTTTGCCCCTCAAAGTACCCCTTTATAAACCCCATTGCACAAACAAAACCCTGATTGCACCACTAGACATGTTAGTCTAACATATTGTGAAACCCTAAGTTAATCTGACAAGCGGTTTTGGAGAACAGGTGCAGACAAGTTCAAATTTAAAAGCGGCGGAAGAAGAAGAAGAATTATAATAATAATAAGAACTGAGCAAAAACAATAAGTCTTCCCAAACTTCGTTTGGGAGACTTAATAAATGAATCCACAATATACTGTTTATCTTTATTTTTCTTATACTTACTTTCCAGAACCAAAAAGGGGATGCTTGACAAATCTAGATACTTTTTGTGTATTGGATCCCATGAGGAACTGAACAGGAGTTGTTAAACCATATCTACCCCCTAATACCTGTAATGGTACATACATGTTGTAAATATCTAACACTATATTTCAAAGTTTCAACTACTTTCTTTTTTTTAAACAATTAAAAATACAAACATTTAGGTATTAATGGAGCAAGCAAAGGATGACAGTCTCTTGGTATAGAATTAACCAAACTATTGAAACTTTACTTTATAAAGGACGATGGTTGAATCCCCATATATCTAATGGTATCTGGAAGGGATAAGCTGTAAAGATCATTTAACGAAAAAAAAGTAAGGATTTCCACAACAAAGCTCTTATCATTAAGTATCAAAACATACCTCTATCACAGAAAAGAGATCTTTAGCTTCCTTGCTGTAATCTACTGGACCATCTATGTCTGATATATCTTGACTCATACTTGAATTCTTATTCATCTCACTTCTACAAAATTATGAACATAAAAGTTAAGTCTCTTTGCAGCCAATTCCTGAATAAAATTTCATTTTTTTTTTAATTTACAATAAAATTCAAAGTTTCAATGATATGGCTAAAACTGAAGCATTGTTTGGATTCTCTTTCCAGACAAACCAACTGAAAATGACTCAGACATTTTAAAGATTTTATTCTTTTATTCAACATCACTTTTAAAAATCAATGCCAAAAAATTCCAGTATCTTGTTACAATCACAGTAATGTAGAGACCAGAAATTACAATAATAAGTCAAAGTTTATGTCAGCTGTGGTAATGTTGACTAATTGTAGATAATAAAGTGATAGCTGTGGGAAAGTATCCTATATTTTTTTTTGAATGTTGGTGATACAGTATTAAGTCATGCCCCAAAAAAAACTTGTATATGAAAATGATGATCATTGACAATACAAATTAATTCCAACCAGGCATGTATGCCCATTTCTTGGACCCTACACAGATTACATTTCCACAGCATAAGTTTTCTTTGGCTCTCAAAAGGACCTTTGTCTGTTTCAAAGGGGAACAAACTGAATACATATGTTGCAGGCAATTGTTTTGTAAAAGTTTGAACATTTTAAATCACCTTTATTCATTAGTACTTTACTACTAAACATTAGGTTACAGTCTTTTTCACTGAAATTTTTCCAATGTTTTGATACATCATAGATGAGTATTTTGTGAACATGATATTGGGATAGATTTTTCCTTTGTAAGGTGGGTCTTATGTTTCTGTCAGTAGTATTAATGCTGTACCTTCTTTAAGGCAAAGTACACATAATTGGGTGGTATTACAGATTTTCATGAAATTTTGTATGCATTCTTAACTCGTTGAACTGCATCTGAATACTGAAAATGTATATAAGTAGCATTAATGCATCCAGGGATACAATCCATTTTATATCTGTAAAAAAGATTTATAGAATTACTGTAAAAAGTGGTGAAAATATGATTTTATTTTCACTTTACATTGCAGCAAATTCATTCACATAATTTTGTTCAAAAATGGTAAGCTATTGCTTTGAACATATCTGCCTTAATGATAAAAAAAAATTGTCAGTTATTTGTTTTTTTCACTAGAATACAATTAGTCTCAAAATTTAAAGTGAAAAAAGCATCAAAAGGACAAAATAAGTGCAACATTGTGGTAAAATTACTCTGCAAAATAGTAGTTCTTACAACAAAAAACCTTTAAAAATGATTACGACAGCAAAAACAAATACGGTGACACCATATTATTTCATTTCATTAAAATTGAAATGTTCTCAGCTCTAACATATCCTTTTTTATAAAATATTCTGTGGAGGATATTTAAAAAATAGCAACTTCACCATTTTTATGTACATTCTATACATTTATGGATCCTTTTAAACACCACTTTAATTGGTTGTAATTCTGTAGGTATAAATGCTACATATATCATATTTTAGATATTTTAGCGTAGTAAAAATCGGAAATATGGCATGATCATGTAGTTTGTCCAAAGCACTTAGTCTAAGTAAGAACTCTTGTTACAGTACTTGTTACAGTACTCTAGCTACTCACATGAACATACTATTTATTGACAGGTCAAACACATAGAATAAACAACAGCATTGCTGACTGTTAGGCAATTGAATGCTTTTCCTAAAATAATTTATTGTAAGTTGATGTCAAAATAAAGAATTTTAATGATCAAAGAACATTCTAACAGAAAATGTAATAATATATCTGATATGCCTAATATAAATCCAGAAAATAATGTTTTCTGTGCATTTTACATTGTATTTTGCAAGATTTTTAATATTGAGTGTCAATATATTTATGTCAAGAGAAACATATAATCCATATACTTAATAAACTGTTAACACAGAGATATGTCTCGCCTATTTGTTATTTTGATAATGCAAATGTTGAAATTAAAATAGCAATACTTTAACATGTAAGTTATGCAAATATTCAAAGTCAATGAACCATGACTGAAGGTACAGGGCTAAACAATCTACATGGAAATGAGATGTGCCAATGCTAATACAACTGCAAACCAAATACCATTGACTTTCCATAAGTCGTTCCCTTTAAACAAACCTGAACACAAACATTCACTTGTAAACTATGTAAAAGTTTCAAAGTCAATGAACCATAATTAGGGGGTGGGGTTATACAATCTCCATGGAAATGAAACTTGCAAATGCCAATACATTTGCATACCGAATATCATTGACTCAACATTAGTGGTTCATCTTAAACTGACCTAATCACAAATTAATATGTGTAAACTAAGCTAAAGTTTCAAAGTCAATATACCATGACTGAGGGGTAAGGACCAAATATTCTCCATGGAAATGAGATGTGCAAATGCTTATACAACTGTATACCAATTATCATTGACCTACCACTAACGGTTCCCCTTAAACTGACCTAATCACAAAATAATACATTAAAACTAAGCAAAAGTTTCAAAGTCAATAGACCATGAATGAGGGGGCGGGGCCAAATAATCTCCATGGAAATGAGATATGCCAATGCTTATACAACTGCATACCAAATATCATTGACCTACCACTAGTGGTTCCCCATTAACTGACCTAATCACAAACTAATACATATAAACTAAGCAAAGTTTCAAAGTCAATAGACCTTGACTGAGGGGGGGAGAGGGGGGGGGGGGGCAAATAATCTCCATTGTAATGAGATGTGCCAATGCTAATACAACTGCATACCAAATATCATTAACCTACCACTAGTGGTTCACCATGAACTAGACCTAATCACAAACTAATACATTGTTGACGCTGCCGCCACCGCCGGAAACAGCATGCCTATGTCTCGCTTTTTGACTCCGTCAAGGCGAGACAAAAATCGAAACAATGCTTCAGGTACATTGATTACCTTTTGAATCACGTGTGCGTTACAACCAAGGAAAAAAAGAATGCTTCACCATATGCATATCTAGACTTTCATATTCGATATTTCATTCACTAATTCTAAAGTGATTCAATGGATCATTTATTTGAAAGAGACATTCCAGTTCATTTACATTCTAATTATATATGAAGGCGGTGTTGCATATATTTGGAAGGCTCTTAAATGTGTGATATCTCATCTACCCTATTCTAACATTATTTCTTTGTTCAATAAATACAACCATCATCATTTTAGATAATGTTGTTTTTCAACAAATTTAAATGAATAGAGAAACCTAACCATTGTAAGATACAATATCAAGTGTATTTAGGAAGATAGAGAATTAACAGATTGTTCTTTAAAATATAATTAAAATATCACATTCCAAGGAATTTTTATAGATGAAGTTCTACAATACATTTGTTCTCAAACAGACCTCAAGGTCCACTTTACACGTCTCATTTATCAAGTACTTTCATAATAGTGATATTAAGTATTAACATTCTGCCTCTTATTTTATCAACATCATCTGAAATATGTTGTTAAAAACCTGATTTTTATAAGTATAAAATTGTATCTTTTTATACCTCCTTCTACAGTTATCACAGCAGTTTTCTGTTCCTCCAATATCATCTAAATTTCTACTTTCAAAGTGAGCTAACAATAATCTGGAATGATAAACAAAGCATAAAACACAAAATCATTAAAAAAATCTGTACAGATATTTTTTACTATTTGGCTACTACATTAATGACCCTTAATCCTAATACATTTTAGCCATCATAACTATCTCAAAAATTGGCAGAATATGTTAATCTTTTTTGGTAAATTTTAATAATCATGACATTATACATTCATTTTAATACCTTATGAGAACAAACTTTAAACATTTGATAATAAGTTTCTCATTGGACCATGCTTCTTTTAACTTTTTCTGTATTGAGTATCTGTGCCAGTAAGTTATATTTGAACATCAAGTCTTCCTGCACTGGTTATGATCTTAATGAATTAAAGAGTTACCAAAATACAACCACCAGTATAAGACTGTAAGACATCATGATTTCTGTTGTACATATCTAAGTACTTTTGTTATTCCACTGATTGAGATTAAAATAGGGAAGCTTCATTGCTCTAACAATCCTGCTACATTTTGTATTTAATCATTAATTTTCAAAACTCATTGCAATTTGGAAATTGAAAAATGGTATATATGTTTGCATATAGTTGAGGATTGCAAGTTTACCTCTTTTGTCTTTTCATTTATTTTGTACTATTGTGTTTCCTTTTACATGTATTTACTTCAAGTTAGCCTTTGTTTATATCTATCACTATCAAATTATCTGTAAATTTCATATCCACAGATATATGAAATGTATCACTGAATTCACTGAGACGAACGGAAAAAAAATCTTGTAGTCCCTTATTTCGTTGTATATATGATGAACATCATGAGAAGTAATAATATATCCTACCTCCGTCGACATTTTCCAGTGTTCAGATATTCCTGCATTTTGCTTAACATCTTCATCTTGTGAGTTTTAAATTTTGGGTTTGTTATTTCATTTATAAAATGTCTGAAACAAAGTGAAATTATTATTTCATTTTAGGATTTTTGTTAAGATACATGAAATACTACAAATCATATCACATTTAAATTATGTAAGTCTTCATAAAATATAATAATGTATGGCTTCATCTATAGTTTTTGGTTAATGACTTAATTTAAGTCTATAAACTACATGATTTAATGGTTTATAGTGTGGCTTATAGGTGGAAAGTGAGAAATCCTCATGTATTTGTTGAACAGGACAAAAGACAAAATTTTATCGGCAAGTCATCATTGTAAATTAATGTACCAAAGTTCAGCTCCATATATGCAGAAATTACATTAAAAGTCTGAACAAGAACTGAACATTTTCTTGACATTTTCAAGTTAAGGATGTTCGCTCCTCTTGTTTTTGAATTTTTGCCAGATATTCGGAATCCTCTGGTTTTATCCATGTAGTACCATTAAAAATTTTGCCCGCAAACACCTACTTTTCATTTCATAATTTTATTACATATAGTTTAAGAAGCCATTTTTGAAAATCTTATATAACCCTTGTTATTTTTTCATAGTTTTTGAAAGAAAAAAGTTATCAATGTTAACTGTATGAATAATCTAGAGAATCACTTCCCGCCAAATTTTTAATGGCTAATATCTTAAAAACAAGCACACAGACTCTTCAATTTTTTCTGCTTTTTTCAGTTCCTTTATTCATATACTTTCAATTTATAACAGTCTTTTAAAAAGCTTGTTATTTTGAAACAGAGTAGCAAACATCCTTAAGTCAAAGGGCCATATTGGAAGAAAATAAGGACAACTGTTTTATTTCGGCATGAAGGAAGAACAGTCATGGGTAACACAAAATACCCTAGATACTAAATGGCAGAGGAAAAATTAAACGGAATTGCCCTTTTCTGATGAAATCTTTTAATATTGATAAAACTTTTTGCATTATAATACTTATATGGGTCTTTTTAACCATAAGCTTTTTGGTACGGCTCCTGTAAGTAAGGGCATCAGATAAAACATTCTTTAGAAATTTAAAACTGCTCATTTCTTTATATGGTCATTATTGTTTGTGTATAACAAATATATAGGGCCCAAATGCTGGAAATTGTTTTGCATGAATACCAACATAATTTTCATAATTCAATAGTACTTATTCGCTATTATCTAGCGAACCAGAATTGTCTTATTCTTCTGTGAAATCTAAGTCTTTGGTGTTGTTTGTGTAAAGTATTGTGAACTTTACAAAATCGTTAAGCAAATTTAGTTTGGCATTATCTGATGGAAATACCTATTTGGCTGGAAAACCTATAACTGATATCAGTTACTATATATAAAGTTAATTATGAGATGGAAATTATGCTCAAACTTTTTTTTATTCACATATTTTTGCTTTCTAATGGACAGTTAAGTAACTGCTAAATGAATAAACCTAATTTGAGGTCTGAGATGAAATAGTTTGAAGGAACAACCCTTACTGATAGATATAGAATAGTTATTCTTTTGAACTATGCCTAAGAAATAAATTTACAACTAAATATTGATCATGAGAAAATGTTTTCACACCAACCTAGACACATTAAAATCTGCTGGTGAAAAAAAAGCATGACAACTGCTTGGGAGACCATCTCTACCAGCTCTGCCTACTTCCTGGTAATAAGATTCTATATCTTTTGGAGCTGAAAAAGAATAAAAAGATATCTTAATTGTTTTTAACTTTTTATCACATATTCTGAATCCTCTAGTTTTATCCATGTAGTGCCATTAAAAATTTTGCCCGCTAACCCTTACTTCTATTTTTATAATTTCATTACACATAATATAAAAAGCCATTTTTCAAAATCATATAAAATCCTTGTTATTTTTTCATAGTTTTTGAAAGAAAAAAGCTGTTAATGTTAAATGTATGAAAAATCTAGAGAGAATCATTTCTGGCCAAATTTTCAAGCTCTTATATCTCAAAAAAAGGACAAGGACCTTTCATTTTTTTCAGCTTTTTAAGTTCCATTATTCATATACTATCAATTTATAACAGTCTTTTAAATTGTTTGATATTTTGAAACAGAGGAGCGTACATCCTTAAGTAAAAATTATTAATAGAAAAGGAGAATACACTTTTTTTGGTAACAAACATCCTAGGGCTGAATGGGATATAGAAATATGGTAATTCCTTGGTCTTCTCCAATAGACAGGAAAAACACTTGCTTCAGAGGGGCATTTGTTTGGATTCACAGGATGTATAAATATTCAGTCACATTAGGTCAGAATTGGGAAATTAAATATGTTGCCCATTGGAGAGAGAGTGCCACTCACTTTGCACTTTTAACCATGTCAAGAACTCTCTGATAGGTCTGCTACTGGCCTGTTGCTTTTAAAAATTTCTGCCCTTTATCCAACATGCATTCATTTCCCATAAACAATCAAAATGTTCACCCTGCATCCTAGTCATCCTAATCTGCAGAACCTACACATTGCATTATTTTTTAATTTGTTCTCCTGAATTTCATAAAATATTTAACACTGGACTTTATGTAAGCAGCAATCAATCAATCCTCTCAAATTAATCTTTTTTCATTTCTTTCCAAAAAGTTATTACATCTTTACTTCATTTTATAAATTCTTTTTCCCCCTTACATTTAAACTTTAATCTGCCATATAAGTTCTTTAATTTGAGTTATTTTTCTCCACCACCTTATACATTTATACTTTCTCTTACCACCATAATGTATGACTTTCCTGACATCAGGTTTATCTATCCCCATACCAAATGCTACTGTTGCTACCACTACCTATATACACAAGTATATTTAATGGAAAAATTATGTAAACAAAATTTTGAATAAATGGGGAATGTGTCCATGGGACACAGATGATGCCCCCACTTGCATATAACGTTATAAAGGGACATAACTTAAGAACACTAGTGACTCTACCCAAATTCGTACTTGATCTGAGTTTTGTGGTAATAAGCATTGTGTATAAGTTTCATGACATTTGGTTGAGGCAAACTTAAGTTCGAGAACAGAAACAAAAAATTCAGCAAGTTTTCCATTTCACTACAAACCAGTAAAAGTCTGAAATGGCCTATATCTGTACTCGACTGTACTGATTTTTACTCGACCAGTCTGAATTGGTCTGAATTTTCCTCGACATTACTCGACCCCAGTCTTAACCATACTTGACTGTACTGATTTGTACTTGACCCTTATCTTTGCCATTGAAAATAGTCTGGAACTATTACTCGACCAGTCTGAAACAGTCTTAACCCATTCTCGACCTGTACTCGACCTATTTTTTCAGTCTAAACCATACTCGACCAAAGGTCTGAACAATACTCGACCAGTCTGAACCATACTTGACCAAATAACCTCTACTTTTTCTAAATTTTAACTGTTAAAATAAATTTCTTTTTAACTGACATGACAACAGCCACAATAAAATAAAGATATATTATAAAAACAGATTTTTACATTCTTACATGATTCTCAGATTTATCAAATAGAGATAGTTAAATCAAATTATCTTATGTAATAATTTAATTATATTAATTTTAAAGTTTTACAGTTTTGTTAAAAAAAGATTTTCTTTTACCTAAAAACCACACCTATACTGAGGGTAATTAAACCTTATTAAGGTGCTTCTTGTTTGGCATGTGTTTTTTTTTTATTTAATTTTCCTAAATTCCTAAATAAAAACTACATAGGTTTCATGGTTACATACAAAAATGTACAATAGTTATATAATTATCTTTTTAATGAGGTAACAACAGCCAACAAAATCACTGAAATTGTTTTACCTTATTTTAGAGATATATCTATTATTATAATTTGGGATATACTATATACAATATATATAAAAAAGGGATAAAAATTTAAGAAATTAATAAAATTGTTCTTCTGATTAGTGGTGAAGTATAAAGTAATACCTCCTGCTTGGGGCAAACTCATGATCACACCTGGTCAGAGAGTATTAAATTCTAAATAACATATATTTAAAATTGCAACATCCTGTGAAACTTAAATCACAAGGCCTTTTGAATTCACTAGATAATTAATACACGAGTTTAAGAAAAATAGGGCTTTATTTTTACCTGTAAAACATAAATGTACTAAGGTAATCAAACCTTATTAAAGTGCTTCTTGTATGCCATGTCTTTAATTTTGACAAAAATTATTTAAATTTAATTGAAATAAATTTTTACTGTAACTTTGGAACACATTTCCTTTTTTTTAAAGTTTATCACAGGATTACTATGGAAGTTCTATTATAATGATTATATTAAATTCTTGGTTTAACAAAAGAAAGGTTATCATGATTATATTAAATTCTTGGTTTAACAAAAGAAAGGTTATCATGATTATATTAAATTCTTGGTTTAACAAAAGAAAGGTGTCATTTTTTAAATTTATCAAGTTGCTTTATATGCTACTTTATATATATTTTAATAAAAAAAATGTTCACTGCATTATTAACTAAACTCAACTGACACCATAAATCTCTACTAGGCTTAAGTAAATGGTGAAAATTGTCCAGTAACCATAAAATATATCTGAAACATTCAAAAATATTTGAATAACATTGAAAATAGTCACAATTCAGTTTTGAGATTATTTGATCAGCTTGTTTTATTTTTATTTTAAAGGTGATATATATGTATGTATATAAGTGTTGATGAATATGGTGTTGAAGTTATATTATGTTTATTGTGAAATTTTGGTTTCAATGCTATATTGAATACATTTTTAATTTCAAATTGTTGTTCAAATTTCTAGCCAGGGGAAATAGCTGTAGTTAAAAACAGTTCCTAAATTGATGAAATACAAAAGATAGATACAAAAAATAGGTCTAGGTTGGTTAAGACTTGGTCGAGTATGGTTCAGACTAGGTCGAGCATGATTCAGACTAGGTCGAGTATGGTTCAGACTATGTCGAGCATGGTTCAGACTAGGTCGAGCATGGTTCAGACGCGTTTAAAATGGTTAAGTACTGGTCGAGTACAAGTTCAGACTGTTAAGTATGGTTCAGACTACAGTCGAGTATTATCAAGTAAATTTCAGACCAATTCAGACTGGTCGAGTAAAAATCAGTACAGTCGAGTACAGATATAGGCCATTTCAGACTTTTACTGGTTTGTAGTGTTTGTAAAGGGCATAACTTTAGAAAGGTAAAAGTGACGCCACCAAAATTCAAACTTGATCTGTGTTTTGTGGTAATAAGCATTGTGTACAAGATTCATAACATTTGGTTGAGGCAAACTTAAGTTAGAGAACAGAAACGAAAAATTCAGCAAGTTTTCCATTTGTAAAGGGCATAACTTTAGAAAGGTAAAAGTGCATGGATTTTTCTAGCATTTCACAGGGTCCCAATACCCATTCCCCATGTCAAAATCCCTGCATCTTTCCCAATTTTGGGAGGAAAATTTTTTAAGGGACATCTGAAAACGTGGCTACATCATTTTCTGAAGCAGTTTCATCGAAAATTGTTTAAATTATGTTTTCACGTAAGTTATTCCTGACAGCAGTGTTCTTTTTGTTCGACTGCTAGCTTCATGCCAAAAATCGCAAACAAGTAATGTGGCTGACAAAAAACAACTTTGACTAATGGCAGTTATAAACCAGAAATGTAGACAATTTCAATACCCGATCAGATTCCAAAAGCGGATAAAGCTAATTCAGGGTTTGCCTATCAAATACAAAACAAAAAAATACAGCTGTTAAATATAAACTCTACGAAAAGATATATGAAAAAGAAAGAAAAAACAGGAAATATCTTGTACCGAAACTCAAAGATATTTTTGCTCCACAAATTTTCATGTCAAAATCCAATAAAATGTTGTTACATTACTTTTCTTTATCACTAAAAAACTTTGATATTGAATTTGTTCTAATGTAAACACATTACTACAGATCTAGGAGGTAATTTCTTTTCAATTTTGAAGGGACAGTAAAAATCTGGAAGGGCAAGTGAATTTAGAAACGTGTTGGCCCCTTGGCCAGTTAAAAAAAAATCTTATTTAGGCTCTCCCTGAGTTTATTAATTATTTGTAACTGTTACAGTCTTTGAAGGTGAAAAAGGCTGTAAATTCTTATCACATGTGCACTTTATGAAGTACAGTATTTTGATACTAAATAAACTTGATTGGCTTGCTGTCAAGTTTAAAAACAAAAAAGGACAGAAAATTAAAATCATAAATGGCAATCATGTAGCATGTGTAGTTTCTTACTTTACTTTCACAAATTAAATAAATGGGGAATGTGTCCATGGGACACAGATGATGCCCCCGCTTGCATATAACGTTATCTGGCTTTATAAAGGGCCATTACTCAAGAACTGTAAAAGTGACACTACCCAAATTTTAAGTTGATCTGAGTTTTGTGGTAATAAGCATTGTTTATAAGTTTCATAACATTTAGTTGATGTAAACTTAAATTAGAGAACAGAAACGAAAAATTCAGCAATTTTTCCATTTTTAAAGGGGCAAGTAGAACAGTAGAAGTGACGCCACCAAAATTCAATCTTTATCTGTGTTTTGTGGTAATTAGCATTGTGCATAAGTTTCATAACATTTGGTTGAGGCAAACTAAAGTTACAGAACAAAAACAGATATTTCAGCAATTTTGAGATTTGTAAAGGGGCATAACTCTAGAACAGTAGAAGTGACACCACCAAAATTCAATCTTTATCTGTGTTTTGTGGTAATTAGCATTGTGCATAAGTTTCATAACATTTGGTTGAGGCAAACTAAAGTTAAACAGAAACAAATATTTCAGCAATTTTGAGGTTTGTAAAGGGGCACAACTCTAGAACAGTAAAAATGAGGCCAACAAAATTCAAACTTGATCTGTGTTTTTTGGTAATATACATTGTGGATAAGTTTCATAACATTTCGTTGAGGCAAACTAAAGTTAGAGAAGGGAAACGAAAAATTCAGCAATTTTTCCATTTGTAAAGGGGCATAACTCTCGAACGGTAAAAGTGATTCCACCAAAATTCAAACTCGATCTGTGTTTTGTGGTAATAAGCATTGTGGATAAGTTTCATAACATTTGGTTGAGACAAACAAAAGTTAAAGAACAGAAACCAATTTTGGGACATATGGACAGACAGACGGACGGACAGATGTACAGACGGACAAGGGTAAAACTAAATGCCCCCTCCGCTATGGCGGGGGCATAAAAAGTAGGGATGTCAACTCGACGAAGATTTACTAATCAAGTACTCGTTGGATTTACCGAGCGATTCTCGAGTACTCTCTCGGTAAAACATTTACAAAATGGAAACACAAAATTATACCCATGTTATGTATTGTGGGTCAATGTCTTATGAATGTAAAGCCCTCAACATTATTACCTAGGACTAGATAATAGTTCAAGGAATTTTATACCTTAATTAATAGCTCATTTACTACATATACAGTATTTGGGAACCGTAAAAAACACATTTAATGATCAACAAAGGGGTGATGATTAGACCTTACTAATGCCTTTAATCATTTTCTGAGGTTCGACACAGGGTGCAACAAATTTGTTCTTATTTAAAATTACTATCTTGTCAACTTTTTCTGGGACGAGGCGATTTCTCAACTTTGTTAGGTAACTAACAGTCCTGTTGATGAAAATATATGCTCTGATAGTAGAGGTGGGAGAATAAATATGATTTATAATTTAGCTAAAAGTGTAAGCCTTGAAGAAAAAGTGCTCTTGTTCACAGCCTACCTCTGTTTGGAGGAATTTTAAATGACTGTTAAACGCAAACATTCGAATCATATTTTAATTTTTGTTAATTTTGATTAATATTCAATTTCCCAGGAGGCGCTCTCATTTTGGTATTCAATATTCGGTACTACAGAGCAATACTCGAGTACTCGTTGACATCACTACAAAAAAGATAATTTCTAATGACCTATACACACTAAAACTCACATCTGGTATATTTGTTGGGTTTTCCCAATCTCATTGAAAATAATGTAAAAAATTCCCAAAACTACCCAGGATCCTTTTTCCCAAAATACTCAGAAAAACCCCTGAAGTGACGCCACCCAAATTCGAACTTGATCTGAGTCTTATTGCATTGTGTACAAGTTTCATAACGTTTGGTTGAGGCAAACTATAATTAGAGATCGGAAACCAATTTCGGGACGGACGGATGGATGTACAGACAGACAAAGGTAAAACTTAATGCCGTAGTGGAGGCATAAAAAACAACCATACAATTAGGGCTACAAGATTGTTAGTGGGAGGCTTTAGTAATCATATCCATGATATCTGTCCATCATAAAAATGTAGAAATATAAAATATCATGGTAAATGTTATAAAACTTCATCCATAGCTAGAAACCCTTTCTGGGTCCTTGTTTTTTTTAAAGGATTCTAATGACTCTACCTGCCCAATAAAAATATTCCAGAAAATCTAAAAGCAATATTAAAGAGATTTCATCTACAAATCAAGATTTTAAAGTTTTCATACTATGTTTAGCTATCCTTAGCAACTGTGAACTTGACTTTTGACAAACTTACCTTAAGATAGGCTTTCTCCATTTCCTACTGTCAACAACTTTGAATTTTATCAAAATAAAAAAAATAGCACCAAGAAATCACCCAGAAACAACAAATTGTATGTCAATATTTTTCTGTTATTTTTAGCAATTTGGCCTTTTGACTTGCAATTTTGACCTTTTGACCTGCAAATCAATAGGATTGTTCCCATTCTCTTTATCTTCCATGGAAACAAGTTTCATATTACACCAACAAAAGAAACTCAAGTTACCATCAGGAAACCAGTTTTTCATTTTTTTTCAATTACAAGTAACAGTGACCTATGATCCCAAAATCCAAACGCTTCATTTCATTCTTAAAAGTATCTTCCATAATCCATATGTAAAATTTTCCCTACAGTTGAGCATGGGAAACCCAAATTGTCATCATCAAAGCATTTATAAAAAAACAATCCAATTTTTAGAAAGTGACGAACTTTTTGATTAAGGGGAACTCAAGTTACCAAGTGGAAGTTTTCATTTTGGACATACAGAAAAGACAAATAAAGCAATCACTTTACACTCCTGAAATTTATTTAAGGAGCATAACAATTGGAACATGTGGGATTATTTGTAAAATAAAACACTCTCTTTAAGAATCTAAAGCGATATGAGTAATTTCAATGTCAGGTCATTGGTTGAATTTTCATTGTTTAGGACATTGTTAGCCAATCATTAACTTTTTGGTGTAGGATTTATAAATATTACATCAGAAGGTATTGTTTCTAAAATATCCAATTGGTTCACCAAATTATTTAAAAGAAAACAGATACACAGATAACAAGTATGGAATGCCAATTGATTGCAATAGCTTATTCAAGTCTGATTGAGAGTTCTATGAATACTCTATTATAAATATTTATTAATGATTATTCATGAGCTGATTTTTGCTGTAATTACCTGAACTTTATCATTCACAAATTTATGGTGGGCATCTTTCCTTGCATCCAAGCTCAAACCAGCATGGTATGGGAGAGTGGCTACATTCATACCTAATATGTAATGAAAAAATACTTTTATTGACTTTTAAATATATCTTACAACCAAATCTTTTTTTTCATGCTAGTATTGAAATTTGTTTTGGATAAATACTGACACCCATATGAAAACTCCAATATCTATTGTTCCAAATTAACCACAGCAATTATACATCATATTGCCTTTTGAGTGCTTAAAAAGTTGCTATAAGTACTTATATGTACAGAGCCAAAAACATAGTATATTGATAAATTTCACCTGATCACTTTGTCTTAAAAAATATGCCAACATATAAAGTTTTGAATATGTACACACATTCTACAAAATAATAAGTTAACATATAGAATTTCTTCCAAACAGTGACCCCTAAATTTTTATTTTTGCCAACTTGTGTTATAGGGTTGTTGGCACATTGATCTTACCACAATACCTGATTTCATTTATTTATAACCACATAGTGGAACACCTTTTGTTAATGTATTCTGAATTTTGAAGCAACAACTTGTTTAATCATTTTTCAAAATATTGTAGTACAATTATCTTCCCAAACCTTTCAGAATAGCAGCAGTTTCCATGGTAGCCTTTTTAGTTGGACAGTATATTATTGTCGATCCCTCAAATTCAAATTTTGATCCATTTCTTGTCATATGAGTTTTTAGGTCCCTTGATGCATCACCTGATTTACTGCTGACAGACAGGAACAAATTGGGTCTGAAATGTGGACATAAAAATGTGGTTTAAAACAAAAAGTTTTATCATCACAGGGAAAATGACGCCATTGCTTAATTTGTTTTTAATGCCCACCATTGCCTGAAATAATTAGTAACATAAAAGTTATATTGAAATGTCAAAAGCAATATTAACTCAATTGCAATGAAACATTGTAGAATTTTCTTTTATGACTGGAAAATACCTAATAAAATAAAGAGCTGCGCCATAAGCGCATGATACGCCCGTCGCATCATATCAGAAATTTATAATCAAAGCGCGAAGCGCAGGAAAGGCAGTTAATTACAGGTTGTGTGTATTTTTAGTCCAGTTATATCATTATCTTGCATAGTACAGTGTACTTATCAGAGGTGGCTTTCAGTATTTAAGATTTAGAGTTCTCTAATGATATTGAATAAGTTTTATGAATGTCATATTCTGAGCACTATATGAAGGCGATTGTTCTCACTTGTTTATGAACTAGTGTATTATGTCCAGTTTGTACCTTTTTTATCTATGTTTATAGTCAAATACTGTTTAAAATAGTTAGGCATTTTCTTTTTAGTAATAAGTATATGTTATCAACTGTATTTTATTCAACTTTGTAAATGTGGTTTGTTACTGGTAAGTATGGATGATAGTTGTTTCATTGGCAATCATAACATATCTCCTTATTTATATAATGATCTATATTCAACGACCTCAGGTACAAAAAAAATGTATGTAACTGAACTATGATGGGAAACCTTTGACTTCTTTCTTTTATATAAACTTTTGATCTTGTACCATAGAACTATGTAGAATAAATGTACATTGCAACATGTCAACTCTTTCAATGACAATACTTTTTTTAGAAACTATAACTCCAAGCAAAATTATATTTCCAAGTATAAAGTAATTTATGAATGAAAAAAGGAGTTCTTTATTAAAAATTAAACTGATTCGCTGAGCGCAGCTGGATACACCTGCAGAGGTCCAACCCTGAACAGTTGGGGCAAAAATGGACACAATATTCAAGCTTGATACAGGTCTGAATTTGGATTGTAATTAAATATTTGACATATTATAGTTTCTGAATAAATGCAGTCAAAGAACTTGAAATTGGTTATATGAATTGAATTTATATTCAATTAAAGATTTCTTGCTGTTGTGCAATACACTGTGCTGTTGCGCAATACTTAATAAATCTGTTGCCAGACTATAAACAAATAAAGTTCAATTTCTTCTCAATGTCATATTTGAAATTTATGAAAATCAATAGGGAGATTACATCAATTGCTATAAATAATTCACCAAAGTTTCATGCAAACTGTTTAAAGCATTTTTGAGTTGTTGTCCAAAAACTGGAAAATCCCCCCTTTTTTAATGAATAAAACCCCATAACTCAGAAATGTAAAATCTAAAATTTATAAAATTCTAAAGGGAGCTTACGGATTGATAATTTAGTCTTAGATGCAAGATTTTTTTTATCAGTTGTTAGTGGCTTTGAACTAGCTGTCAGTAACTGCGAGTACTCTCAGATCTGTACTTAGTGTCTTTTTGTTGTTTGGATGTACAACTACCCAGCCACGTCCACTTGTATTTGTATTTATCCATCTGATGAGTAAAGCCTCTTTCAACTGATTTTTATAGTTCGTTTTTATAGTTCGTTCTTATATTGTACTGTTACACCACTGTCCCAGGTTAGGGGGAGGGTTGGGATCCTGCTAACATGTTTAACCCCGCCACATTCTGTATGTACATGTATGTGCCTGTCCCAAGTCAGGAGCCTGTAATTCAGTGGTTGTCGTTTGTTTATGTGTTGCATATTTGTTATTCGTTCATTTTTTGTACATAAATTAGGCCGTTAGTTTTCTTGTTTGAATTGTTTTACATTGTCATTTCGGGGCCTTTTATAGCTGACTGTGCGGTATGGGCTTTGCTCACTGTTGAAGGCCGTACTGTGACCTATAGCTGTTAATTTCTGTGTCATTTGGTCTCTTGTGGAGAGTTGTCTCATTGGCAATCATACCACATCTTCTTTTTTATATTTACATCAACAGATATAAACAATTCACCAAAGTCAAGGTGAGACAACAAAACTTAGTTGTAAGATCTCTGAAATTTTTTACATGGTACGAGTTTTTCTCATTGTTGGAGATTGTATGGTGACAGTAACACCTGTAACTGCTTAAACCCATTTCTTATGCACTTTGGTTCGATAAACTCACTGAATATCATACCACATCTCCTTATTTTTATATGCATTACAATTTACATGTGCATGTAACAATGTGCAGTTATAAATATATATATATCAGAACAAAATTCATTGGGTCACTTTTATTTATGCATCCTTTGGCACAATACAAGTTCTAAAATTACACAACATAAAACAACTAAATGTTATTTCAGATGAAAGTTTTGTTTCAGTTCCATTCATAGGATTTATTAGAATTTTGTATGTTTTGCCAAGTCCAATAATTCGCTCTATGTGCATGTGTTAATTGGAGACTTTTCTATCCCGTATAAGAGTTTTGGAACTAATTCTGTTTCTTTTTTTGAAAAAAGTTAGCAAACAAATCTTGCACATTTAAACCTTTGTCTGCCATCACACTGTCACCTGGATCACATAAATGAACTATTCTACATCTTTCAACTATTTCACAGTCACTGGTACAACCAACATATGCCTTAGAGACAAAGTTGACTAAACCACCAGGTGTCGAACATACAAGTATTTTCAGTGTTTCTGTTTTTATATGATGAAAAGGTTGCCTGAGCTCTAGGAGCTTTAGGTTTTATCACGGGATATTCTGTGCTGTCAATAATAATCCAAGTTGTAGGAAACTTTAATTTGAAGTTGGATGGCGAAAAATACCTGACTAAACCACTAGATGGCCAAGTGTTAGCCTCACACCATTGTTTTAGACATAAAAACAATCCATGTATACACAATATTCTTCACACTAGATTCAATCTAGAATCTAGACAGTTCAAAGTTGGTTGTATAAAGCCTCAATTTCATCAAAGTCATAAAAAAACTGATTTTCAACTGACACCCTATCAATTTGAAAATATATGTACATGTATCTCAAACAATGTGCTGCTAGACCAAGTGTGGTCAAAACAAATAAAAATTTAGTATACAACTCTAAACCGGTATAAAAATGCATGGCTGTGTCACGTGTCTTCATTTCAAAATTCACTGCTGAAAACATAGGGATTGATGGTGTTTGAGTAATTCCATCCGTGAAGCTCAACATTAGCTCGGCAGTTGGTGGTGGACAGTCATAAATCCTTTCTGCAGTATGAATGACTTCTTCAGGAAAACCAACTTTACAATCAAAACTTTCCTCTAGATTTCTACTACAATATTCATCAAGTTTGGTTCTTTTGTTTTCACAGGAAACTGCCCTGATTTTTCTTTTTGTGGACGATTCAGTCTCTTGCTTGGTCCAGGAAAATAGGCTGGGAATGGCAGTAGACTTAAGTCTCTGTATGGTGGGTTTGCGCCCTGAAAAAGGTTATAAAACATTAGTTTTTTGATAATTAAATGAACTTCCATTAGCAATGTATACTTTGTACTACCTGGCAAAATATTACCTAGATTTATTCATTACAATCTGGATAAAACTATGTTTGCCTGATTCAATGTATGTTATGTAAATCCAAAGGACAAACAATGAGAGACTAATGCAACAAACGTACATTGTCTGTACCTAAATAACTATAATATAGATGAGAGCATGTCATTGTTTTGTTCCTGTTTACATTGTCATTGGTATTTTTCAAGAAAGTCTATGAGGCATAGCTTATGCATTCCTGTCATTACTACATCAGCATAATTACTGCTAAAATAATTCTCAGTATGATAAACCTCTTGTAAGAAATCATTATAATTGTAGCATTCACCAAAAAATCTCTAACAGATCACATTTAATCGTAATCCAAAAAATTATGACGTCTTGAATTAACCATCCCTCTTTAGTTCTAAAACGATAATTGCGGTTGTAAACAGACTTTGGTTTATTTGCATTGCGATTATATATATAACTATATATTTCAAAAAGAAAATAGAGTTTTACCATGAATAGTTTCCTGCACGTAGTCTTTTTCAGTAAAATGTTCCTTGCAAACAACAGCTGATTGAGATGGACTCCACGATTTCATCGTGTTCTCGTCCAATCTGCGTATGGGCCATGGCGTTGATCCAACTTTTCCTTCTTTTTAAGTCATTTGGAAATGCATGTCCTCCTCTTAAATGACATCCAGGTACACAACAACAAGTACTTGGCATCGTTAATTAAAAATGTAACTGAAATAGTTGCACAGTGCAGAAACCGGAAGTTGAGGAACAGGATCGGCTACCACGGCGCCACCTATTCAAGAACGATAATTTGCTACTTAATATAACTGCGAAATAACAATAATGTTAGACAGGTTCACGTACATAAACAGAAATGCACTTTAAATTGTATAATATAATTCATGTTCAGTCGACCTTTAATTATAATATCAACGACTGAAATGATTTATAAACATCTAGATTGCATATAACACTCGAAATTAACCCGACCTCTTTCCACACGGAATTCAAATAATTCTAGTTTGTCAATCGGTTGACTGCTTATAATGCAAAATACAAATATATCAAAAGTTTTTAAAACTAACAAAACACAATGATCGTTTCTCTATTTCCCAATGTAAATGAAATGAAACAAAAAACATTTTATATCACAATAAGAAGAGGAGAGAATTCAACATTTCCGGATCTACTTGGAGCCTAAAAACCCCCCACGTAGATTAGTTGGATATCGCGGAAGGAAAGATTAACCCCCCAACCAGAAAGGCATTAAAGCACTGCCTTTAAAAAACTAAAGGGAGGTTATTTTAATAAATATAAACCAGTCACCAAAGTTTCATGAAAACTGCTCTAAGCACTTTTAATTTATTGTCTGAAAACTGAAAAATCACCCCTTTTTATTTATGAATAAAATCCCATAACTCAGAAACATAAAATCTAAATTTATAAAAACAGAAAGGGAGCTTACGTCAAAAGATATGAACAGTTCACCAAAGTTTCATGAAAACTGCTAAAGAATTTTTGAGTTATTGTCAGAAAACTGGAAAATCCCCCTTTTTTAATGAATAAAACCCCATAACTCGGAAACGTAAAATCTAAAATTCATAAAAATGGAAAGGGAGCTCACATCAATAGATATAAACAATTCATCAAAGTTTCTCGCAAAATGGTGATAGCATTGATTAGTGATTGTCCGAAAACTGGAAAATCCCCCTTTTTTAATGAATAAAACCCCACAACTCGGAAACGTAAAATCTAAAATTTATAAAAATTGAAAGATAGCTCACATCAATAGATATAAACAATTCACCAAAATTTCATTCAAATTGGTTACAGCATTTTTGAGTTATTATCTGACATGCTGACGACAGACAGATGGACAGACGGACAACAATATACATAATACGTCCTGTTAACGGGCGTATAAAAATTGTGCAATTTCCCATGTTTTAGAAGAAAAAAAAATAATATCTTTTTATCCTGGACTGAATATTGATGTTCATGCCCAAAATAAACAATAATTAGTATTTGTTGTGACTTGACTGTAAGTGTTGCTCTCCAATTATTGCAGTAGTGTTGGATAATCGGTTGAAATTACCAAACGATTATCTATTACTATCAGTTGACAGCAACCAACTGACTACCGGTTATAATCGCATCATTATACCTTGCCCTTTTTTAAATGAAACAAGTGAAACTGCGAGCTACTGCTCCCTGATGATACCCCCAGCCCAAATACTTGAGGGTAAACAGGAAGTTGTTGAGTGATGAATCTGAAAATGCATCACACGGTATAGCTGACTTATATAAACACTGAAACCAAATTTCAGAAATCCTTGTAATGTAGTTCCTGAGAAAAATGTGACGAAAATTTTCAACTTGGATGTGTTGTGTAAAATGATGTAAGTGCTCGGTAAACAGGAAGTTGTTGAGTGATCAATCTGAAAAAGCATCACACGGTAAAGCTGACTTATATTAACCCTGAAACCAAATTTCAGAAATCCTTGTATTGTAGTTCCTGAGAAAAATGTGATGAAAATTTTCATGGGACGGATGGATGGACTGACAGACTGATAGATGGACGGATGGATGGATGGATGGATGAACAGACAGATAAAACAGTATACTCCCACTTTAAAAAAAGTGGGGGTATAATAATCATGCATTTAGTCACATTGTACATGTCTAATGAATATATTCCATATCATTGCACAGTTTTATATGTTCATATTTGATCTTTTGTTTCCTTTTCATAATTCATTAAGCAATTACAACTGTGAATCAATTAGAATCCAGATTCAGATTGAACATATTTTGTCTTATAATTACAACATTTATTACCAACAATGACACTAAAATTTCTAAATTTCAATGGTATTACTCACATTATAATTTCAAATACATAGCTAGCTGTATAAAAATGTGAATGCTTCTCGTTAAAAAAAGATATATAAAGTATTTAACTTTAATCAATTTAAAATTAATCAAAAAATAAAACAATGCATTTGCATTGAAATATATACATTTAACTATATATGTAGGGGATCCAACCAATGTCTGTTAATTCGTGTAGAATGCTTATTTTTCACTTTTGTGATCATTATTCTTCTGTCAGCAGTGTAATTCGTGCGTCTGTACTTAATATTACAAGAATGCAGAATTCTTACATAGTTGATCCGTATCCGATCCGTGATTCGTATATATTTCAATGGCGGACAAACCGGGAAAATTTATAAAAATAAACGGTTTGACAAGCAATTTGGAAAGGGATATGATGTTTTTGAAGCAACAAATGGATGAAACATTAATAAAAGGCAATTTGCACCACGTTCTAATGTAGCAAAAAATTTATTTTGTCTAAAATCAGAATGATTTCATGTACGCTCTCGAGTAACAAGTACCGGAATTGTAAGAAAGTATTTCATAAAAAGTTATTTACTTTAAATAACATATGATCAATCTGTAAAGTCAATGCTTTAACCATGTTTATAAAGAAAGAAATTGGTTATGTCTTTGATTATAGGATGTTTGACATTGTTATTGTCATCGACTGATATTTTTCGTTACAATTTGTGTGACTGTGCATGTAAAATGCAAACCGGATATAAACCGGAAGTTGATAAGCTAAAAGTCAAGAAACTATAATGACAATCAATTGAACAAAATCCCAATCGATTATCGACATTGCCAGGCCCAACCAACTGATTTCTCACTTATTCCAATCATCGGAACAACACTATATTGCAGTTCATTCAACTAAACTGTTCAACTGGGCAGAAATTTTAACCAACTACTGTAGAAAATCAGTCAAGTCAACAAAGTCCAAGGCGATAAAATAAAACATACTTACAATCCTACAATTTCACTATTACGAAAATGAAGCTTAAAATCTCTATACATTTTGTTATAGTAAAGAATCATTCGAAAAGGTGAGAGGTGGCAATTATGGAATTGCTGTAAAAAAAAACAAGTAAACCATTCATGGGTATGACAAAATTATCTCCCTTGTAAAGAACTAATTCCTTCCATATGATGAACGGATTTTTTATGTGAATCATTCAATACTACATGTTTGGCGGTGGATCATTTAATTTTCTTTGAAATCAATTTGTCAACCTACAATAATCCTTTTGTTAAATGTTGAAAATTGGAAGTTTACATAATTTACAAGTGATACATATTGATTATACCTATCAAATCCTGTACAAGTTGTAACTGGGTCTTTCAAATTCAAACTTCTACAAATATCTTTTCTAACTTCTTGTGTGGCTGTGGCTGTCAAAGCCATAATCGGTATCTAAACAATTTACAATAAAATAAAACATAAAACATAAAAAATAATGTACATCCTTTAAGAAAAATCATGTAAGTAAATAAAAAAATTTCAAGCAGCTAATGAACCATGGAGATGAGGTTAGGATCAAGGAATGTATACTAGAATGAAACTTCTAAATATAAAGCAACTGTATACAAGATATGAAGTATCCAGGTTTTATAGCTTCTAAAATATAAAGCTTTAAACAAATAATTTACAATACTAGTTTTCATCTGCTCATCTATTGCAGGAGCAACCTCAACCAGTGTCAGAATTTAGAATACTAGTAACAGTATTTTCATATTAGTAAAACACATATTTTGATATGTCTTAACTTCATAACACAATTATAGCTACATTTTAATTGTCATTTAATTATTCACATCTCAAAATTGTCAAAAACAAATGTGAATTTGAATCTGTTTGTGAAATTTGTACCTTTATTTAAATACTTACATTAGGAAATCTGTTCTTTAGGTTCCCGAGCGATCTGTATGATGATCGAAAGTCATGACCCCATTGTGACACACAATGTGCTTCATCTATAGCTATCAAATCTATCCCTGTAAATAAATTAAACAATAACCCACTTCAGATTTAATCCTTAAACAAAACTAGAACCTGTTTGAAGAGTGGGACAATTACCATCCTCTTCCACTTTTTGGATAGCACTAAATATAAATATTTTTAACATAAGCAAGTTAATGTAAATTTTTATTTAATAAATTTTAACATACGCAAATTAGTGTAAATTTTTATTTAACATACCGTAATAAATGTATAGTTTTATTCTAATCTATTATTAAATACTCAATAGTATAATAAGATCTATATGTGAAAAGGGGTGTTACTCTGGGATTTGTCAAAAAATAATTGCTTGTGGTGGGGGATGAGAGTCACTTATTCTGTATTAAATGTGGTTTCATTTTTTTGCCTAATTTTGTAAGAATTATAATTTACATTAAAAATTTTATATCATGTGTGGTCAGGGTCTATAAAAATCCCCCTATACATTTAAATCTGGACCAGCCCTAAGTATCTTACAATGTAAAAAATTTCATGAACATCTGATAAAGTTCAAAAGAGAAAATGTGTCAACAAAGAGCATTATGAATAGTATCAAAAATTTTAAAGGGCAAAGCTTTATTATTTGCAAAAGGACCAGAATGTCCTAAAATATACATGACCACAATGTGACATAGTTTGCTCTGTCTTTTGCTCTTGGATATATCCTTGTAAATAAACTATAGATGCCCAACTGTCACAATTTGCTCTGTTTAGAGCTATCAAATCCATTCCTCTAAATAAAATGGCCTATTACTTGGTGGCTGTCGTTTGTTTAATTTTTGTATATCATATCTGTTTTTAACTTTGTTAATTGTTTTGAACATAAATCAGGCCGTTAGTTTTCTTTTTTGCATTGCTTTACATTTGTCATTTTAGGACTTTCTATTGCTTTCTATGCAGTATGGGTTTATCTCATTGATGAAGGCTGTAAACTGATCTATAATTGCTAACTTCTACGTCATTTGTTCTCTGATGGAGAGTTGTTTCATTGGCAATCATACCACTAGTTTTTTTATAATGACCCCACTGTGACTCAGTTTGCTCTGGCAATGCCTATCAAATCTAACCTTGTAAACAAAATATAAATGACCCTGCTGTGACACAGTTTGTCCAGCACTATATTCTGGCTACTCTGCAAAGTAAGGGTATAATAATACTAAACTACTACCATATTTCTTACCTACTGTTCTGTGTAGATTTTCTAGTTTATCAATTCCTGCACTAACAAACTCTGGTGTGATGTACACTAATCTGTATTTACCTCTATAATAAGATAAGAAAACAGTTTTATATTCATCAAAATTGTTAGAGGGTAGTTTTTATGTACTTTTTCTAGGGGGGATGGAGTGTGGAGTGAAGAAGATTTTTTTTTTACTTTATATTCAACCTCATGAAACTTAATAGGATGCTTAAAATGTAGGTCAGAGTGATCTACATTTCTTGAGAGCCTGTTCAAGTCCAAAATGCATCCTTACACAAGTTATATGATTGTAGGTTACTTAGTATTTGTAAGTCTCTATCTTTTTTGCCTGTAGAGGAATAAATGAAAATTGATGACCTACTTGTATAAATCTTTAAGAACTTGACCAGTGTTCTCCTGTGCAGATCCAAGTAAACAGGCTTTAATGTTGGCAACTCTGTAATAAAACAATGCATTATCTTTGTAAAACCTATTGAAGTTCCAGGGCCATAAACTCTAAAAATATGATAACTAAGGTCAACTGACAATTTTACATAGACATAAAACAACTGACAGAGATTTACAATGGAGTACTAAGCATTTTATCCTATTTCATCTCAATAAACTAGTTTTGTATTTTTGAAAATATTGCTTCATTCCTAATATTAGAGAGTTTAAAATAATAATTCTAATATGACATTCTTCTTTCGCTTTGGAAACAAAGCCATGTTCTAATTCCAATAAAACATGGGCTGCACGTGATTGGAGTCACAATTGAAATTGCAACATCAGCTGTTTTTTGAACAACGCCGGAAATCAAAATGGACATTTGCTTAGGTGTTGCTCGCTAGGAAATTAAATAAAATCATTCTAAAAGTAAGTTTACATGTATCTTTTCATTTGTTTATCGTGAAATGGTATATTTTCTATAACGTTTTGGCTTCATCAAATTAAAATGGTTGCCTTTTGAACGCGTATTATAGGTCCGCTTCGAAGTACAAAAGTTCTTAATTTTCCTATTAGAATCGAAATAATTCTATCATGCCATGCTCTATGCTAATTCTAACATGGTAGGCATTATATTTGTCAACATTTTAGTGGAAAGATATTGACAAATATAATGCCTACCCATGTTAAAATGAGCATAGAGCATGGCATGAAAGAATTATTTCTTAAACAGTGTATAATTAATACATTTTATTGATCAACAGGTTTAACTACTAATAAAATGCTCCGCTGGGCGCAGCTTGATACGACCGCAGAGGTCGAACCCTGAACAGTTGGGGCAAGTATGGACACAAAATTCAAGCTTGATACAGCACTGAATTTGGATTGTGATTAAATATTTGACACAGCATAGGTTTCTGACACAGAATGAACTTAAAATTTTTTAATTTACCTATTCAACCCATATCATTATTATTTGCTTTTATATATAAATCAGAAATAACCAATTTAAAATGGAAAATTTTAAAGAAAAAAAAAGGGGAAAAAAATCCCCTCCCCCCCCCCCAAATTTTTTGAACCCCCTTATGATTCATCACCCCGAAACTCTATCCCAGCCTTCCCTTTGTGGTATGTTACCTTGCAGTACAATTTCAGAGAGATTCATACACTTGAACACAAGTAATTGTCTGGAAACTAGAAAAATGCTTGTTTTTTGGCCCCTTTTTGGCCTCAAATTCCTAAACATTTAGGGCAATTACCCCCAAACTCAAACCAAGCTTTCCCTTTGCGATATGGAACCTTGTGGTACAATTTCATAAAGATCCATACACTTACACACAAGTTATTGTCTGGAAACTAGAAAAATACTTGTTTTTTGCCCCTTTTTGGCCCCTAATTCCTATAATTTGAGGCAATTACCCCCAAAATCGATCCCAGCATTCCCTTTCTGATATGGAACCTTGTGGTACAATGTCAGAGAGATCCATACACTAACACACAATTTATGTCTTGAAGTTACAAAAATGCTTATTTTTGGCCCCTAATTCCTTAACTGTTGGTACCATAACCCCCAAAATCAATCCCAACCTTCCTTTTGTGGTATTGAACCTTATTGTAAAATATCATAGAGATCCATTCACTTAAACTAAAGTTAGAGTGCGAAAACCAATGTGTCTTCGGACGACGACAATGACGATGACGCCAACGTCATACCAATATACGACCACAAAATTTTTTTGCGGTCGTATAAAAACTGAGATTTATGATTCATAAAAGCATTTCTGATTTCAGCTAATAATTTGAAAATGCAAGGCTATAATGCAAGGCTGGATATTCTTGTTTAAAATAATATACTAATAAATCTTAAAATGCTCACTTAAGGCCCAAGACTTGATCTTGCATCAGTGATATCAGAGGGGAGACAACCACAGTGGTTTTTCCAGTATACACAGAAGGATACTGGTAACACAAACTTTTCCCATAACCTGCAAAACAAACAAAAAACCTTTGTACACACATAACTGCTAAAACAAATTTTATTGATGAACTTACAAAAAGAAATAAGATTGATAAGCTATTTCTCTTTGAAAAGTAACAAAAGCACATAAAAAGTTTTGAATTATGAGTAAGCACATCTCAACTGCTATGTCCAAGATAAAATGATGTAATGTTCCCAGTTATCGCACACTCTCTTAGTTTGCCCTTGACTTAAATTTTCTAACCCAAAAAGCTTAACTTGACAACAAAAACATGACAATGAAAGCATGCATCAGTCAGAAAAATACTTCTTCCAAAAAGTCCAACATACATCTTTATTAAAGATGTGGTAGGAAACAATTTGGTATTGTTAACTAGAAAATAAACAAGCATTCTGTGAGTATTGCCTGGCAATACATAGTCCCCTACTGGTTAAAAATTCATTTTACTGGAACAAAATGCTAACTTGATCTATAACTTGTCATGGTGTTGACTTTATAACAAATATCAAGTCAATATCTTCAAGCATGACGAAAAAAAATGTGGAAAATTGATTATTTGAGTAAATTTTCTAAGTCCAAGGACCATAACTCTGCACAAAATCATCAGACCGGAACAAAATTCGAACTTGATCTGTAACTTTTCATGATTAAACTATATACCAATCATCAAATCAATATCTTCAAGCATGACAAAAAAAAGTGCGGAAAACTGATTATTTGAGTGATTTCTAAGTTCAAGGACCATAACTCTGCACAAAATCGTCAATTCGAAAAAAAGTGTGGAAAACTGATTTGCCGGACTGACTGATGGACAGACAGACAGACAGACGGACGGAGAGCAAACCTAAAGTCCCCTTCGACTTCGTCGGTAGGGGACTAATAAAAGAAATACTTATGCCAACTCTTGCTTTGACAGCATGTGTGAAGATATAAAAAATTTAGAAAAATGTAAATTTATCTCTTGGCAATGCTTCATATAATAGAGTGTAAAAGCATGAACTTCATTTTTTCCATCTTAATTCATTGATATCAAAATAACATCTCGTCTTGTTGTTTTACAAACCTGTAGCCATGATTACACAGTTATCTCTCTTTTCATTTACCACAGAGTTATAGCCTGACTGTTGTTTTACAAACCTGTAGCCATGATTACACAGTTATCTCTCTTTTCATTTACCACAGAGTTAAAGCCTGACTGTTGTTTTACAAACCTGTAGCCATGATTACACAGTTATCTCTCTTTTCATTTACTACAGAGTTATAGCCTGACTGTTGTTTTACAAAACTGTAGCCATGATTACAGAGTTATCTCTCTTTTCATTTACTACAGAGTTATAGCCTGACTGTTGTTTTACAAACCTGTAGCCATGATTACACAGTTATCTTTCTTTTCATTTACTACAGAGTTAAAGCCTTAATGTTGTTTTACAAACCTGTAGCCATGATTACCCAGTTGCTGTTTTTACAAACCTGTAGCCATGATGACACAGTTATCTCTCTTCTCATTTACTACAGAGTTAATGATCTTCCACTGCATCCTATAAAATCAAAATATACAACCCTAAAAACTTATACATTTAATGAAATCATTCAACTTTTCACTGAGACATTGTAAAGTATTTTTGAGAAAAAAAGAAATAAAACTGATTTCAGCCCAAATATTACTTCTGCTACAATATCTCAAACATTTCTAATATCAACAGTAAAAATGTCTTCTTTTTCAATAATTGACTGGATGACAAAATTAAAGTAAAACACATCATATGCAAAAAGAAACTCACAAGGTACAGTAACTTTCGGGTAAACAAGAAGAACAAGAAAAAATCTGAAGAATATGATTTTTCTTTAATGTTAAGCACAAAAGGTTGATGTGAGAGTCTTGGAAAGTAGAAATAAATGACTGGCCAGAAGTATAAGTCATATTTAAAGAAAGATTAACAACTCTGCCTTTTATTAACACAACTCTTTCATTTATAACAGAAATTTACTTAATAAAGAATCAAAGCTTCATATAAATTGTTAGAAACAAAAGAAAAAACCCTATAGCAGTCTATGCAACAATTCTAAATATATATTTAAAGATAGAATGGTTACAGTAATAATTGTATTAAGAACTTTTAAAGATCCATTCTAGTATAGACATTCTACATTTACACAAACTTGTGTTCATGTATTAGAGCATGTCTCTATGTTTCAGAGCAAATAATGACAAATTTTAAAAAAGAAATTTTTGTATTCAAATTGATCAGCAACACTACAACAGTGCACATTACTTAGTTTAGTTAGGGAATAAAAAAGAAACTGCAACATTTTTGTATGTAATGTTTCTTTGTGTGTTGTAGGTTAGGCAGTTAAGTACACAAAGGTAAACTTGTCATTCACATTCAAAATACAAACTTTTTAACAAAAATCATGTTACAGCAATCATGCTTCAAATTTTTATATACTTGTTGCAACTAGCTATAGGGGTCAACAACTTGAGTCAGATTTTCTACTCCAAAATTTTTGATGAAAAAGTCTTTAGCAAGACATGTCATACTACTCAGACACAACTCTGAGTAGATCATTCTTTACTCTAACTATTGAAAGTCTTGTGCTTAGCAAAGAAGTAAGTTTAAGTTTTAAAATTGTTAGTTAATCCTGATGAGGATCAATCTAATGTTCTCCTACACTCTGGGAGATATGGCTATCATGACATCCCAGAGATTGCTTTGAGTAAATGAAAACATTATAATCAACTTAAATAAACCTACGGTCTGAATTTAGAGTATCCAAAATACTGCTTCAGAATATTTTGAAATCTGCCATCTTGAGGTTGATTCTGTGGATCTAGAAACAAATAAATCGTTAACACAGAGATATGTCTCGCCTAATTGTAATTTTGATAATGCAAATGTTGAAATTAAAATAACAATACTTGAACATGTAAGTTATGCAAATATTCAAAGTCAATGAACCATGACTAAAGGCACAGGTCTAAACTATCTACATGGAAATGAGATGTGCCAATGCTAATACAACTGCATACCAAATACCATTGACTTTTCGTAAGTCGTTCCCTTTAAAGAAACCTAAACACAAACATTAACTTGTAAATTAAGCAAAAGTTTCAAAGTCAATAGAACATGACTGAAGGGGCGGGGCCAAATAATCTCCATGGAAATGAGATATGCCAATGTTTATACAACTGCATATTAAATATCATTGATCTACCACTAGTGGTTCCCCATAAACTGATCTAATCACAAACTAATACATGTAAACATAGCAAAGTTTCAAAGTCAATAAACCATGACTGAGGGGGTGGGGCCAAATAATCTCCATGGTAATGAGATGTGCCAATGCTAATACAGTACACATTTCGCGAAAGGCTTCCCAAACTCCGAACACCAAGTTTTTTCTTGGTGTGACACCAGGAAACTCAGACATCCCTCCCTAAATTCTCGGAGAAATTTGGGAGTATTCCCTCCGACTTCCGCGTAAATTCGCTACCTTTTGTTTATTGTATTAGCGACATCTCTCCCAGTCCAGTGTGACGCGGTGTCACACCAGGTTATTAATTGCCCTAATCCTTCTGATCTATACCGGCACGCGACAGTCAAGGTATGTGAGATTATTTATGTAATTAAACAATTGTATTTCCTGTCTATTGATAATCAGGTTATATTTCTGATTGCTTGAAACAAATAAAAGATTTAAAAGCAAAACCTGGTTGTTAATTCTTTCAATTACACTGTACACTTAAAAATAGTTTTATTAAAAAAAAAACTATATTTGATTTTTACCTCGTTTTTTTTCTGGTCAGTAAATTAATATTTAATTTACAAAAGAGATATACTTGTGTAAAAATAAACGGAGACTTACCCTGAATAAATGTGGGCAGTTTAAAGGAAAATTACATGTCTCAAAGTTTTGTATACAAGTAAAAAAGAAAATATTATTCACTATTCCTTATGCTTAATAAGTCTACGGCATTTTCTCTTTACGATTTGTTGGCATTACTTTAGGATAAATAATTACATTTCGGCTACAACAGGAATACTTCTATAGCTGCACCAACTCGCCGTTGCATAATATTCATTACGCACAATGAATGTAAACTTGTGTGTTGTATAAAGGACAGTGATTTTTAAATTTTTTAAAAGAAATTAATTGCCGTGGGAAGACAATACACATCTCAGTGATCAACAGTCCGTGGTTGAACTTTGAACTTGACTTCGCTCACAATATTGAATGCTAAAAATAGTGACATCAATTTTGTCCACGAGATTTTTATTTGGCGGGAAATATTATCACGTTACAGTAAACTCAGGGGACCTTTCTGGATGACCGTGGGAAAATTCATTCGGGGTTTAAATTTGCTTTGGAATGATTGACATTTGTATGCCTTAAGAATGAGGCTCTAGAAGGTCCTTTTACAATTGATTAACCGGAATCTAAAATATATATATTCCCTTTCTGAATAAACGAAAACCAGCCTTTTAATTTTACGTTTCTCAGTCAACACAGGACATAAACCTGGACATTATTTATACGTCCATGGTCAACAATATACATAAATGGTAGATGAAAACAGGATGCATGTCGTTCAGTTCCTGTTGGGCAGTAAGATACGGATTGCGCCCATCAATAAAGGATCAATAACAGATCATAACAGAGATAAACAACACATGATTTTTTTCTTCATATAATTAAATTAGGTTGTGACTATTGTGTTGTGTCTGGGCGGGGAATGTCTCTCAGTGTTGTGTTTTTATGAATATAGGGCACATTGCATACAAAACGTTTTCCCTTCGTTCAACAGAGTTGTCACTTTACAGTTTCTTTTCTGAGTTCAAATATTTCAAGTCGGTAATCTACCGAGGTAGTGAAACATAATATTTTACATTGCAAAATAAATTGAAAGTAACAGAGTTCACTTGTTGATCCGATAAATTAACTCTTGGGTTTAGATTGGACAAATTACCGTAAAAACATCATTTTGTTTTAAGCCAGTTGATATTTATATATTGAACAATTAATGAACCGGATATTGCTCATTGAGTAGGTCTTAAAAGATTCTAATTGTAGTAAAATCGTCTTTGTTGAAAAAACAAAAATTATGACCTGACCGGACTATAATAAAAATACAAAATAAGTGTTTTATTCGTATTTTTATACGTTTGTACGTTTTATTTCAAATGACAATGACATGGGGCAAATACATACAAGAATAATTATCTTATTTTGAATGAAAATGTCACATTTTTATCTGTCAAAGAAAGGAGATTTTAATATCATGTTTTAAAGCACAAAGGTGAAATCAAGATCGATTAAATGTACAAAGGTAATAAATCTGGATAATCCGATTATGTTGTCACGCGTCATTAATTTTCAGTACATCCGATGGGCAATAAACCAATTAACAGCCACGCGGTGTTGGGAGAGAATCTTTGGAGGAAATTGGGAGTATAATCCGTGATTCACGGTGTGACACCGCTACACTCCAAAATCCGTGATTAGAGTTCGCGATTACAAACTCTCTGTGCGTACTGTACAACTGCATAACAAATATCATTGACCTACCACTAGTGCTTCACCATAATATAGACCTAATCACAAACTAATACATTGTTGACGCTGCCGCCGGAAACAACATACCTATGTCTCGATTTTTGACTCTGTCAAGAAACAATAATATCAGCATATGATGATCATATAAATGAAACACTCTTCTCCAAATCTGAAAATCAATTAAATGATAGAATTTCACCCCTCCCATACACATAATCACCCCTCCCTATGAAAATATATTTATATTTCCTATTTCTGATTACTGAAGTCATCATATACAAGTGTACCAGAGAGTAACGAAAGTTATGTAAATAAAGGATACTCATAGAAACCAAGATGACGGATTTACAATGGAAAATAGTTTAGGATAATGTGATGGTCAGGATAATACAGTGCAATTATAATAAAAGGTAGGACAGAAGTGTTTTGTTTTTTTTTTTTTATTTTAGGTTCCGCTTAGTGAAAAACTGCATCTCTAATGAACAAGATTGGTAGTTTAAAAATCTTCCAACCAAAAACCTGGTGCCAATTTTACACGACAGCAACTATAGGTAATGATGAGATATACATCGAAGGTAAAAATAAAAGATAATTAAAGAACCTTAGTGAGCACGCTCACATACCCCACGTCCCCACATTGTCATTGGAGAAATTAAATAAGTATAACAAAAAAAAATATTGAATAATAATTTCCTGTCAATATGCACATCTACATAGTATGTCCTTATTATCTACAAAATTTCATGAAATTCTGTTGTGTGGTTTCAGAAGAGTGGAGATGACAAACTGTTGCAGAAGTACATTGAAGCAAATAAGTTCAAAGGGGCGTAACTCCTAGAAAAAAAAATGAATCGTAATTTCCTGTCGATATGCACATCAATGTAGTATGTTCTTATTATCTACAAAGTTTCATGAAATTCTGTTGTGTGGTTTCAGAGGAGTTGAGATGACAAACTGTTGAAGTAGTACCTTAAAGCAAATAAGTTCAAAGGGGTGTAACTCCTAGAAAAAAAATTGAATAATAATTTCCTGTCGACATGCACATCTACATAGTATGTCCTTATTATCTTAAAAGGTTTCATGAAATTCTGTTGTGTAGTTTCAGAGGAGTTGCGATGACAAACTGTTGCAGTAGTACATTAAAGTAAATAAGTTCAAAGGGGCGTAACTCCTAGAAAAAAAATTGAATCGTAATTTCCTGTCTAAATGCACATCTACATAGTATGTCCTTATTATCTAAAAAGGTTTCATGAAATTCTGTTGTGTGGTTTCAGAGGAGTTGCGATGACAAACTGTTGCAGTAGTACATTGAAGCAAATAAGTTTAAAGGGGCGTAACTCCTAGAAAAAAAATTGAATCGTAATTTCCTGTCGATATGCACAACAACATAATATGTCCTTTTTATCTAAAATGGTTTCGTGAAATTCTGTTGTGTGGTTTGAGAGGAGTTGCGATGACAAGAAACAGGACTGACGGACAGACGGACTGACTGACGGACAGACTGACGGACGGACTGACGGACGGACGGGTCAAAAACATTATACCCTCCGCAACTCGTTGCGTGGGGTATAATCATGAATTTTATAAGAGTATACAACAGAAATGAAAAGACTCTACAAGCAAAAGAAATAACAATGTAATATTTGTAAAGGTCTCATTCACATTTCCATTTCTAATTTTACACTGATATTATCATACTGATCTAAGTTTTCTGTACAAGTAAATCTGAAGTCAAATATGAATGGGATCAGATTCGGTATTTGTTACAAAATAAGATAAGAACTACATATGAAATTTCAGGTCTGTAACTGCAGGCATAGCCATTGTACGGTATATGATAAAACTATATGTCTTGACCACTTAGTGCCAAGGGTATAAAGATTAAGTAAACAGATATTTATATCAGTACCATCATCTTCATCTTCCTCTACTTCATCCACCTGTAATTCCTGTAAAAACAAAATTGAAGCATTTTGTCAAATTGATTCCACTTATGATAACTATAATTTTTCATGATTTCTTCATACTAAAATTGAGAAAGCAAGAAAAATTCGCATTATTTCAACTAGATGTGTTCCACTCGAACATTGCTTAAAAATTTTTATTTGTAAATATAACTGATCATTTTTCTTTAAAACACTGGATTTTCTATTGTATAGAAAGGTTATTGATTGTTGGATTTAAGGTTTTACCAATGGTAAATAAAAAGAAGTATTTATGCATTGAGTGGTAGTTTAGCCATATTAACATTTACAACATGTCATATCAAAATTTATCATTTCTTTGGGTTTTAACTTATCTCTCAAGATTAATTTTCAACAATTTGAAAAGTAAAATTATATACCAATAAAACAGAATCATCAAAATCATCATCATCTCCAAATCCGTCCTCTTCTATCTGAAATATTATGAAAACAAATTTATTATAAGGCAATAAACATTCCTTTGTTGCTTTGTTTTATAAACAGAGGCAGGAAAGAAATATTTGAAGTAATTCATTTGTTGATAAAGGGTCTTTCTTTCATTGATCTTTTTATCATAAATAAAAGATTTTATAAATAGAGATTTAGGGTATACATCTAATTTAAAAGTAAAATATACACTGTGGCACATACTTTTAATGAATTTATTTCAAACTCAAAATATTTGTGCATGTAATATGAAAATTCAATCAAGGTTTGAAATGGAACAATACTGCTGACATGTAGGTTTGCCTAATGAACATGCACCAGAGCTTTTAAATTAAGGGCTGTTCCAAAACTGATCTTGGTAGGTGGTGGGAAGCACTCAAATTAATTAATTGTGGGTGGTTGAATTTTCCTTATTTCAAAAACAGTTTTCAAAGATATTCCTACAGTGTTAAATTGATAACCTTTCAGAATCATTTTGTAAAGGATTGATAAGTTTACAAGGATCTATCTAAATTTACAGCTCTATATACAACATCAGCATAAAAATTAGGATTGTGATGCAAATTTTGAATAAAAATCCAAATTTTGAGAATCATTTTTCTTGAAAATTAGCACAGCCACCTTTGTTTCAGTTTGTGACTTTTCAAACTCTTACTTTCAATCTACAACATATCTCAATTCCACAAAAATAACAAAACAAGAACAAGATCAACAAGGGAAATGGGGTAAGTGCAAAAAATCAGCAGAACAAAGTGCCTGTCTCAAATAAAAACATTGACAGTGGTTGTATGTATTTATAAGAGTTTTGTCCTTTAGGAACAATGTATATATGACAGACCTTTGATATCTTTGACCTCTATCATACCTGCCAACCTCTGAAACCTTCAAAGAGGGAGATCTCCCCCTCAGCTATGACAGCTGAGGGGGAGATTTTGCGCGAATGACGTTTTCAAGTTAAATATATGACCTGTTTATTTATTCATCTACAAAACACCAATAAGAGTTAATCAGTCAGGGGACTTATTGAAATAAGTGATTTTTAAATCACTTATTTAAGTAGCAAATTCGAAGTTTTGTCACAAATTGTGATTTTGTAGTTTTACCAAAATTTTAAACACATAGGTTTAGATAATATCTTTTCATTAGTAAAATTGAAAAAAATGAACTTTTTGCTTCTTTAAACTAAAGCAGCAAGGTTTATGCCTTTGATGCAATCATTTAGCTGCAAATTCTATTTTGGTTGAAAAAATTATATAAAAATTTGTAAGGGTTCCGCGGAACCCAGTGTCTCGCCTACTTTTGCTGTTAATCGCAGGCTCAACAAAAATGAGGAAAAAAATTAATAAAAATATTCCTCTTTATACTATCTTTTGATTGTAAGTAGCTTCTGTCCAAGTTTGGTAAAAATCCAGGATAGTTTATGAATCTAATAAATGTTTTAAAAACTTAAACTACAGACTGTATGTAATGTTAACTGGAAGAAAAACTAAGTCCATTTATAAGTAAAATATGGAAAAAATGGAACAAAATTTTAACAAAATTTCCTTCTAGATACTAGCTTTTAATCATAAACAAGCTTCTGTCCAAGTGGTGTCTTCCCGATTGTCCCACTTTTTGAAATTACAGGTAAAAATGTAATGAAATTTTGTGGGACAATCGGGAAGATGTTTGTGGGACAATTGGGAAGTTTAAATGTGGGACAATTGGGAATTGTTTTGATAGTGATTAATTTGTTTTTAAAGTGTGTAGCAGGTAATTACAAGTTATTTTGTACCTCATAAAATTTGAAATAAACATTGAGAAAAGATGGTATTTACATATTTTATTTTGTTTTGATATATTTTGTAAAACTACTGTCCAAATAAAATACAATTATATGACAAAATAGATATATTTTAACTTAATAAAATATTAATAGACTCTTTTAAAATAAATTGTAAATTGAACATATAGTACATAATTGAAAAATTTAGAAGTATCAAGGATAAAATAAAATTAAAAGATGTGTTTAAGAGAAATACAAAGAGATAAGAATAATTTTACATGTTACAAAGTTTCAGGGATTTGTTCTAAAATTGACAGGTTTTAAGCTGATATTAGATATATTCATAAAACAAAGAAATGAAACATATTCTCAGATATGATAAGTCTGATCACAAAATTGTTCAAGTAAGCATTCAATTCAAGCAAAACAATGGGGAAAGTTTTATTTGAATATTAATAAGAAAATCCTTGAATTAGAAAATCATAAACTTAAAACGAAATAATGTGCAGATATGTTGATTGTATAGACATCTGGTCTAACTTTACACACTAAGAATAAATTGACTCCAGCCAGGTCCAACCAATGAACAGAAATTTGGAATTTTGTTGCTTCTCCTCAAAGGACGCTACATTTTGGACTAAGAGGAAAGACTGGTCAGTCCTTACTTAGAATAACTTGTCTGTTTTTGGTGACACATGTGTCTTCCTGCGGACTGTTATCTTGTGAACTAGCAAGTTAAAATTTCGGCTTGATGACTGTGTCGGTCTATTTCTTTTCAAAGAAGGTTTCATGTTCATCTAACACCAACATGTTCTCGTCCTGCTTTTGGCATTTAACTTGCCACTGGACGTTTTTAAAACAGTTTATGTGTTCAGAGGACACTGATGACATTTCTGATCCACATCTATCTCTTTTCCCTAAGTGAGAATATAAGTTGAGACCTTGCAATCTATATTATTACATATAAAAATTGCTTATGTAATATTGAGATTGTAAATGTTTTTTTTTTTTTTAAATCAGTCGCTAGACCTTTCAGTCTGAGCGCTCTTAAAAATGAAAAGAAAGTCAAAATTGCGTCCATGTTTTTAAAATTTAAATAATATTTATTGATATTTGATTAAGAAATTGACCTAACATAATAGATATCGTTTATAACATATATGTTATATTGCTTAATCAAAGGTGCATTTTAACTGATGATTTATTCAACAATTCATAGTTACATTTATAAAATTGATATCAACTACTAGTTTGCTCATGCAATAATTAATTTTAATTTGATATTGCAAAACAAACAACAATTACATTGTTTATTCAAGAACATTAAAAATATAAAAATAATGTGGGACAATCAGAACTTTTCATGTGGGACAATCAGAACTCTAAAATTTTAAAAAGTGGGACAATCGGGAATAAACCGTCCAAGTTTGGTACAAATCCAACATAGTTTAAGAAAGTTGTTAAAATTTTAAAAACTTTAACCATAGAGTGAATGTAATGTTAACTGGCAGAAAAACTAAGTCCATTTATAAGTAAAATATGGAAAAAATGATTTTTTTTTTTACAAAATTTACTTCTGGATACTATCTTATGATCATAAACAAGCTTCTTTCCAAGTTTGGTAGAAATCCAGGATAGTTTAAGAAAGTTATTAAAATTTCAAAAACTTTAACCACAGAGTGAATGTAATGTTTCCTGGCAGAAAAACTAAGTCCATTTATAAGTAAAATACGGAAAAAATGGAATTTTTTTTTTACAAAACTTACTTTGGGATATTATCTTATGATCATAAACAAGCTTCTGTCCAAGTTTGGTAGAAATCCAGGATAGTTTAAGAAAGTTATGAAAATTTCAAAAACTTTAACCACAGAGTGAATATTTGTGGACACCGTTGACGACGACGACGCCGACGGAATGTAGGATCACTATGTCTCGCTTTTTCGACAAAAGTCGAAGGCTCGACAAAAATGGCTTTAGATAATGAACTGATACTTTCTTCACAGATTTTTTCCAGCAGTGGCAGTATTTTTCCTGTATAATTCAAGGTTTCATCTTATAGATTATGTAATAAAATTCTACTGTGGGCGATCAAAATTTCACTGTTCAGGGGTGTTGAAATTGGTGAGGGTTATTAAAATAATGATACTTAAAGAAGTGATCTTTTGGAAGGAAATTGAGGTATGATACTTAAACAAGTGATTTTTATGTCATTATCCTAGATTTAGTACAAGGTCATCACCTGACATGACCCGGTCATCCTATCAACACAGATGTTGGTTCTGATAATTTTAGCAACATAATTAGTCCCTGGATCATTAGTATTCTATATTTAAAAATTAAAGCTACAATAAAATTAAATCACTTAGTCTAGTGATTAATTTGTACTACTTAAATAGGTGATTATTAAAGAAAGACAACTCTTACTTCCAACCTTTATGGACATAATGTTACTTGAATCAGTGATTATTTAGAAAATCACTCATTTAAGTAAGTCCCCTGACTGTTAATAGATATACTTTATTTCTTCAATTCATGGGTATTATCTATACAAGGTGTGTTTTTTTTTTTTGCCTTTTTCAATACCTCTGAGTCTCATAACTCATAACATTCCATATTTTGATTTTGTTGTGAGACCCACACTAAGCATGCTTTCAAATGTCGTACAGACCACCAGAAGAAACTGAAAAGTTGATTGAACATGATGTGCAAAATGAAGATTCATTGCCAAGTGTCAGTGAACTTGGTCGTAAAAATTAAAAATCTTTCATTCAGTCATGACATTTCAATTTGCAGTTATCTATTTCTGCTTTTTTACACTGCCGATTGGTCCAGACAAAGACCTCTACCTTGTTGGAGTTGATATAGCAGAAATGAATTTCGATTACTTATAAATTGAACATAAAAACTACTGACCAAAGTTTTCAAAAGATCGCCAATTGTTTATTTATTTCTATTGACAGTAATGAAAAAGCCAGAGAATTACGATTGCGGTTCATTCCGGTTTAAAATATCCGAAAGCAGCAGATTCTATACTCCCGCGCGGGAGCAGGCCGGCAAGTGGGAGATTTCCGGAATTTCGCCACTCAAAACGGGAGAGTTGGCAGGTTTGCCTCTATTAAATTTATTCATGCCTCTATTAAATTTATTCATAACTTTTTAGACTGTGGGCAATTTAAAGTCTGACATATTGTATGTATACACAATTGTGTATTGTTGAAGACAATGTGTTGACGGTTGACCTGAAAAGTATTTTAGTTATTTTGTGTTGTTTGGTTTGGGACTACTTTTAATATATATTCTCAACATCTCTTATACTTTTTTATGCATGCTCCTTCTACATATAACTATCATATGTTTTAAAATCTGCTTAAATAATCTTCTACATATACATGTAAATAAGTAAAGCAAGTACATTTTTGTAATATAACAATACATAAATACATATGTATATAAAAACATAATACTAAATGCTGATGACCAAAATTTGCATTTTTAGTATCTGATTGATACAATATGTTGTCAAAATCTACTAGTACTTCATAAACAAATAACTCACTAATGATAAATCTTACATTTGGCAACATGTTGTCTTTGGTGTTACTTTGTATTGCCGATACCTTTGATGTAGATGCTGCTGGTTCATCGTCAATATTGTATTGATCAAAGTTCTCTAAATCATCTGTTGCATCAGAATCATCATCTCTTGTTGGATCACATGTTGTTGTTGTTGTTAAATGTACATTGTCTGATTCAGTTTTATCTGAAGCTGGATCCGAAAATAAACTCTCATCATTAGTAAAACATTCAGTTTCCTCTTCAGTATTATAGTCCTTGATCACTGTTGTGAATAGACCTGATACTCTCTGTAGGAGATCTAAAGCTTCATCTATATCACCACATGCATTAGTGTAAGCTATGGTATCTACTTCATGATCATTGTATTTTATTTTTGAACATAAATTTAATGTTTCATTTTTAACACTCTCAAGTTTTTTAAGTAAAACCTTTTGTTTCTTTTCCATCTTCTTTGGTCATTCTATTTTCACCTTTAAAAAAAGCATGAAAAAAATCTTGAGAAATGTACGACATTGTTACTGCAGCATTAATAAATACAGTAGACTCCACCTAGCTATAATAACAAATATATTGGCTATAGTCATAATATTTCATAACACCAAACCCTTTCCTACATGTATATGTTTAATGTACAATGTACTAGTTCTAAGTATTCCTATTTTCTGATAAAACTAATTTGTAACAATATTGAAGTGTGATTAAAATGTCCCTTAACTAATGTTTGACACATTTATTTCAGTATAACATTCAAATTTCTTCCAAATAATTTAGTGGAGTCCACTGTCATGAATGTACTTAAAATGGTACATTCTGTAACATCATTAAATAAAGGGTTCTCAAGTAATCACACAGTAATGGCTCAATAACTTAATTTTAACTATGCTCTAAAAAATGAAAAATGTTGACAAAGACATGAATTTGTGTGCCACAACAGTCAGTATAAATGAAACATAAAATTTATATTAATCACTGAAAATTGCTGGCTGATATATTTTTTTTAATCATTTTAATATGTAAACTGCAGAAGTACATTTACATCCAGTTTTATTTATTTCTACACAGGCATTGTGTATGTTAACTAGAGGCTCTAAAGAGCCTGTGTCGCTCACCTTGGTCTATGTACATATTTAACAAAGGACACTCTCCAACATTGTAGACGAGAATAGAATTCATGACAAAAATCTGTTTTGTTGATTTGAATTGCTGATCATTTAGTCTATTTAGTTTCTCTCTTTCTTCTTTAGTTTTTGCTCATCAAAACATAAAAGAGTGTAAAAAAAAATCCTCATTTAAATGCAATCTCTCTTATAGAGAGTGACAGTCTATATAGCTACTTACTATATCGACAAAATTTTGACTTGTTAGTAGATCTTGTCTTGCTGATCATTTTTGTGATTTAAAGTGTCTATTTATCTTTTACAATTTTTATCATATAAGGCAAAATGCAAAAAAATGGTAAAATCGTCATTAAAGGGCAAAACACATCTTCTTATATCTAATAACATCAATAAGGAGTAATTTTAAGATTTCCTCCATTTGTTTTAATTGAAGATCTTGTCTTCCTGATCATTTTTGCTTATTTAAGTTTCTATCTATCTATTATATTTTTTAAGATATAAGGCATAAACGCAAAAAATTGGTAAAAACAATGAATATATAACATCTTGTACAGGTTCATTATTTATGGCTTCCATTTCCTTTCAGTGTCACCAAGGGAGATGCATGTTTGGGCTAATTGATTTAACATTAGGGCTAAAAAAAAATGTTATGTTTGGGCTAATGGCAAATCGACATTTGGGCTTAATTTTAAAGTCTACGTTTGGGCTATTCCTGCCAGGTACAGGTAAATTAGAGGTATCATATCTATATCATAGTTATATATTAATATTCAATATGCAATATAAAATGACATTCTATTTATAACATGTTCATGTTGAATGTACCCTTCAGTTCATGATGAGGTGGAAGTGGAATTTGGGCACCAAATAACTGTTTTTAAACTTTGTACAACTTTCACATGATGCATGTATAAAACAACTAGGTTAAGATATGAAAAGTACACCCAATATATAGCTCACAATGATTGGTTTTTGACTTGAATTTAAAACTAACAGCCTTTAAAAATAATTAATTAGAATATGTCTATGTATCCACCACCACATTTACATTGCATTTGAGTACAGACAAACCTGGACACCTGTTTCATGTGTTTCCAGGCATGGCAGGATATACATGTAGACTTACAAAAATAAAATGATATTCTTATTTCTTCAGAAGCATTTTATTGTTTGAACAGAAGGTGCCAAATAAGCTATGTTGAGAAAAATACTTGTTCGGCCCTCATTATAAATGAATTTGTATAATTGACATGGACAATAGATATGTGCACAACAATAATGACTTGAATTGTGTAACAAGGTGTACTGTATCAAATGAAATTTAGATGTCACAATTATTTGTAGTCTAAAATAATGATGTCTTGGAAGGCTATTTGAATTTTGTTTAAACACCTTCCATTAATGATGAGGGATATATAAAAATCAAAATTAACCATACTTACAGACCTCATGGTTATTTGAGAGTCTGGGTGAAGTGGGGTTAAACAAATAAAGAATAATGGGTCGGAATAATAAAGTAAAATAGGCTAACAAGTTAAAAATTATAATATTAATAGAGAAAAATAGACGTATTTACACTTGTATGCAAATTTGTCAGCCATTACTTAAAATCACACAAGTTCCTGTAAAATCTGACATCACAATTTAAAAAATTTGATGTCATAATTAAAAAGTGATTGTAGCTTGACGTCAGGTTATTCGGAGACAAATCTAAGGTCATTAGGAGATAAAATTCAGCCAAATACCAAAAGTGTAAATACGTTTATAGGCATTGCCATAGCATAGGGAGCTATAAATTAAAGAATATAGATCGAAATTATATTGGGCAAAATAAAGAGTAGAGAAAAAGTGCCAAATCATTAAAGAATACTGAAACGACGAACCCCCTCCCCACCAAGACACTCCCATCTAAGGACTAAAGATATCAGATACATCATCATTGCATGGACATCTTTTGAGTTTGGCAGACTATATTTGGTCTGTAAGTTGTAGCCTAACTGCTACCCATTTCTTTACTTCCAACATATTCAGTGGTACGAATTTATCAACAAAAACTGACCTCAATATTTCTATTTCTAAATGAAATATGTTATTAATACTCATTTCTCAAAGAAGAGTTGAACTTTAGGAAGATTAACAGATTTTAGTTTGGTTTTTTTTTTTGCTTTCCCGCTTCCATTTTGGTTCTTTTCGGGACGCATTTGATTTTATCCAATATCAAATGGAGTAGTCGATAACCAAAAACAAACACAACACGAGAAGGACGTACTTATACGACTCAGTATATCAACTTTTCTTCTCGAAATGTTTTTACCGTGACTTCACGTCATAAAAATTGTTTTAATTCAAAGACTAGTTAGAACTTACAGAATTATCGTAACTGCCATTGCTCTTTTTACGAAAATATGGACATTTTCGTGAGGGCCTATCGTCCTGAACACTGCATGAAATATTTGCCACTGGACGTTAAGCAACCAACAATCAATTAATCATGAGGGTCTGGATGTGGGTTCTTCAATTTTTTTATTCCTTATTTTTTTTCATTCTTTATTCCACCTTTCTCTTTTCTTTATTTATTCATTTGGCCATTATTCTTTATTTGTTCTGACTTATTTTGACCTGGTTATTCTCTATATTTTTCTTTATTTCAGCACTCCATTATTCTCTATTCTTCTTTAGCTATTATAACAAATATATTGGCTATAGTCATAATATTTCATAACACCAAACCCTTTCCTACATATATGTATATTTTTAATGTACAATGTAATAGTTTAAAGTATTCCTATTTTCTGATAAAACTAAGTTTGTAACATCATTGAAGTGTGATTAAAATGTCCCTTAACTAATGTTTGACACATTTATTTCATTATAACATTCAAATTTCTTCCAAACAATTAAGTGGAGTCCACTGTCACGAACGTACTTAAAATGGTACATTCTATAACATCATTTAATAAAGGGTCCTCAAGTAATCACACAGTAATGGCTCGATAACTTAATTTTAACTATGCTCTATAAAGTGAAAAATGTTGACAAATACATGAATTTGTGTGCCACGCAGGGGCGGATCCAGCCATTTTTAAAAGTGGAATTCCCAACCCAGGATAAAAAAGGGGGGTTGGTTCCAACCATATGTCCCCATTCAAAAGCATTGATCGTCAAAAAAGGGGTGTTCCAACCCCCGGAGCCCCCCCCCCCCTGGATCCGCCACTGCGGCACTACAGCCAGTATCAATGAAATACAAAATTTCGATCACTGAAAATTGATTGCTGACATATTCTTTTTAATCATTATAATATGAAAACTGCATAAGTACATCCAGTTTTATTTATTTCTACACAGGCATTGTATAACTCTATGTTAAAAATTAACAGAGATTGCACTGGGCTTCGCCTATGTCATAAATGCAATTTTTAATTTTTCAATTTTATCATGTTTATTGGAAAAAAAACCAGACATATAACTTTTGAAAGTCACGGTTTCACATCTCTGATGAAACACATACAAATTAACTCCCGTATTTTCTAACTGAGCACAATAATTACCATTGGAGTTTGTCAGATTAAACATTTCGAGGGGAGGGAGGGGGGGGGGGTATTCCGGCCAAGCATTTCAGATATTTTTGCACAAACCCAAACAAACAACAGCATTCTGAAACATTTCAAATGTTTAGCAGGAGGGTTGTCATGATTGCTGCCTTATTTAGAATCTCAAGAGAATTGGGTGACAACTTTCATAATGATTATTGAAGAAGTATATATATACGAGGCACATATGCAGAATTCTCGCTATATTTCTAGGTTTTACGTCTTGAATTCAGCTCATCTGAACAATGTTAGAACTGGAAATTGACCCTGACTGTCTTGCATTAAAATTTATAAACGTTCCCTCAACCGGGGACCAGAACTGAAGCCGTTAAGACATCAACACAGCCTTCACTGTGCCAAGGGCCCTCGAAAAAATGGTATACAAGGCTGTGTATGCATGCCTTAGATCATCGGCTTAAATAGGGGTGCGTTACAGTGTAATGTAAAGGATATACCTGGACAATTGATGTTCGTAGAATGATGAAAATGTAGCAGAACTTTAATTCCGGATGGTCTTGGGGCTTTAAACACGAATGCGATGTTGCAATGGATGTCCTAACAATCTGAGTTCGAATCTAGAGGTTTAACGATATTAATATATATATAACTCAACTAAACGCTACAACATCCCACTCCTGAGGAAATAATGCTCAGTATTGTGGTTGAAGATTTGCGGGTATCAATTGGCGATTTGATGGTCGCAAATTATCCCTGGTTAAGGGAGGGTTGAGCGCCGGCCAATATTTGACCCCGCAACATTCTATATATTTCTGTTCCAAGTCAGTCAATGGTTGTCGTTGGCTGCTGTCTATGAGGGTCTTGATGGGGGGGGGGGGGGGGGGGGTAAGGGGGTTCCAACATTTCTTGTTTCTAATATTTTAGGTCATTTTTCTCTGTTCTTTATCTTTTTTTAACCTCATATATTCTCTGGTTCTTTCTATTTTTAGCCCATTATTCTCTACTTATTTTTAGGGGCTTGTTTTCTCTATTCTTTATTTTTCGGGGCGTGTTTTCTCTATTATTTATTTTTAGGGGCTTGTTATCTCTATTCTTTATTTTTTTTGTTGGGCACATTTTTCTGCAATATTGGTCATTTATCTTCTATTCTTTAAACCCCATCCAGACCATCGTCTATCATTTTAAATAAAATATAGAAAATCTATAAGAAAATAATTCTCATTTTAGTTGTATTTTTATGCGTTATTTGAAACATTTATTTTAGCTATATACTAGGTTAATTAAAGTATGTAATTAGAGGATACCTTCTGTTGTTTAGTATTTATACGGTGACATATAGTTTCTTTCATCATTTGGTCTCTGTTGGATAGTTGCCTCATTTCCAATAAAACCACATCTTCTTATTTTTATACTGTTTAGTTATGTATCAAACTGTTAGAATAAAATCAATGGCAATATTCAATGATCTTACTACTAGGATAAATTGATAACTTATTGTGTGAATGAGTTTATTCGATGGACCAATGAGTTTAAATGGATCTTAATTTAAGAGCTCAAAACACAGGTACCGTCAAACTTCCAAACAAAATCGTTGAACCTATGTTTCTTCGGCAATATAATATGTGGTAACGAAATCTTTGTCTGACTTAATATTTCAAGTTTAGATATACATTAGGCTTGCTACATGTCCATTCTTTATCATATTTTTTTCTCTTTTTTAACCCCTTTAACAAATTTATAACTAAGTGTTTTTTAATATAATAACACATACAGAGGAATTCCTTTCTCCAAGTGCACTCAGTTTAATACCACTTTTTCGTAAACATATCAGTTAGTATGAAGGAAATCAACAAGAAAAGAACTCGTATAGTAAGTCTAGTTACACATGTACACAGGTTACGTTCATTGAAATATAAAACATCACTACTGACCCGCTAGTACATGATAGCTATAATAGGCTAAAGTATGTAATGAGAGGTTAATTCAAGGCCTTACAATTTGCTTCCACTCTTGTTTGTGTATAGGTAATATTGGACTAAAAACGGATACCAGTCATAAATTGAACTTGAACTATAAATTTCCAAATGCATCTTGCATAGTAAAACAAAGAAAATATATAAGAAAACAATTCTCATTTTGATTGTACTATTTATACGTTATTTAAAAGAATTACACTGAAAGCTCACTCTATGTATAGATCATATACAGATATCGATTATATATATATACGCGGAAGTTGTACTGTAATGTAACGCATTGGATAATCACAAGAGGGGAATTCCCTTTATAAAAACTTATACACTGTCAGGAATAAGTACAAAAAGTAAGTTGTTTTTTATTCATTGTCAATGATTTCATGGTAAATATAAACAATTTACTCAAAGTGTAAATTATACAAATATTATGCAAAAAAAAATATTTTAAGCGGAAGGATTAGATAAGATGCAAAGAAACGTAATATTTTGTTCGGGTTTATATACCAACATACATGTTATTCTATTCAATATAATCTTACAGCTTGACGTATACATTTGAGGAAATAGTTCAGAAGCAATCATGAGCTATCTTTAATGAAACCATATCACAATACCACTTATAATCATTAGATTCGGAAATGTTTATTAGTTATTTTTTATCCGTGGAAATATATGCAGTATTAATTCCATTATAGCGATTTATTTTAAGTATTCCATTTTTATGATGAAATAAAGGTATTTTTATAATTTCGAAATTACGAAAATTAAAGACAATAACTGTTTGCTTCTTGTTTTGGTATCAAGCACTTATTTTTACTGAAATATGCGCAAAAAACGAGAGAGAATGAGATACCAAGGGGGACATTCGAAAATCAAGTCCAATATGAACAGAAACACCGTGGGGGGGGGGGGGATAAATCAACGAAAGGACAAACAACAATAACAAAACATTACACAAAAAGTCAAAAACTGAGCAACACGAACCCCATCAAAAACCGGGAGTGAACTCAAGTGACGGGTAAACAGTTCCTGATCCATAAGTTTAGAAATTTGTATTATTTAAAGTGCTTATCATAAAACTTGTGACGGGTTGTTTTTTTTTTCATAAAAAGTTATACCGCTTAAAATATATACTTCAGTAATAAGTTTTCCAATAATTATTATTTCATTGAAAAAAAAATGTTTTTTCAATGGAATAATAATCGATTACTTTTCTATTTCAAACACCTCTTCTTTATGGTAGCGTGTTTGTTCTGGTTCTTCTTCAAAGTCGTACTCGTATGGAAAGATATGTCTTTTTTATAATTGCGCTTAAGCTGAAGTTGCAACTCCCTCGTCCAAGTTGACGATATAGACGGTATTAGCTGTTCTGATAAGACTCCTTAGTATTTATGCTCCCGGGATCATTTGATTTAATTCTCTATAATCCGAAAATTAAAAAGTTTTAGATTTTGAATTAAAAAAAATGGTCTCCAGCGTACCTGCTGAATATTTTATCATAGAGCACGTGTTGTGCGCTCTGAAATTATAAACTTACGTTTCTTGTTACATTATGGGGTAAAGGATTATAATGCACCTTCCGGATATGAGTAATCTTCAATCATATTATTCAATGGTGTTTTATTTTAGTTACCTCGGCACCATTTCCTTTGTTTAAACTAGATGTGTCGGAACGACTCGAATGGCTCCGCTCGCAAAAAAAGCTTTTTTTAGGAGTGGAAATTTAAGAATGAAAGTCCGTATAACTGTTATTTTCACGAAAATTTTCAAAGTCCAAAGCACGTAATTTCCGCACAAATCAGCGTCCAGAACCAAACATAAACTCAATCTGTAACTCATCATAGTAGACTCACATACTTAAAATTAGCTCAATATGTGAAGTCGTTTAGAAAAAAGTCCGTATAACTGTTATTTTCACGAAATTTACGAGGTCCAAATCCCGTAATTTCGGCAAAAATCAGCGGAGTGGAACCAAACGTACACTCGATCTGTAAATCATCATAGTAGACGCATATACTAAAAATCAGCTCAATATGTGAAGGCATTTAGAAAAAAGTCCGTATAAACTGTTCGTGATGGAATGACGGAATGACGGATAAGAGTAAAACTATATGGCGCGACCACTTTGATAAAACCCCAAAAATTGCCGAAAATGAATAAAAGATGTTGTATTAGTAAATAAGTTGATTGCCCTTCAAATCTGGCTTAATTGATTTGATGGTAAATCAGTTATCATATTGATGTAATTAATGTGTCTTGTTTTTTTTTTTTTTTTTTTTTTTTATAGCATTATTTCGAATACTTTTATTTATAGTTGAAACTAGACCTAAGGCCGTACAGTGAACTGTAGATCCTTACATTCTTGTACAGGTATTTGGTATTTAAAGGGTTGTTCTTTCACTAACCAATCTTTCAACACCTTCTTATTTTGATGCGAATAGTTTCTATAATTATCAATCTCTTTTTTTCTGTATAAAATTCTGTACACATTTTAAGGCATTGTCGTGTTTTCTTGAATTGTTCGTGAAGTCTAATTTGTTTGAACTTACATTTATAACTTTTACCCACACTTATCGGTGTTCCCACTCTCTGTATCACTCTGCTCAGCTCTTCATAAAACTGCATATCACGGCTTTGTGACGTCAAATACGTTGACTTGGCCTTAATTAATAACTTTGACCCGGACATATCATCGGTGTCTTAATGAATGACAGAATAAAAAGCTTCTTTACCTCGTTCGCTGTACACCGGTATCACAGACTGGATGATTTTCTCAGATGATTTTACTGAATTGATTTGGTTGTATGTTCGTCTATGTACAATCTAATTAAAATTAAATCTCTGCACTCAATCATTTTTTTATTGATTGATTGATTGATTGTGTGTGTTTGTTTAAGGTTCAGCGGTAATGATTTCATTCATATTCTTGAATAGAACAAGGTTAACAATGAATTAACTGTTATTTCTGTTTTTTTTAAGTGGGTCGACTAAGAGGAAGGGCGGGAAATTAAGACGGCCACAGGAAAAAGAGAAATATTTGGTATACCGTAAGAAAAGATTTATAAGGCCAGTTCACTTACGGACCCCAAAGAGTTATTGAGAGGCTTTTAAATGCACAAACAGCGTAGCACTCCATTAAACGTCCCCATTGTTTCAAACCGGACGTGTCTTTACATTCCTCACCGCCAAATGGACGTCTATGTTTCTTAATAATAGATAGAAGTTAATGGGGGCATACTTCAAACCCTAGTTAACCCTTTGCGTAAAAGTAATTATAGAATTGGAACTATGTGCATGTTGATGTGCATCCCTATAAACAATGTTGCTGGTGCGCAATATCAGATTACAAATATATGACATATAATAATTATTAGTGCATGCTTATAAAAATGATACATTACATGAAAGAACTCATTGAAGATATTATAAACGCTATGGTTTTATAATGTAAAGTGAACTATATAAAAACATTTACGTTTTCCAAAGACAATTAGTTAACTACGATAAAACATTTGTTATAAATGTTTCTGATCTTAATCTAAATTTAGCTAATAAATCAAATATGTTACTTCCTTGTCTAGACAATAGAGAAATCCATTAGTCAGCTGGTCTTATGTAAATTACTCGATGGTACACATATGCACATAATCTGACCTAAACTGATCAAAGCATAATATAATGAGTATCTATTGTGTACAAGATGCAGTACAAAGGTAACTTGTAGGATGCCGATTTTGGTGCTCTAGATACGTGTTAACTTTCTGGAATAACATTTGTCGAGCGCAATCGAAACTAGTCTGGAAAACAATACTATATACGACGTTCGAGATGAATTCAACCAAACTACGGTCAAAACAAATTTGATCGTTATTGGCTGAATACCACCAACATAAAAGCAAAATTTAACTGAAGTTTTGTGTGGTGAAGTCATGATCAATGCTCCTGGTATAAGTTCTTAAGATTTTCGTTTATAGCATAAATGTGAAATCATACTTTGGTTAAACATCAACCCAACAATGCCAATTAACCAAAATAGACATTTAGACTGGGTATCAACCTTTAACATGGCTTTAAACTGTCCCATGTCTAGACAAATAAAATAAATTCGATTTACAAAATTTCTGACATTTGACTTTTATATAATCATTTTGTGAGGTTAAAACTTGGGTTTTATTCTAAAAATGATTGGAAATACTAAGGGGGCAATACAGAAGCATTAATTGAAGGGAGAAAGACAACATAATGACCAAATGACAAAGAAAGTTGACAAAGAACAGCTCACAAAGGGCAACACAACCCTCGAAAGAAATGAGATTAAACTCATTTGCAGTTCCTGCTTCACATGTGTCATCCATTGCGTTCCTCATGACAAGTTGCATTCGATGATGCAGTAAACGAGGAACGGATGACATGATTGTGGCTACAAGAAAAGAAAAATACCTTTTGTCATCTGTCACATAGCTATTCCACAAGTCAACCAAATCATGATGGTGTTCGTAAAATTTTCGAAGAGATGATTTAGATTTAGAACCCTTGATTCAAAAGCTTCGAAATCCATATTATCGATATCATTAAATTTTTAAAGGAATCATTTGTCCTCGTATATTGTTTTAACTCAGAGAGATATACGCCATATGCTGGTGCTGATAGAATATAATATACAAATGGAAAGATCATAATTGGAAAATTAAAGCCAATTTAATTTCTTGAGCTTAGTTCTCAGCCGATGATCGATGTCAATTTCTTGGCCAAGTCAAAATATGAAGCTGACCCAACTGCATGTGTTGTATCCTTTATTTTGAGTTCAATTGGACATGTTCGATTAGCATATTCGCCATGCAGACTTTGAATTATTCAGTAAGGGATCATCTGATTCATATATGTGGCAGAACGTGAATTAAAACGATGATGCTAGCTTTTTTTTTATTATTATTCTCGAGAAGCCCCGCTATGAAGTCTGCATACTTCGTGAACAAAGGAAAATGTCGGCGAGAAGAGGTTGGTTCTCGTAGGAATATCCTTTTAGTTGTATCTCTTTCATTGAAATACCCATAATAAAAGAACTTCTTAAAATGCACAAAATAGATCAATCCAGAAAAGACCATGTGGAGAAGATGCGAGCAACATTACTTAAACAAAATCAGAATATTGATTTCATGCAATTAAACTTCTGATTCCTGACTACATACACAAGCTGAGAGAAAGGTTAACCAGTTTGGAAAATCTTAACCATTCTGCTTTGTTTGAAAGGTCAGACAGTGAGCGCTATAGATAAATCCATTTCAAACGTTATTACGTTTTATTATCTTGATATATTTAAAGACACTTCCTGATTTCCTCAATAGTATAAAATTACATAGGTTAAAGCATGTTGCTATATGACGCAAACATAAAAACTTGTACATGCAACTGGTGTATCGAGTTTCATTTGAATGTTAAACAATTCTTATTTGATGAACTTTGCAGACTCTTCCTTTTTTATTTTTTGTTTAATTTGTTCTGTTTCTGGTTAAACATAACATATTTGCAACCGTACGCTAAAAAAAAATAACCACCAGTATATTCATTTCATGAGAATTGATTCATCGAATCTCTCATCCATTTATAGCTTTTCTCATCACTTGGCGTCCGTCGTCCGCCGTCGTCGTCGTTAACTTTTACAAAAATCTTCTCCTCTAAAACTACTAGGCCAAATTTAACCAAACTTGGCCACATTCATCATTAGGGTATCTAGTTTCAAAAATGTGTACGATGACCCCGCCTGTCAACCAAGATGGCCGACATGTCTAAAAATGGAACATAGGGGTAAAATGCAAGTTTGGTCTATTATCTTGAAAACCACTATGAATGGAAAAATCTGTCGAGAACAAACATGTTCAGAATGATGACATCTACATATTGTCTGTTTACTTTGAAACTGTCAAACGATTTCTGATAGGAGTTATTGCCCTTGAATGACGAATTTTACCGATTTTTTTCATGTTTACCTGATATCTGAAAAACTATAATAGATAAAGAGAAACTTTATATGCCAAAAGTGATCAACAAGACAAGATCTACAAATAAGTCCACATTGTCGAAATCGTCAGACGATTCCTTATTGGAGTCAATGCCCTTTAATGATGATTATTATCAATGTTTTGCATTTTTGCCTTATTCTATGAAAAAACTATTATAGATAAATAGAAACTTAAATAAGCAAAAGTGATCAGCAAGACAAGATAAGTAAATAAGTTAACTTTTGCCTAATTGTTGGTTTACTCTTTATAGGAGTGATTGCCTTAATTGATATTTTTTGAAGATGCTCATAGACCTAGGTGAGCGACACAGGCTCTAAAGAGTCTGTGGTTCTCGTTCAGAAATTGTGTGGTGTTAAATGGTCGCTGAAGGAGACTTAAAAAAGATATATGGGAATTTAATTCAATTTGCTTCCTCCTGCTAACTTATTTACGGGTTAAAGCGATAGTCAGTTTGTGGAAATTAAATTCATAAAAAGGAAACGTGCCTTGAAACACAAAGATGGGGGATGGGGGTTATAACAAAATAACAAATTAAAATCTGCTTTTAACTTTTATCTGTCATTATTAATTTTGAATCGTGAATCAAATTGAAATTTAAAACATTAAGACAGATTTATTATCTCTACATAAATAAATGTAGAAAAAGCATAAGAGGATCTAAAAAAACATTATTTCAACAAGATCTACTGTAAAATATGGGAACCATTGTATGCCGTTATAGTTTTTTATTTATTATGAATCAGCACACCAATGGTATTTGTACTAAATTGATGAAACCTCATCATCTCTGCATAATACTGATTCTATATATTTGAATAAAAAAGCGGAAAAGTACTTTCCGTGAGCTTCTTTGTAAAACCAGGAACATATATATTGACATACTGTTCCCAGGTAAAACTTTTATCTCCTCGCTGCTCACTTCTTATTGGATCTGATTCAAATTTTTATCAAAAATTATCTGTTTATAAATAAGTAATACGTGTATAACCTGTCAACAAGTTCAAAGATTATTTTAGTTGTATTTAACCTTGTAAATTTTACGATAAATACATTCAAATAAGTTAATCACTACCATTCGACATTGAATTTAATTGACTGCAATTGTACGATCAGTCCGATATTCACAACTAATTTTAGTCATGTAAAGTTCGTCAACATGTAAGACGGAATCACTCAATTTCAAATCATATGAAGTTTTCCACTTATTGCGAAAAACATACCAAGTGGACAATAAAACATTGTGTTACTAGTCAAAAAAGGAAAGACAACTCTATGACCAAAAGAATTCACACTGACAGATAAAGGGGTAAATTCAGTAAAAAATCTCCCATTGACTTTAATGCAAATCTATGTCTTGAATTACATATATACATGTACCTGGTACCTTTAGAAATCAGAAGCTTTCATATATCATTCATTAAAGTACAAATGTAGCCCCATCTTTTGCAACAATAAAAACATAGGGTCATGCGGCATTTTTGGGCATTCACATGGCCTTGTATACATACACTGTAGATTCGCACTTAATTCCTATACTGACCCCATTACATTTCAACCCTGTAGTAAAAAAATTAAGTGCATTCAGCGTTCATTTTTTTAACTCTAGTTTTGATCCATCTAGCAAAAAATATGTATTACAAACATTATCTACCAATCAGAAGAGCACAGGACTTCAGTGTTATACAGAAAGCTCTCCCCCAAATGGCCGGTCCCTGATGACGTATATTTATTTACTGAATTTACCCCCTACAGAAAATAGCAAAAAAAGTTTTAAGTGTGAGCAGCACGAACCACACACACATTTAGTTATTCTCTGTTGCTCTGGAAGTGAACAACATGTTTTGAAAAGAAATATAAGATCGAGTTTTGTACCATACTGCAAAACGAAAATAACACTGAGGTTCTATTCTGTAAGAGTAGTAATCTTTGATTACGTATACTGGTATATCACATAATTTTTTGTCTTAACAGTACAAAGTGTTAAAATTTACAGTATCAATTATAGGAAATAGATTTCACATAAAACTCGTATTGTACCGTACTCTTTACAATCTTGAAGAATACAATAAATCACTACTGAGAATCGTATAAATTTACATTTGTGCTCTTAACAGACTAAACATTAACTTCCGCATAACTTCCTTGAGAAACATACGTTCATTCTTGACAAGCCTATTACATGCACTACATATGTTGTGGGCATATACTTGTTCTTATTGACTATTGACAATCATTAGTCAAATTAAACATCTGCTGCAAACTATTCCATCCTTCGAAAAAATAGGCGACGTGGCTCAAAAAGTACAAATTTTAATACAATACTGCACAGGAAAAAACAACAAAAATATCTAATTAATGGGACAAGAACATGAATGTTTTAATTTGTGAACGTATCCGTTTGCTTTACAATCCAATGATAACAGCTCTCTACAATATCAACTTCTGAATTAATTTATCGTTTCCGAGTGTAAATGAAACTTCCATTCCGTTTTATTAGAGCAAATTTAAACAAAAGAATTTACATTAAGTACAAGTATGCAGCATAAATTGATATTTGTCTATATGGACATTGTAGTACGGAACTATACAGATTTATTGAAAGGAATTAATTTAAAAAAAGCTAATATTTTAGATAGAAAATTTAAACAAAAAAGATATTTTATTGATGGGTGTCCAACCCTTTATAGAATGCCACTTTTTGTTAAATTCTTTTAAATTTAAATCACAGCAAAGTTCCTTTCTTCACTAGAGTTATAAATGCAATGTTGGAATTTATCTTTATTTTTGCAGACTGGACCAAATGAGGAAACTTTAATAAAAGACTCTGGCAAATGAGAGATTGTTGATTGTAAGTAGAAGAGTATTCTTAAGTATCACTTGTGAATAAATTCAGCAATGTTTAAGTTTTCTGAGTAACAAACGTCATCAGTTTTAGAATACAATAATGCTCCTTATGGACCCTTTAAATCATTGATATGACTCCACTTGAAGTGCTCCTTATGGACCCTTTAAATCATTGATATGACTCCACTTGAAGATCATCTTCACAATAAACAGAATACTCAACACTGTTACAAATATAGAAAGTTCACATCATTGATATTTACCAATATACCAAGTCAACTCAGTTAAGTTTTGGACCGTTAAAATTGCATTTTTATATAAAAAAAAAAAGAGATGTGGTATGATTGCCAATACGACATCTATCAAATGACGTTATGGTCACCATACATCCTTCAACAATGAGCTAAACCCACACTGTTTAGCAAGCGAAAAATGTAACAATGCAAAAGAAAAAAATCTATATTATATGTCCACTTAATATAGATCTTTTAGACTCCCATTTGTGTACTATTTAGACCACTAATATAATCCCACTCGTATACCCCTACACCACTTATATTGATCTGTAGATGATTAAGGACACCAATGTTGTCGAAATTGGTCAAAAAGCAATGTTTTCCCCACCGTAACTTAAAGAGGGTTCTTACCACTGATATAGCCCACGTCTTTTACCAAGCCAAAGATCGCTTTTCTAATTGTTTTCAAGTTCAACAGGTGTTTTGAGTGAAATTGGTTATTCAAACATGTCCTCAAAACGGAGCTATTAGCAGTTATATGGTTGTGACAAAATTGTCAAAAAATGACGATGATGAAGTTGATGATTACACAACATAATTATCATGACTAGAGAAATAAACTTTTCTTGACAGTTATAATGAACAAGCAATCAAATTATATTTTTCAATTGAACAAAACGTATTTGAAAGTCCTTAATATGTGATGGAGTCCTTTCTCAAGCTGAGAAGCAATACTTGCCCGAGTTATATAGTGAACCAATTTATATAAAATCTTGATGAGCATGTGAAGGCATTTTTGTAATCCATTCAAGTAACTGAACACATTGTACACACCATATACAGACTGATATTTGAAGCTGTTGTTAACAGTTGCGATAACTGTTTTACATGACGGTATCCAATTATTGAACTGTGTTAAAAGGACATTTTATATATACCACCCTATTTTCTTCTGCTGAAACAACAAGACAACCACCGATATTATTGCAAACCGCTACTTCCACAACTACAAGCACTGGTGGACCTTGGAGATCGGGTTTTGGGGATATTTTTATAATACTTAAGGAACGAATTTGCCAGATTTTTGGAAAATCGCGTGGTTCAAACTGTAAGAGACATAGTTCAGATTGTACAGTTTGTTCTAGCATTTGCATATTTTCTCTTGTTTTTTTTTTAATTTAGGTTCGTTTGTATGTTTCGGAGTTTTGTGTGGCGTCCATTTCGCTGAACTAGTATACATTATTGTTTAGGGGCCAGCTGAAGCCCGCCTCCGGGTGCGGGATTTTCTTGCTGTGTTGAAGACTCATTGATGGCCTTGGGCTGTTTCTGCTCTATGGTCGGATTGTTGTCTCTTTGACACATTCTCTGTTTCCATTCTCTATTTTTCTTTTTTTTTTTTTGGCGTTTATTTTCAAATGCAAATGTACTTTGCATTGATTTTTGAATGCCAAATTCTCCCAACTGTGGAATATTTTTGAATTCTGTTACGTCACATGTAGTCAAACTAGGTACTAAGAGACAAAGACATAATCAATAATTGTGCATGAACGTTATGTAGTCTGCAAATGTCAGCCTTCATGGTCTGTTGTATTCCTTGTATAATAAGTTTTTGTTACAAATTTTAATCTCTCAATGGTATAAAGCCCCTTCCATTTTGACGAAAGATCAGGTTTTGTGTTTCTTGCAGCAAATAAAAGGTGTCAAAGTTACCTACTCCGAAATCGGAGAAATGGTTTGGTATCAAAGAAATTAAAAAAACTGTGTTGAAATTGTAAGAGTGTGCTTCGTACTGTGTTAGAAAAGCAAACTAACTACATGCTATATGATGTATATTTAAAACCAAGTTATAAGAAGGGTTGCTATAAGATGTTTTTTTCTTATGGTTGGTTTCTGTCTCACTAACGTATGCCCTACATCTCTTTTAATGCATACAATATCTCCATTGTCCATGATATAATCTATCAAAGGTCTTTAATAAACACTTCCGATGATCGTTTAAATCAAGATACTAAATTTCGTATACTAGTAAATTCATTTAAACAGAAATTAAGTAAAAGAAAGTAAGTTTTCATTTTTTTTTCAACAAACAGCCATCTCGTCTCAAAACATCATGTCATACGGTACTCCTCTTTATTCATAAATGTCTACTCAAAAGGACCTTTCATATCTACGCTTGCGTGGAGTCACTTTCTAGTAATTTTTTTAAATCATCCTTGTATTATTGCTAAAATTTAGTACTTTGGAAGCCAGCATACGAATCGTTAAAAAGTATACCAAGAATGTTTTGTTAAAAATTCATAGCATTTATTGATAATTTATATTACCCCCCAAAAAAAATCATGGACATTAGGTCTAAGGAAAAATGTATCGGAGGATGCTTCTAAAATAACATTAGAAAAGTATTATTTATTTATTTTAAAAAAGACGAATAAATTGCAATTTGACATAACGGAAATATATTACCACAAGTCGGAAGACATTGTGTGGAAAATTTAAGGTAATTTAACTACAAGGTAAACGAGATCATAAATCGGTTACTTTGATATCAAATTCGCAAGCGTGATTTGACCATAAGGTAATTCAAGATTATTATAATATTTCATTTATTTCTATGTTCTTCACTTGTGTATGCGAGTGTATCTATAAGAAAATCCTTTGACAAGGAATTAAAACGTTCGTCTTTTCTGTTACATTTTTTATAACGAAACGTGCACAATAGCTGGAAACAGATAAATGTTTAGAAACAGCTAAATTTTTGAACATGCATTATTGGCGATCAAAGTTAATATGTTTGTATTATACGTATAAAGTTGAATAATCAAGTTTTGCTTTTTCTGATGCAGTCAGTATTAATTTCGGTTTTTGACCCATTTAGAAAGGACGCTTCGCTATGACAACGGCATGCATGCTCTTAAACTGAGTTTTACTGTGCGTATTTCTACATTGGCTATAGGTATAGGGGGAGGGTTGAGATCTCAAAAAACATGTTTAACCCCGCCGCATTTTTGGCGCCTGTCCCAAGTCAGGAGCCTCTGGCCTTTGTTAGTCTTGTATCATTTTTAATTTTAGTTTCTTGTGTATAATTTGGAGTTTAGTATGACGTCCATTATCACTGAACTAGTATACATATTTGTTTAGGGGCCAGCTGAAGGACGCCTCCGGGTGCGGGAGTTTCTCGCTGCATTGAAGACCCATTGGTGGCCTTTGGCTGTTGTATTCTCTATGGTCGGGTTGTTGTCTCTTTGACACATTCCCCATTTCCATTCTCAATTTTATGATGTCACAAATCTTTACTGTGATTGGAAGAAATAACAGAATTGAACAAAAACCAACAAAAACAGATATATGCTACAACTAGACATCATTGAGATGGGAGCCATCTCTGTGGGCCCCGCTGTAAATAACGTGTGGTAAAAAATTTGAATGGATAAGCTGATATGAAGCACTTTTTTAAGTTATTACATAGTCTCGTTATGTGTTAAGAGTGATTTTATTCTATGTTTTTTAGTTAAAGTGTTATATTTGGCCTAGGAAATTGTACATACACTATAACACACCCTCTAGTGTTGGTTAATATACATGTCAAGTATAAACTTTGAAATCGTAACGGTTCTCAAGAAATAAAGTGGACATGATCTGTACCATAGGACATGGGGTTGTCAACTGAAACCAAAGTTTTTGACCTTGACCTTTGACATAGGAAGTTGTACATACATTATGACACACCCTCTTGTGTTGGTTAATATACTTATCAAGTATAAACATTGAAATCATAACGGTTCTTAAGATATACAGCGGACACGCTCTTTACCATAGGACATGGGGTTGTCAACTGAAACCAAAGTTTTTGACCTTGACCTTTGACCTAGGAAGTTGTAAAAACATTATGACAAACCCTCTGGTGTTGGTTAATATACATATCAAGTTTAAAGTATGAAATCATAACGGTTATCAAAATATAGAGTGGACACAATTTGTTACGAACGGACGGACGGACGAACTGAAACCAAAGTTTTTGACCTTGCACTTTGACCTAGGAAGTTGTACAAACATTATGACACACCCTCTGATGTTGGTTAATATACATGTCAAGTATAAAGTATGAAATCATAACGGTTTTCTAGATATATAGCGGACACAATTTGTTACGGACGGACGGACAGACTGATCACTATACGGAGACCCGCCACGAGACAATGTATGGTAATTCTATATTTATCATGGTGAATTGGTTTATAATTATGTACTTTCGAACTTATTCTTTGAATAAAGAAAGTCTGTGGTGTAATTTATATCGCACAAAAATATGTTTCACTCGCATCGGTCAAACAGATGTTGGGATGTAGGAATTAAGGTTTATTTTCGCAAAAATTGTTCGATTTAAAAAAAATATTGGAAGAGAGAAAAACATAAACATCCAATTGCAAGACAATTTTTTTTACAGTCCATGGGGGGAAAGGATTCGATTTCAAATAATTAGCTGCACAAAGTATAAGCATTTTATTCAACTGTTTGCTGTATACAAGTTTAAAGCTTTTCAGGAAGCTTATGGAATTTTAAACAATCATCTTATGATTTGGTACAAGTACAAAATAAAATAAAATAAGGAGATGTGGTATGATCGCTAATGAGACAACTTTCCACCAGGCACCAAATGACATAGATGTTACAGCAACTATAGGTCATCGTACGGCCTTCACCAATAAGTAAAACCCATACCGCATAGCAAGCCATAAAAGGCTCAGACATCACAAAATGTAAGCATTCG